CAGCCGTCTGGATCGATAATGACAAGACTTTCACGAAGATAGACAATGGGGAGAGATGTTATATGGAGTAACTTAGTCTATTTTTATTTTAATAAAAATAAAAGTTAAAGAATTATTATAATAAACATAACAAAGTTTACTTACTTTGGTCCTATATGTCCTTTGGTACCATAGAAAGCTATACAGCTTTCTATGGTACTGAAATATATATCTTTTGGAAAAGCAAACCGTACATAGTACCTATAGATACATAGCATTATTTTATTTTACTACTGTTCGATGTTACCCTTCTGAAGGCAAGCCCCAGGGTCCTAGTGGGGGATATAGGGGTAGCGAAATTACGCATCTGCCTTTAGGCCCGACGAATTTTTATTCTGCGGCGGATTTGAGGAGCAAACAATTATAGGTACTCATGAATACACGTAACATCACCGTGACCATCAGAAGATGAGCTGAACTGCCTGAGTGATCTACTTACAGTATAAATATGTATGTTTAAAAAAGAAATAACTAAATGACCTATTAAGTAACGACCCAAGTGCGAATCTCATTTTGTAACTGTGGGTGGCAAGGTCTGCAATTTATACAAATAGTGCTTTACTTGTATTTACATATTTTAATTATTCATACCTACCTTAAATTATGCTATTCAGCATTTGCCAGTTTAACTTACGGATAAGATTCATAATAAAGGTAAGTTAAGCACTGGTTACTACATAATCTTACATGTCTTTCCGCGGTACAATAATTTGAATTAAACAGTATGTGCAAATATGTGTAACTATACTAATAGTTATTATTTATAGAGTATCTTAGACCATTAATTAATATGTCCTTGTTTTTAACAAGGACATATCAATTACTACTACTTAGTCTAAGATACTCTATAAGTAATAACTACCCTGATCTGTTATTTGGTAATTCCATAACTTATATGTTAAATGATATGTGGAAAGGTATTAAAGGGTATTTCCAAATAAATGTAAATCATAATTTTGAAACGGAAAGAGCATTTTACTGCGTTTACAATATATAGTTGTCATCAAATTTCTTTCAAGTTTAATGGCACGTTACACAAAGAATTATGCGTGCGTGTTGGCAATAATGGTAGTAGAAAAGTAGTTCAGAGATGTAAAAATAATAATAAGATATATGATTTTTACATATCTGTTATGTATTTAAACACTATAGACCCAAGATTTGGAAAGCTAATCCATGAATTTATAAATTCTAAGTAGGTACCTAATACCTATATATATAAATAAAATTGGAGTGTCTTTTTGTAATATTGAAATAACAGTTTTTTACTTTTGCAAGTAGTAAAAAACGGTTATTTATATTTATATGCTTTTTTTATATTTATATGCTTATATTTATATAAATATAAGCATATAAATATAAAAAAAAATATTTTGGTGAATGTACATTCACCAAAATATTTTTTTTTACAATTTTTGTCTGTCTGTCTGTTTGTTCCGGCTAATCTCTGAAATGACTGGACTGATTTTGACAGGATTTTTATTGGCTGGTAAATATGTAATATGGAGTAACTTAGGCTACTTTTATTTTAGAAAAATAAAGTTAAATACCACGCGGACGAAGTCGTGGGTGCAGCTAGTCTAACATATAAACATTGTCATTATCGAATAACAGATGGGGGAAGATAATTCTTATAAGTTATTATTAATTATAATTGAATTATATCATTTAATACTCGCCGAGGCGTCGATTTCTTTATAAACGAAAGCTATATTTTTCTAAACAACTAAATAACCATGAGGATTTCCAGGGTACCGTGTGGAGGTCGAACTATCACAGTAATTGCCAGTAATACCGCCAATGATCCCCATTACTCACTACACACTAAACAACGCTAATAAAAAAATAGATACTATTTCTTATAATTAAAACAAACTAAAAATGAAAATATGAAGGAAAATTATTATTCAGAAAGCGATATAGAAAATATCAAGAAACATCATAGAGCAGTAAATCAATTAGATAACAGCACGGATCAGTCAGGGTTAGGTAAAAAACAAAATAGTATCATCAAGATTCTCTATATTTATTACATTCCTTAGAATACGAACTTTGTTCGTGTTGAATTATAAATTTTATCACTAACAATTAATTCCCGCATAACCTAGTTCTCACCTACTTAGATGTTGCTAAATCACTATATACGAATAAAATATATATGGACACTTGTATGACTAGCCTGGATGCCGGCCAAGGTTTACTCTGCACAACAATCCTCTAATATCCTTTCTCTCAGTAAATGACGTCATAATCCGCTATGATTATAATTCTGCGAATAATGCAACAATATATAAATTTATTATTATTGTCTTTGTGTAGAGAAGCGCATAATAATATCTTGGGACAATTTATACAACGCCATCTAATTCCAAGCTATGCGAAGCTTGTGTTATGGTTATGGGTACCAAACAACTGATAAAAATAATTGAATATTCATAATATGAGATAGAAAACAAACAATAAGACATACTTAGAAACACAAATGTTTGCATTGCGAGGAATCGAACCCGCGACCATTTAAAGCAAACGGTGAGCTAAACCGCTTGACCATAGAGACCGTCAATTTATTTAATGCTAGTAAATAATGTGTATTTGTTTTGTATTGATCAAAGATAAACGCAAATCAAAATATATAGTTGCTTTACATCATCCAATTTAAAGTAGTATAGTATATTAGTGCATTCGTAAGAAAATTACATACATTCCCCTTATTACTAAAAGCAGACTCGTTTAAATATAGTTTAATGTTAGGGATAGAGGTCACCCCGCGAATGGATACAATCACCCCAATGCATAATAAACAATTTTGTAAGCCCGTATATCTAATTAAGATTATACACAACACATTGCGGGTTAAGTTGAAACAGTACAAATATATTTAATTATAACTGTTTGTTTTATTTGTTCGTTACATTCAATTATGGTGTTATGTTACTTTAAATTTTTATTCAACGATTTTTGTTTGATTATATATGAAAATCTATGCGAGATTTTCATTCCTGGGTAAATCATAAGTACGAGTACTTATGAATACCATAATCGATATAGTCCAAAGCGCTGAAGTATTACTTCACTTCAGCGCTTTGGACTATATCGATTATGGTATAAAAACTCGAGTTGCTGGTGATTTCAGGATATTTACTATGGAGTATATTAGGGTTTTGTTATTATCTTTTATTTTAACTTGCCTTACTGGCTTCTTTGGTCTACCTACGACGCAATAGTGTCCACCATCCAAACACAGATAGAGCAGAATCTTAGGGTTCATTGGCTTGGATCATTTGAGGTATTGGCTTTAATGCTTGAGTCTACCATGGTGAACCTGTAATTTTGGACTCGTTGAATTACGCACTAGTATTAAATATCGCAAGTGTATTTGTTATTAATCCTTGTCTACTCTTTGCATGTTGCTGTTTCTCTTATAGCTTTCAATCGGATGGACAAATTATTTTCAATGCTGTAATACAAACAAAAGTTATACATATTTAGGCTATATTTATTTTAAAATAAGAGCATTTATTTCTTTTCAAATATAGAAAAGTATATAATTTCTGAATCCTAGGTGCTGAATCCGCTAGTTTTGTTCAATATTACACATCATTAATGCGAGGACGTGATCCTTTCAGAAAAACTAGACCCAGTAATTATTACGAACTTATGCGAAAAGTTAGTTAATTTATAAAAAAAATTAGTTAATTTATATTTCTATATTACTAGTTCAGCTACAGTCAACTGCTGACTTTCGGTGATCTAACCATCTATAAGAAACTAAATTAACACGAGAGAACATGGTAAACTACTGCTCGCGCCCTGCCACGTTTCGCATATATCCAAGGAATTGTCGACAAAGTTTGAGTTCACCACAACCACCAACGTCTTATTTTGACAATGACTCTGATTATCCCATCTAGGATAACAGTCGTAATTATTATAGATCATTTATAGTTTGAGCCGGGGTCAAATAGAGTGATAAAACTCCGATAACGCGAGACTCTTCGTTCACGTATTGAAAAGGTTATCGCTTCATTTCAATGTTATAAGACATCTAATTTAATTTACTAGACATTTCAATATTTGTATATTATCAGCAAGGTTGACGTGTACTACATTAACGATTTACGAAACCAATAACTGGGTGGTTGGTATTTATAATATTATATAGTATTTAAGGGGTTAAATTTCTATTATTTTATTTATTTGACTATAATAAATTTTATACAAATAAAATGAAATCTAAAAGTATACCAACACAAGGAAAAGTGTTACATACACAAATTCTCCTTTTTAAGGGTAAATATAGTAAATAATATAAGGAATTACTAGGAAAATTAATAATTAACGTCATAATAATCGTTTACGCATATCAGTATATAGTATATTCACATGAAGGCATGTTGTTCATACTAGTCTTGTAAACGAAACTTTGTCGTCTGTATTTTACATATCTATATGAAAAAATACGTTAGAATTTGAGTTTAGTCAGATAAGTGAATTATTATTACCACTATAAAATGATATGTTATGATATTTTAAATATAAATAGGTTATTATAGAATAAATTGTAAAAATTGGAACAGTTTAATAAGGAATACTTATCGACCAGATAATACTTATTAACCATATTAAAACTTAAGTCTTAATGTAGAACTTAAAATAAAGTTGACCTGGGTTCAATTCTTTATGCGTTTTATCGTATAACGTTATATATATATATATATATATACAATATTTGTACTGCAGTTATTTGTTTCTGTTTCGTACAGTAAGAAAGAAACTGTAGGTTGATTTTTTTTTTATTCTTGAACCTATTTTGACTCTATGTTTATTACATATTGGGGTAACGTTCTCATCTAATTTTCTCACTAGCTAAGGTTACTTTAATAGATCAGTATAATATACTTAATACCTTTAGATTACGGCGATGTTTTACTAATCGTTAATGTCATTGTTTCTATCCCCAGAGATTATGGCTGTTGGCGGCAGTGATACTAGTATGCGCACCACACACACTGTGTCGGAATGTTACGTAAGTATGCCTATATTACCTTTATATTTTCCCCATACCACAGATAACATAATATTACATATCCATACATTTGCAACATTTTTCATTGCAGCTCCTATTGATCGTAGCGTAATGTTATATAGCCTGTAGCCATCCTAAATAAATCGGAAACCCTATACTAAAATAATTTTTAATATCGTGTTAGTATTTCCGGAGATTACCCCTATCATACAAACTCTCATATTTACCTGTTTTTACATTAATACTAGCGCTGACCAGGTTATTGTGCCATGTAAATAAATAAATTTATTTTACACTTTAATGCACAAATACACTAATAAAGCTTCACATAGCGGATTTAACACCTTAAACTAATTTCTCTTAGTCGACCTTAGGGCAAACAGAGATTAATATCGCTATTAAATAAATTAATTAATTAAAAAATAGGGGTTGATGGTCTACCTATTTGTCTATTTGAAGTATTATTTCATGTTGACGAGTTGTCCAGAGTCTGGTAAATATAATGTATATGTTAGTATGATCAATTGCCATAAAATAAAGAATTAGACACAGTTGTTTAAAATTTTTCAGTAAGAAAAAATCACTATTTTTAATATAAATAAATAAATAATCAAGTGACAGAATCAGTTGTCTAGTATGAATAACACACGCTCTGCGTAGCTCGAGACTAGATCGCTCTGTAAAAATTTTCCAGGATGATTATTATTACTATTATTGTTTATCTACAATATTATTTCACACTAAAATGGAGGATCAAAGGGGTCATATGTTAAATGTCGTTTGAAAATGCAACGGTGGTATTTTTATTACTATTTTATAACGTAATTAATTATTTTAAAACCAGGACACTATTAGAATTTAAATCGACTTGTACTTGACCGGATTTTATTATCTCCTACAAATTAAAAGAGACGTACCAAGCAAATACATTTTATAATGTTATAAATCTTCATTTAAACATTTATTAGCTTGTGGAAGATCAATAAGCTTACGCTTTCCATTAAGGTTCTCAAGTAGCTCTATGAATAGAACAAAATCTTCGATTTATGCAGCGAACAGGTCGTCGATCTTTTTAGATGATATTGTTGGATTTTTATTACGTTGTAGGCGTTTTATTGGTGTCGAAGAATATTAGTAATTTCGTCGATGTCGTATTCGACGATGATTTGTATATATTTTATTTTGTTAATATGGAGTTAGAAAATTATAATAAATATTAGTACTTATTACAAACTGGCCTATAGCATTTTTCGTCCGATGTCTTTTTTCATGTCACAATCTTCATGTAAAATTTTATTCGAAATCATTCAGACGTTTAGTAGTAAAATGCGAACAAACTAATAGACAAACAGACTTGCTTTCACATTCATAATATTTGAATGGATATGCCAGTTCGGGAACATTTTTAGAACTTTTAATGTTTGTTTTTAAGCGATGTTGTGATTATGTAGGAGCCATATTCACAGTACATAAAAAAATAACAATCAGCACTCAACAACTTATTAAAACTAATCAGGCTAGTAGTATTTCCAAATTAAGTTAGCTAAGTACGTTCATTAGATTTTTCGAACTATGTATTCCAATGTTCTTAGCCGCAACTATACAGCTTCATCAGACCTAAATGAGGGAGTGTATAGAGAACATTTCAACTCAGCTGAAAGACTTAGATATGGTGCGGTTGAAGGCCACACCTGCCGTTTATATATGTCTTAGGTATTTTGACAACGCTAAATTCGAACGTCGCCTTTTGCCGTCGTCATTTCAATCCCAGTTAGAAATATGCCGAGCATCAAATGAAGAAGAGAAAGGATTTCTAAACCATAGACGTAATAAATAAATTTCTTTTAAATACATTCATAATATAAAGAGAACAACAACAGCTAGACTATATACAATTAACAATACACTATAAGTGTTGTGTATAAATACACAATACAATTAAGCTATAAGTACTATACTATCCCAGTGCTCAGTAAAGATCTCACCTATTTCATATTTTTTATCTTTTTTTGGCCTCATCGAACCAGCCCTTATTGTATGCGTTTCGATTGTTACACCACCACCGCTTCCTTGCCAGTAATACAAACAGATATATATCTACTCATGAATACTAATACCTGCTTACTCCTAGGGTGGTCTATAAACCACATTTCAAATTGTCATCACATCAGACACCAACTTGAAACCTTAACGTGCATAGGTATCATCTGTATACATACATATGTAATATAGTAGTGTATATATATAGAATATATATTTGGTTACGCTTCTAAAATCTAGAACTCGTGGACTAATAATAAAAGCTTATTATACATCTCTTGACTGCATTAACGCATTTCCTTGAATTTTCAGCATTCGGCTGCATCAACGCTTATAGAACTTTCTATTTAAAGATAATGCACTCTAAGGTTTCAAGGTGTCTATCGCATACATAAGTATTTGTTTAATTATAATTGAAAAACAACTGATGTTTCATTAATTTCATCTTTTCAATCAATATTTTTCGAATTATTCCGTCGGAACCATTTGTTCCATGGGAAGCATTTGTAGTACTGTGTTATACCTGGCTAATAAGTAGATGCTTAATAAATCAATGAATCCGCTGTTCTTTTTTAATGGAGGATAAGGGAAGTGAACCTCGGTGCTTTCTATTGGGGACCACGTCGACCTGAGACTGTATATTGCTAGCAATGAGACCACTAGCTCTCTCCGAAATCTTTTCCCCCTGATCCCTCTGTAGCTGAGACTAAGTACACAATTGGCAGTTTAATAATACTTATTAAACTTACCATCAGGTTGGCTGTAATTTGATTGCCACTGTTATTATATAAAACGTTAACCTATACAAACCGATATCCATAAAATATACCACTTTTCAATGTATTTGCTACATCCTTTTACTTTTTTAGTCTCTCCTTTCTGCCATCAATAAGCTTACATAAAGAAATGCTTTAAACATTTTATAATAATAATAATAATAAAGACATTTATTCAGCATTACAGTATTCTTAGATGCTATCTATCTTATATACTATACAACTTAAAAGCTAAAAGCTAAAACATACTAGTAACGCTGAATGTGACTCAGTTTTCATATTGTTCTGTTCATAATGGTTTCCCCGCCATCACCTTGCAGCCAATTTGTATATCTGTGTTTTTCTTTCAGACACGAAGACATCCGAGAGGCCATGATGTCACTAGTTCACATGTTCCGGTCATCAGAAGACAAATTGGAACGGCACGAGTACAGGGAGAAGGCGCTGGGTGACCAGCTGAAGAGGACACTTGCTGGTATTGATAAGAAGCATAGAGCACTGGAGCCGCTGAAAGGCATGATCTCAAGACTCGACGAGCGATTGTCTAACGTCGAAACCATATTATTACAGGTTTATTTTTTGTTAATAGATGCCATATATGAATGGAATACCTTACACTCTTTTTTTACTACTCTAATGCTATTGGCCGCAGCTTCACCGAACAATAGGGGGCGAGTGCAGATGGCACTCCAAACCCGCGGAAGGTCTTACGGAGAGACTGAAGGCTAACCGCCTGACGGATACGATATTAGTATGAGGGCACCGCTAGAGAGGAGTAATTTCGGTCCCCGTTTGAATTGGACGGGGGAACGATTGGAGAGGGCCCTACTCGTATACTGAGACACGTACGGCCAGCTACAGACTAGGGTGTGACTGTGTCAAGTTGTATTACATGCAATCACAAATAATAATACGATTTCTGATAGTTTGATTAAATAATTTATTATAATAACTAAACTCGTACCAACTTAAATGTATTGCGTTAATTCACACATTATATTATATTCATACATACAATTCCATCATGTCATAGAAAGAAGAAAGAGAAAAGGCAACACAAAAGAAAACAAACGACGTATTGGATGCGATTCAGAAAGCTCTGCTATCGCTCACTAGTACAGTGAACAAAAACACAAAAATACCTGACGAGGACAACTTGACCACTACAGAGGACACTTTGGAGAGGCGACTTGACGCTACCGACGCCAAGATTGATAGCCTCAAGGGGGAAATAGAAAAACTGAAGAATACATTGAGTAAGGTCAGTGGTCATCTATTTTTTTTTTTATTTTGCAAAACTAGACCATTTGGCTGGATTAAAGATGTTAAAACAATTACCTTGATTGTAATCACAAAAATTCAATTCAGAGTTGTTAGATAAAATTCGGATGAAGAAATAGAAAAAATAGTTCAGAAAATTTATATTATTAGATATTATTTATTTATTTCAGGCAACTAGGCCCATATTATAAATACCATATAGGTTAACATACATATGAAATAATATTTTAAAACTAGATATTGTTTGTGTGGCCCTGGCAGTGCCGTGGCACTGACGACGGCAATCTGCCACGGTAGCGCTGATACACTACACTCTTCGGACAATAGTCCTCTTTCATGAAGGAGGGCAGAATGTTGATGGGGACCCGTGCCACAAATGCCTTGAAACTCGCGTTGTGACTCAACTTCAGCTGCGTTACCCTCATTATATAAACAGCATTTCATATAGAATCCTACTTTCATTTTAATTTCAAATAGTACTTACCTACTTTATATTTACCTATTACATACAGGAGGCTCTACATGCCATGTGTCTAGATGTGGCGTCTGATGTAAATCCACTAGAGAAGCATATATCCGAGGCGGAAAAGCTACTCACCAAATACGAACTGAAATTGAATGAGTACAATGTAACAAAAGTACAAACCGATTTCGTGCCTTTGAATGACGTTTCTATGGCTGATGAAGCTTGGCACAGCAAGATGACAGAAGGTAGGTACTTATTAATTAAATTAGTAGTAGCTAAAGAAAATATATTAAGTTATGAGATGAGGTCAGGTCAGTTCATCGTAATAAATTAGGATCGAGTAGGATTGTTTCCAGAGAAATCCCATGGAGGCGATCCTTACATGGCATATTGCTAAGAATAGGGTCATTAGTTCTCAATACCCTACGTTTGTTACCACGAACATCAGATCATGTCACAGCTACAGTAACCGCTTATACCATCTTAAAAGATGGGCCGTATGCATGTTTGCCAACATCCTAGCATAAAAAAAAAACAACTGTATGTGGTGATTTACATCTGATGGTTATCTTGCTATTGCAGCTATTAGAAATTATTATTTTATTTTAATTGACATGTAACACAGTTATACTATAATTGTTTTTTAAAGTGATGGAACGCCAAGAAATGGACATAAAGAAGATTCAAAAATTACTTTCGGACGCTGAAAGCATGTGGAAAGATCTCCCACGAATTTCACATCTTCAGATATCAACAAAACATACCTTAGAAGCAATAGAACGGGCTAAGGACGATATGATAGAGAATGATGAAAAATGTATGTATTTACTTACATATCGCAATCTTAATATAGTACTGTATTAACTAAAAAATACACAATTATTGAGCTAGACTTAATAATCAAAATTATATAAATAGTTTTTTGACTTAATATAGTATTGTATTAGGGTGCGATATAGTAGTTTACTTTCTTTTATCAATGTTATACACTAAAGTATCTTTATTTTTGAATTGATGAAAACTTATATAACTAGAATTGAAACTTCTTCCAAATGGAGCTTCGATGGTTTTTTTATGTATGTCATGTAATATGGTTGCCGAAATGAAAAATCTGATGATTCTTTTCGCAATCAATAAGGTTTATTACTTGTTACCCTAATAAACTTATCCGTTGAACATAGGTTTTTGTTCTGAGGAACATCATATGGTTGTCATGTTTGAAAGGAGAGATGTAACGGTGTTAGTAGTTTAACCCGAGATTTTCAAGTCTCAAAAATCTACAAAGAACGCGTTACCCTAATATTGCAGACCCTAAATAGATACTAAGCAGGGATGTTATGGATATGAAATTTCTGAAATGGATAGGTTTGAGATAGGTATAGGAATGATTATTATACCGGATACGGATGTGAAATTATTTCGAATTATCCGTTAGTACTGGATAATTTCGGTTACGGATATTATATTTTAATAGTATTCAATAGTTTTAAAAGTAAATTACAAATAGCTAAAAAAAAGGTTACATAACGGTCTTATTATGTGGGTTATTTATTTATAGTAATTTATAATAATAATAATAATCTCAGGACAATTCATACAACGCCATCTAGACCCAAGTTAAGCTAGTTAAAGCTTGTGTTATGGGTACTAGATAACTAATACAAATACGTAGCTAATTTTTTTTTCGTAAATACATACATAATATACATAAAAAACACCCAGACCGATACAAACAATCATACTTATGAATACAAATGTTTGTGCCGTGCGAGGAATCGAACCCGCGACCATCGGACGTAAAGCGGTGTGCTAGACCGCTAGACCACCGAGGTCGTCACAATTTATATTAGGTACTTATATAATTCATAACGATTACCTATCATATTAATATTTATTTTAATGCGTAGCTATAAGCAAAATAACATCGAAACTTCGGGAGATGACAGAGCGCTTAGCCGCAACTAATGAAGACATCCAAAAAAGTCTTACTCAAGGAAATACAATGACTGAACGCGCCTACACCGACATATCGAATAGTTACAACACCCTACGAACTGAGGTATGTATATATTATAAATAAAATCTCTTTTATTATTTTCTACAATTTCAAAAAGTTGACATCCCTACGAAAATTTAAACCATGGACGTTACAACTATTGCAAACAGTCCTACATACGACTGCAACACGCCATCATACTCACGATTAATGCCAGATGAATTGTGTAGTCAGAAATTCTCTTTCTCGTTATGTGGTGTTTATCTATACCTACATATAAATAAAATTGGAGTGTCTATTTGTAATATTGAAATAACCGTTTTTTACTGCATGCATATGAATATAAATACAGTACATACACCAAAAGCCACTTTTTGAAATTTATGTCTGTCTGTTTGTTCCGGCTAATCTCTGAAACGGCTGAACCGACTTTAACGGAACTTTTTTTGGCAGGTAGCTGATGTAATAGGGAGTAACTTAGGCTACTTTTATTTTAGAAACATTATTTTATTTTAGAAAAATAAAGTATAATTCCACGCGGACGAAGTCGGGGGTACAGCTAGTTAGTTAATAAAAATAGTTTTAATAAATAATCTTGACATTGTTGTCAAAATAACTCATAAAACTGTTATCTATACATATCAATAAAATTGGAGTATCTGTTTGTAATATTAAAATAACCGTATTTTGCTACGTGCATATGAATAAATATGGTACATACACCAAAATATTTTTTTTTACAATTTTTGTTTGTCTGTCTGTTTGTTCCGGTTAATCTCTGCAATGGCTGGACCGATTTTGACGGGATTTTTTTTTGCAGGTAGCTGATGTAATTAAGAGTGACTTAGGATACTTTTATTTTAGAAACATTCTTTTATTATAGAAAAATAAAGTTATATTCCACTCGGATGAAGTCGCGGGTACAGCTAAGAATAAGAATATTTATATTTGTTATATTAATTTTGATGTTTTTTTCTGTTTTTTATTCGCTAATATCAATACAAAATTAGCTACTGTTGTTTACTATATATCAAATATTTTTTTGTTCATCATATTACTCTACTTGCCGTTCATTTCATGAACATGTGAGAATACAATTTTAATTAGAAAAGGTAGGGGCGGGCTTACTCTCCTCACACGGATTAATTACGATTGTTAACATTACAATACGTACTAGATGAACGTGCTGTTAGTCGGTAGTTTCTATTAGGGTATTCTATTATATAACAGTAAATATGTCTACAAAAAAGCGATGTACCTAGGTACTAAATAATCAAATTATTTGTTTGTTTTTAGGTGCAAACGTTGTCTAAAAGTGAGCATATTATTCTGCAAACAGCTGATAATGTAATCGCCACTAGAAAACGAGTGGAATACGGGGTCCATCAGATACTAGCGGAAGTTGGCGATCTAGTCACAGCCCACGCCAAACACTTGAATAAGACGCTACATGAAAGGTTACATAGCTTTATACTTCTCTGTCGCGCTTATTAACGATTGCACTTTTACTATAAGATTTTTATATCTGGTGATGGATATTTAGGATATACTTTAGATCTTACATGAATTTTATTATGGGTACTTGCCAAATCCATTAACATATTTAATTGTAAATTTATGACACTGTCGTCATATATACCTATCTATTTGTATTAGTCCATAGTAAATCCACTAGATCATGTTATAGGCTGTTTAATTTAAGACTAGATGGCGCTGTATGATATGACCTAGATTACGCGCTGTCGTTATTGTTATAATTGTCGACGTGCCAGAGCCAAATATGATAATTATTTTCTAGGTCGAAGATTTCTAAAATATTCAAGACATATGTGATCTCTGTGGTAAGTCAACTGCAAAGGTGGGCTGAGGAGCAGTACCCTCGCATAAATATAAAAAAGACATTTAGTCTCACCAGAAAGTCAGCTAGAAATTTAATATGTTTTTTGCGCGAAGTTAATTAGTGGTATAGACCATGAAGCCCAGACCACTATTGTTACATAAAATAGAAATCTTATTAATTTTATAGATTTGAAAACATAGAAGCTATGACATTAGACAACCAGCTGGTCACTCGGTCCAACCTGAGCGACAAGATAGAATCAGAGATGGCGCCGGTGTGGCGACAAATTGGGATCATGTACAAACAACTTACAGCCAACAAGGAATCTCTTGACAAACTTACAGTAAGCATTAACTTGATTGAGTGTAAAGATTAAACAACATAGCGGAATCGGCAGTTTAAAAAACATCGTCACTTCGAGTTCAATTGTATTTTCAAATATAAGAACCAATTGAAATACATCTAGGTAAAACATATTGGTGACACATGCATGTAGGTACACATACACCAAAGAATTATATGTATGTACTAAAACAATAAAGCTAAAGAGTTTCTTTGAACATGCTCTCTGAAACTATCAGCATGATTTAAGATACCGAACCCTCGAAAAAAATTCCTTCTAGCCCAATGAGAGCAGTACATTATTATTAGGAAGAGGAACACGGTGGTCAAACTTTAGCACGCCACCTTACTTCCCATGGTCGTAGGTTCGATTCCTATATGATGTATATATGCATGTATCAGTTGTCTTGTGCCTATAAAACAAGCTCTGCTTAGCTTGGCTCTATAATAGTGCTGTGTGAGTTATCCTTGAGATATTATCGGGAAGAGTAGAACTGTGCATAATACGATTTCTTATAAAATAAACATCGGTTGGGAATGCGGAGCATAGATAGTCAGTTTTTATTAATATATTATTAATAAATTAATACGTTCGTATTTTAAGTCTGTTGTACACTTTTATAGAAATTAGACTGCTGTCTGTGACTGTCTGTCTTATATTAATGTGTGGCGGAACAAGATGGAATATTCAATGTAATTTTTAGTTGTAACGATTCATATCAGTTTTAAATTTTCAATTTCAGGAACAAACGGAACTTTATGTCAATGGCAGTGCAAACGCTATGGAAAACATCGATAGCAAAGTAAGCATACCAATATAATAACTAAACTGTAAAAAGGATTTATGGGAATAATAGTTTAGGAATTATATGTATAATAATTTTGTAACAAGATTATATTCTGTATGTAAATATTTATATCATCATATTTCAGGTGGGAACAATAAAGTCTCGTATGTCTGAAGTAGATGAGAATTTGAATTATTTGTTGGGAAGATTATCGCTCGTGACTCAAGAGTTCAATCAAATTAAGACTGGACTTGGGGAAGCTTTAGAAAAAGCGAAGACCGGCCTAAGTACGGTGCAAGCTAAACTTGAAGGTAAAATATATAAGTATTAATTGCCAGATATAATAGCCGCATTACTCGTCATATCAACATTCACTTTGTATCCAGTCGAGTTTCCGCGCTTCGGCTGTAATATAAGAACTCGTCACATTAATCAGCGTTTTATAAAAAAATTGCCGTAGTAGTCTTTTGCATACCTCTCATTACTTCAAGACAGCTGTAAAGTAGCTTTTTTAGAAGCTAGGGACCGTACTTAGCTAGCTAAATATAAGAAGAGGTGGTGGAAGCTGTGAGCGTCACATCACTCGTGGCGTTCGTAATATACGATAGGTACAAACAGAATGGCCAAACACGCTGACGGTAATCAGTATGACAGTACCACCTGGTGCTTAGGCGGGCCATCGGTATGTTTGTCATTTTATTTACATTATTAGTACATCTAGTCATAACTTTTTATAAATTACATTTAACAAGTCTTTATAATTTAAGTATTTGTTGCAGATGCAGGACCGGGTCCTCATAATATTACAAGCGCTGAAACAAGCCCGTAAAACAAATACCTTGTGTGAAATAAGCACCAAAACTAACATAATTATTTAATAATTTAGAAATAAAATTTTAATTATATGACGACTGAAGAATAGGATGTATTTCACAGTAAATAAAACTCACGCAACATTAACTTTTGCAAATATTTAATCTCTTTCATAATTGTGGATCTATATATTTATATTGTACAAGTTATATGATACAATTAAATTTCATTGTGACAGACATCCCAATGTCACAAGTGAGCGCATAAAACCAACAATATACAACTGACGAGATATCTCTAAGAAAATGTGAATTAATATAAGAAACTGTACAATCATATATTATCAATAATAATATAACCATTGATCTTAAACAATAACACACAAATTATTTGTCTTTATTTTCGGTTGTTTTTATTAATCCCGATTACAACCTCATTTTCCTATGTGCAATTAATATTAAATACAATAAATTAATTGTCGATACTGAACTTTTAAATCCATATACAAGTAGATTAAAATCCGTGCCCTTAAGTGATTTTGTTACGCTTACAACTGTATCATATTTGAAAATGTGAATACACTCAATGCATAATACAAAGGAGAACAAACACATAATGAACATAGATTAATTATTATAACGATAATTACTGTTCTCAGTATATTCACTTACAAAGTATAGGTACACTTCAGTTATACATAAATCATGTAGAGTTATATGATTGTACATGGCATAAAAAATATTACAAGTCAATTCAATATGAGCCATCAGCCAGATTGGAAAGAGAATCCACTTAAAGGTAAAACACTAGACATTCGTTGTTGTTGTAACAGCCTAAAATGGGACTTCGTCTAAAAGCTAAATATAATCGGTGGAACGAAATCAACTCTGTCCCAATAATAGAAAACGTTTAACAATGAAACAAAAACAAAGTAATGTGTATTACCTATGCGATCCAGTCGCTAATTGGTTTTTTGGAAACTTAAGTATCTACTTAGTAGGATATTTTCAGTTCATCTAATCATTATAGATATTTTATATCATAATAAAAAAAATAAGTACGTAACTCGAAGTTATTACGAGAGGCATAAATGTTCTATGGCAGTGGCATACCTAACACGCATACACAAATAGCACTTGAACATTTTTTTACAATATGAATCACTGTTATATATGTACATGAGTAAATGTACATGTACATTATATTAATGCAAAAAATATTTACAAATCCTTAATTAATTGTGTTAAAAAGCACTTAATAACCATCCCTTACCCCACTCCCCCAAAATTCTATCCAAAAGAGATCAAATTATATCTATAAAAAATATAAGCACTATTAGAAAATTTTATGCAAAATCAGTGAATTTGTAAACAAGTATAAAGATCATGCATATTGGATAAAATATATAGATATTAATCAATCATAACCAATATTTTATTAATTAAAACGTTAAAGTCAAAGCTTCATAAATACAAAAATATTAAGTATCTGTGTCTATATGAATAGAAACAAAAAAATAAAAATTAAATTGAGATGAATAAGAAGTCCAATTATGAATTACAACAAGCTCCCTAAGTGAGTAAATCTAAGATTGTCCATGAGACAAAACTGTTCATGTCTGTGACATCTACACTTTGTACAATGCGGTATCATAACGTCCCGGCGGCGAGCTGAGTCGACTGTGACCTGAGCAAACATACTGAACTTGTGCCTGAGCAATGTGCACTTCCCTTTAACCTCCGTCGAGCGTTGCATTGTATTGAGAGTGCTTTACAACTACAATCACGAAGTAGATACAAAGAGCAAGCCGCATAAGCAACATGACTCTAAATTGTCATATTGAGCGTTGTCTTATTTGATTGTGAATTTGTCATCCGTTCGGATCATACTTATATTACTATTCCGACATAATTTGAACAATTATCACACGTACAACAAATTCACAATGATTAAGTCTTCGCCTGTATTTATTTTTAAAAATATTCAAAAACATACTTTGAAGGTATCAAATACCCACTAATTTGTATCAAATAGTGTTAATACTACTTGAAACAAGATATAGCTATTTCGCCCTAATTTCATTATACAAAATTAACATGTATCCAGGATATTCATATATTAACAGTAGAAATGTGATACAATACGCTAGTTCTTTGTATCTACTCGGTGATTACACACAATACAGTGCAGCCAGCACCACCACCATCATCAGCCATCGCTGAATTTAACTAATGCCCACTGTATCCTACTATTTATAATTCATTAACTCCTAACTAATTTTCGAGTGTAAAATTGTGCCACATAAGCGATCTCAATAGTACAACTAAAGCAAAAAATATCATTCATAACGCACACGACTTGCGACACGGTAATTTCGACTTATTCAAATTCAAGTTTAAGTTCAAGTAATGGAATGTTCGTTTAATTGGTTTACAACCCTGTAGAATAAGGAATGTTATTTTGCTACCACTAATTCATTATATAAACTGACACCCACTACTGATTACTTGTTCTGATTATATTAATATAATTATGCTTTGGATTCAATTTGGAACACCCTATAGCAATATTTTCTTTACCTTATCTTATTAATATAGATGTGGCCGGATATAAAGGTGACGTTTACACACCCTAACTCCACGCACAAATACCAAATGCATTACTGCAACAGTTACACTAATCTTGCTCTTATGTGATGGAACTTACATAGGAAGACATACAACTATACACATACGCCTTTAATATTAGACAGCGAAAATAATATTCCATATAATTATTAATTAATATACTCCATGACGAGGAATTTATGGCGTTGACATCATATGCGATACTAGTGATGTTGCAAAAGAAACATTGGATATATAGTCCTCGAGCCAGAGGCTAATTCCGTAAATCATATCCTCAGATAGTTATATCATAATGCCTAGAGAAGGCTAACTCCGAGGGTGGGTTGCGGAGCCTTCACAAACATTTTTTTTTAAATAGACATTACATGCTGTAACTCTCTCGATCATTTCAATACTTATATAGAAAATTTATTTTAACGGGTTGTCTACTCTCTCACTAGATGGCGTAATACAAAATGTAGGTCAATAAAAGCATGAAAATCTTATTTCAATAAAAAAATTAAACGGTGCTTCTCAACGCACCCTCGGAACCACAGCTGACATTCTCTAGGCTTCACAATACAACTGCAAATATTAACCATTTAGAAGTTTTAGATCAGGAGGAAATTGGGCACCAGAATACGAATTCCCGGCTCACGAGCCAAAAGTCGTATTTGTATCTCTATTTATATAAATAGTGAGGAAGTCGTAGGTTACGATACAAGCAAAATGAATCAGTCTCACTGACTACACTCTCGCTTTGTACAGGTGTACGAAATCAAGTCTGCAAATTAACATGACCACCCCAAAATCAGAGGCACTTACATGATCTTAAGAGTAATGATATACAACTACTATCTAGTGGTACCAAATATTAACTCATTGTCATCCCGTGAAGGACCCGTTGATACAACGGGTGTGACACATTTAAAGCTATGGACATGTTTCACGTACTAATTGTTAATAATAAGTCTAACCTAACACGGAGAGAGATGGGAGCTATCGTACTATCGTAGACGTACAAAGTATTTAACTATATAACCTACATTCAGCTCTTAAAACTTACATAAACTGACCGTTAACCAGTGCGTACATACAAAATTGGTGTAATGAGTGTCCAACTTCATTAAAACGTCTAATGTGCTGTCATGTTAAAAAATATTGTGTCTCTGAGTAAATTTCGAAAAAATTTTATGTGTGCTGAAGTGAAATAGTCAACCATCACAAATCATTACACCTTACCTTTTATTTCACTTAATGTATTTATGATTAGTATTGATAAAAGTAGGTGCCACATCAACCCTTTCAACAATCGTACCTACGAAGCGAATACCGACGTCCACGCGTGATCTATCTATATACATATCGACAAGTTGCAATAACAAAACAACAATTACATTATTATACTTTAAAAAGGTCGCACATAATCTTTTATGTACAAATTCAACCGGTTCAGTTACAATTTGACCGAACCTGACATCGATAGGGATACTTCACGTGGCACTTCGACCAAAATAAATTAAAGAAGCTAGTTTTAATGAGTTAATCATCAATTCCTATTAATTCTATATTATAAGTAGGACTTCCTCGAATACGTCACTCCGATTCTTTGGGGCCTAACCGATACGCCAGACGTTACCTAAAACTCAGAGCGCCGGCACTACCAATATAGGACCATGGACTCGGAGCTTAAATTTTAAAATCTTAGACGTCCAAAATGCCACGCAAAGTGGTACAAAATATTAATCTTATGTACATATTGTCGCTCGAAGATAAGAATAAGAACTATCATCTAGGTTAGGTGCGGGATATAAAAGGTGTGACCGCGGGGTTTACCTCCGCGTACTCTTGGAGGAGGGGCGCGAGTGCGAGTGCGTGTGGGGGGTCGCGCCCCCCCCCCGCTCCTAACTGGAGCACGACGCCGCCGACACCGGCGACAGCGGCGAGTCGCGCGGGCAGCCCGACAGTGTCACCACCACCTGCAATTACGTTCATGACACCATTAATAGCTGGCAGTCACAGCAACTAACTAGTCCCGAGGTTCCTAAAAAGTAACCCACATGGTTACCTAGTTTCATCTATTTCAGTCGCCAAGCTGCTTGTTTTTTAAGCTGGATTTCAGTTTATTGTAATGACATTACAACCCATGACCTTATTCAGTCCTAAATAAAAAATATAAATAAATGAAATGGTAACATGTGTGTGGAATCACGGGTACGTGTATCATGTGCTGCATTTAATGCTATATGTATATGCGACAGTCACTACTTACTATCAGGTTGGCCACATGTTTGTTTGCCATTGCAATTACATTAAAAAAAATTAGAAAATAGAGTATCAGATAGCTTACCTTCCGACTGCCAGCATGATTTCGATGCTCACAAAGCCACACACCCTGCCATGTGCCCAAATTAAGCTTGCCATCTGTGATGGGGATAGTCAGCGAAGATCCCAGAAAACATGCCTTCACATGTGCAGGCTAAAAAGAAACATCATATTATTATTAGCAAAATAAACCTATTTATATAAATAATAATGTAATACAAAAGTATCAGCCTCCTTTATATAATCTATATTATCAGAGACTATTTTTTTACTGTAGTGGAGTGTCAATAAGCATTTATTTGTCATCAATGGTTTTATAAAGCCCTTTCTTAGGTTCTCATAAAGTTTTTTCTTAGTAGAAAACACAGTTTCTACTGCATAGACCATATTATGAGTAACAATATACAGTTCCAGTTATTTTTATACCCTGTCCACACATTTTTAATGTAAAAAAATTGTATGCCCGTTATTAGCCAAAATATAATAGGACAACATCAACAAATAATGTTGTATAAATAATAATATTATTTCAGGACAATTCATGCACCACCATAGTCCCAAGCTAAGCAAAGCTATGTGCTATAAGTACTAGATAACAGATATAATAAAGTTAATATGAGTTTATCCGTGATCAAGGTGGTTGAAACACTGCCGAAATATCGGGAACTCAATAAATAAATATAAAATGTGGTAAGATCCCGTGATTTTTACTAATTCTACTTATAGATATAATAAATACATTATTTGTAAACACATACATAGGAAACACCCACAATATAAGCAATCCTACTCTTGAATACAAATGTTTATACCATGTAAGAAAATGTACCCCTAAGTTCTAATTGAGTGTTAAATATCTAAACCACAGAGGTTGGCGTGAACTGTTACATAGATCTAACTGACTAACTAACTAACTAACTCTAACTGTGAATTACACATCAGTAACAGTCCTCTTTCACATATAAAAGACAACTAAATAACACCAAAATAATAAAATACTTCATACCATAATGTTTTGGAACCATAAAATCATAATATTAGTGTCATAATGGAGCTTTCATATCTATTATGTTGACCTTAAGTTTGGCATGACATTACATTAACAAAAAAATCTATTTTTTATTTTAATTTAGATGTATGCATGATCATAAGCTCCTCAAAACTTCATGATAGACAAATACATCCTACATTTGTCAAAGTGTAATACAATATTAAAAATAAGTTAAACTTGCATAAGTTCTAGTTCTATTACATATTCCATAGCATATATAGTCTATCTAAGAAACAAACATGATTGAAATCTGTTCAGCTGTTTAAGCATCACTGAGTATAAATCTTCACCATCAAAACATTTCATTAAACTTTGACATTCCCAATAAAACAATTTATTTATTAAACAAAACTAATAAATATGAGGCAAACCTTTACATTAAATGTTAAACAACCATTAATAATTTTAATTTGCTTCATTAAAACATCATGGAACACAAAACAAGTGAATTTGTTTAGTTTCATTTATTAATTGCAGAATGACAGTTCAAAGACTTTGTAAATTGTTTACATCTAAAGTCCATATATTAGATATGTATAGTTTATACAGATAATATAGCAAAACAAATGATCTCACCATATCATCAGGTCCTTCACACGAGTGGCGGTAAGGCAAGCCCTCTGGCACAATTTTGTTGAGCATCATCTCCATGTCGTCTCTGACGTCAGGGTCCCAGCTCTCGTTAAGCGCGAGGCTCGCCGATGTGTGCATTACTAAAAACAACATGCACCATTAATCAGCTGGCTAACATGTTTTATCCACTTTTTATAGAATTAAATACCTCGACTGATACAGAAGTTAGAAAATAGCTTGTGATAATGTAGAGGGAATGTGACATTTGAAATGGGGTGCATCAACGGCGGCAAGAACGCAATCTTGACGGGTGACGGTTACTCACTCTGGATATGGCAGAGGCCGACCGCAAACTGCGACAACTCGGGCACCTGCTTGAGGATTTCCTCTGTAACTAGGTGTACACCCCGGTGCTGCGGCCTCAAATTCAGCTTCCGTTGAAACCACGCGGATCCGATCTGAATTCCTCGGTTCGAGGCCATGTTTAATTTTTAAAAACGCTACAGAGTGATCGCAAGAACACAAACGATCTTACACAACATCACTTAGAACAACCTTTACACAAATTAATCCACAATTATCATAAAAGATTCATTTTTGATCTTTAAATAGTAATAAATATAACGGAGGTTATAGGACAGATTCGACACCCTATTTTCTGCGGGAAAGTGAAATAGTTAGCGAGCGAAAGAGAAAAAACATACGAATGTTGTCAATAGAAAAAAAGGCAATTAAATCTATGTAAGATTTATTGCAAATACGTTTTAAATACTTCATATAAATATTATGTATACAGTATAATAATGGCATTTAAATTTAACTAAATAAATTTTTGCCTAGTTTAAGATAATAATGCAATTTATTTACCAATTATCGATGCAGAAGTGTCTGGAAAAGCTAGATATTCAAAACCCACCCTACAGTATCTTTCATTTCTATTTCGTTTTTAACGTAATGAAAATGATTTTATACAATTTTTTTTTTATTTTATGAAACTTTTTCTAATTTCGAGTAGTTAATTTAAACTGTTAACACTGTACTACTGTAATACTGCAATGAAAATGGGCGGGAAATTTAAATGTACGGGCAGATATTTATGTACAATTGTGTTATGCCTAAATAAAAAAGTAAATTATCTAATAATTTAATGTACGCATATCTAACAGTTATAAAAAATAAAAGACAATAATTTACTTATTTCTTTTTTCTCATTAATGTTACCATTTAACGTAAATAAGGGTGTGCCGAATGACGATAGCTTGTTAGGTGTGGCAAACAACCACTCCTAGAAATTAGAACAATTAACTATTCCTTCAATTGGCACAGTGTGTGAATGTTTGTTGACTGTTTTGCCCTAGTTCGTGTATTAATTAAAAGGATTATTCAGCACTATGGATCCAATAATGGACGTAATTAAAAACTCCGAAGAACCAGAATGGCTTGAAAAGCGCGTCTTGGGGGAACTGAGACTTTGGCAGATGATGTTTCTTTGTTTGGCTGGTGTTACGTCTATTAGTAAGCATCTTACTTTATTTTCGTATTCTAAAGCGTCATATTTGTGGGTATGAACTTCTGATAAAATAGTTGCTGTAATTATGATAAGTATTCTTCATAATTTATCACATCTGGACAATTATTAAACTTCGATAGTTCGTAAAAAAGCTATAGATGGCTCTAATAAAACTTGCGATAGGTACGCGAACGCGACCGGAGACAGGAAACACAGAATAATAACAATTAGTTATTGTTCCGACCAGGAAACTATGACGTCACGTGACACACTCGTATCCGTTTGTCGCGTGAACTTTACTGTCTATCTGGCATACACAATAATTACTTATTATAACTGTATTGTTAGATTTTGAATCTAATGTGGCGTGTAAGGGGCGACTCCATAGAGTTAGGCGAGCCTACCGGCGTCTCTCAGATAATTTTGTTTAATATTTCGGTAGTTACATCATATGTGTGAATCAAATATAAAGTTATTATCGGACAAATTCGAATTTAGGGCCGTTGGGTCCAAATTGGGGTAGTAAACCATAGAACCATGACGTTCTAGAGTCTAGAGCGTCATGGAGACGTCTAGACTATATTAAATAATTTATTCTAAGTAGACCATGATATATAAGTACTTAACCGTTATATTTATAGCTGTAATGGTGTGCTGTTGTTTCCGTTTCCGCATCCCGCGTACCAAGCAACAAATAGAAGCGGACTACCAACGGCGGAAGATCACCTCCAAATTTCGACAGCAGCTGGAAACAATCCAGGACGCAAAAATGGATGCAATGTCGTTGAAAGATGGTGAATAGTAGTAAATGGGCTTGCGTAGGCGGGGCATACATTTTATAGTTCCATTATATATCTATTGATATATTTCCGTCATTCATACGTTATTATTCTACAATGGGATGCTAATTTAAAATTATTTTTCGTACAAACGAGGACTCCACAGACTTTAAAAAGTTATAGTTTAATACATCTTACTAAAATGCTTGTAGTAAAGTATTATGTCATTTAAATACATTTTCAGACTTAAAATAGAACTTGAAAGTACATTGCCCGATTTATGAGTCTAGTACCATATGTGAACCCCCTAGTCTGCGCCGGCTTTTTTCTTGATAATTTCATAATATTTATAATTTCAATTCACACAGCGTCATCTAGACCCAATTTAAGCTAGCTAAAGCTTGTGTTATGAGTACTAGAAAACTCTTACAAATACATAGAAGTTTTTTCGTAAATACATACACAATTATACTCATGATTACAAATGTCTGCGCCGTTCAAGGAATCGAACCCACGACCATCGGAATTAAAGCGGTATGCTAAACCGCTAGACCACCAAGGCTGTTAATGGTATTGAATTTTTGGTATAGTTATATATGTAATTATACCAAAAAACAACCATTTGTGAGCATGAAATCGTCTACAATGCTCATAACTGTATAAAAACTAGGATATAATGAATTATTGTGCTAATATTATATAGATAAGTTTATGTTTGGATGTCCCTACTATCAAACTGTAATATCTGGTACTACTACTTATCAGATTTTGAAATTTCTTTTACTGTTGGATAGCCCATTTACCGTGTAAGGCTATAGGTTTAGTTCCTATAGGTCGTAGAGTATAAAGTGGAGGAATATCCTTCAATTCTTGTCCCTTACAGGCTTAGGTAGAAAATTTTGAAAAAAGGGCGAGCATATGTAGGTTGCGTTGCTATTGATCTTAACACCTGACAATAGCCTAAAAAAAAGGAATGCTGCGGAAACGGAGTATGTGACGCTGAAAGCGTCTAAAACCTAGTTAAATAAGTATAATAGATAGATAAAAAGTTTGTACCGATCAAACAAAGTTCGTAGTCGACACAACTCAGTTTAACCCAATAATTTTACAACCAAGGGCACTAATGTTAGGTTGTCTGTAGGTTTTATCTTGTGATGTAATTTATAATTTAGATATACTCACGCTTAAATTCAAACACATTTAACGTGTATACTACATCTTTACCAAAACTCATGTCAGTTTATTTCGACTTCGTCCTATATAATTATTTTTATTGAAAATAAAGTTATTATGATACTAAATGTCATTATAATGTAAATGTCTATTACTTATTAATTATTTTTTAAAGTAATTAAAAAAGAGTTTGTCAAGTCAACTAAGATAATTCATTCCCATTGCAAATGAAGTTACAGATGAATTAACCTGTATAAAAATGTTAGATAAGATAATGAATTTGATATGCGGTAGATACCTACTTGCATGTCAGTTTCAAGATAGGACAAATCTCATCTCTGTTGTTTAGCTCTAGACTTGCTGCACGAAAAGAGTGGTCACAACATGAACATCGACAAGCAACGAGTATCACAACAGAGCTCTATCATATCGCCTCAGCAAAGTAAGTACGGCACCTAAGTCTTTTTTTTTATTAATCGAAAGGAACGATGCTCCCCTATACGCTAACGATTTACGCTGTCCGGGCACCAGTTGAGGATGATAGGATTAGCACGAGGTCAGTTCAGTTAGGTCATCTTAGCCTGAGCTAACGGTTATATGCTAGCGATGCAACAGAGTCGGATGATAGTATAAGTAATAAATTAAGTCAGTTAGTCCATCAAGGCGAATTCACTTGGAATTAAACAGAATACTTTTTGATCCTTTTTAACTCCCTTTATTAAAAAGTTCTATAATAGACTTTAAAGTTGTTTCTCGAATTCTTTCTTAGTTTGTCATTGGACGTGTGAATTATGTACCTATAAACCACGTTTTAAGTAATCATTTGTGTACAGGTTCATTGGACGCATCCTTTCTACCAGAGGGTGGGCAGAAACCCGAGCCACAAGTGTCCGGCAGTTTTGCAAGGATTGCCAACAAGGTAGCAAACTTGACGAAGTTAAACCAACCCAAATCACCGACATCACCTATTCCTTCCGGAAATAAAATGGACTTTTGAAATGTTTTCAGTTATGGTTGTCATATTAAGCATTATACTATAATAATTTGACTATACTTACTCGCAATGTAGATCTCAATGTTTTGTGTAGCAAAACCAATAATAAAATGAAAACTTTGTTTAATGAGAAACTTATTAAGTGTATGTCATATCTTATTCATAAAAAGTTAAAACCCTCTATAAATCCATATTAATTTTAGATTAACTCCTATTAGAGTTAAAAAGTATAGATTTATACACATATGAAGTACAAGGAAGATAGTCCAGAACTGCGTAGGGGCCCACACACTAAAGTGGCCCGACGCCGCACTATGGAAAATATAGTTCAGTTTCGAATCAAAAATCTATAACTTCGTGATTTTTATCATATCGTTATGAAATTTGATATACATATGTTATAATATATGTAGATTTAAATAATATATATTTATATATTATTTGAATCTTTATTTTTATTATATAGCGATTTCTCTTTATATGTTTAAATTTAAATAGCGTAAAGAGACAAAACATGGCATAAGCACGAAAAAAGAGGTAAATTGTTTATTTAATTAGGTAATTTTTATAAAAATTAAAACTAACATTAACCATAAAAAATAAAACTATCAATAAAAATATTAATAAAAAACAATATCTTTAAATTTGTCGTTTTCGTCTACTTCACTTTTATTACTTAAGTTATATTTTTGACATTTACCCTATAATGTGGGTTTTTACATTTAATTTAAGAGTGAGTGAATATAAAATACTTATTTACTTAGGATATACACACATTTCAGTTGCAAGTGGTGCCACTTTTAGGAGACTTAGTGCTTCCAATACAATAAAGTTTTGAATGATGAACCATCACATCCCCATTTGCTGTAGAGAATTAACGTTTTATATTGTTTTAGGTAAATTGAACCGATTTTCAAAATTCTAGCAACAGTGTGGTTCCTGTAAATCTTAGATATTAATTACTTTAGCAGAAGTATTGGTGATCTCAGTTGTAGAAGATGGTGTATTGCAAGATTTCTTTATTTCTTGTATTTTTTAGTAAGGTAATATACAACATTTTTGTTAATTTTTTAGGTTCCTTAAGTACATATATTGTGCTTTAGTTATATCCAAATCAATATAGTCAATGCTTCCGGATCAGAAAGCATTTTTAACTGATCTGAGTCATTCCTGATACCTGAAATGTACAATTTCTTTTGATCGGCGTTCCTTAAATGATAAGATATGCTTCTGTGTTTTCATCTATAGCCCGTAGTCCCTGCACGTATGCTTTACTGATGGGCTCAGTCATATTCTGCAAGTAGAAAAGTATTTTTCCACCTCTTGGTAGATTCTGAGGAGTCTATATAAACCATGTATGGTCTTCTTCGTTGGCCAGAAGTTGATGGTGTAGAATATTGATAAGAATTAAACATTGGAAGAATGTGCCTTTGTATGTCACGTACATACATATTATAAAACATATTTCGTTTTCAGAAACATTAAATTTTTCCAATAATACTTTGGACAATGATTCCACAGTTCTTCCTCCCTCGATATAAGGAAGTATCTTTTAGTACAGTTGAAGGAAGACATTGTATAACCATAGATAACATAGCCATATATATAACTATAATTCACAATCTGCGGTAATTATAGCCGTAAATGAACTATACTTCACTTGAAGTTTTTTTTATACCACTTAGGTGGCATACAAGCATACGGCCCATCTGATGGTAAACGGTTACCGTAGCCTATGGACGCCTGAAACACCAGGGGTGTCACATACGCGTTCTCTCGCATCTCTCGAGAAAACCGCGGCAGGTAGTTCATTCCACAATCTTAGTGTACGCGGGAGGAAGCTCCTCTAAAACCGCACTGTCCGAGACCACTTAGGTTCCAGCGTGTGGGGATAAATTCCCTGTCGATGGCGAGCGGTGCGATGGTAAAAGGTTGCCGTAGGCATCATGTCAAACAATTCATCAGAACACAGTCCGTTGTATATTCGGTAGAACACACAAAGCGATGCGAAGTTTCGCCTCAAGCTAAGTGGTTCGATACGGTTTGAGAGATTGGGATCATCGACAATTCTCATAGCACGTCTCTGAACCGAGTCAAAAGGACCGAGCTGGTATCCAGGTGCTCCTGCTCAAAGATGAGAGCAGTACTCCATGTGCGGCCGAACTTGCGACTTATACAAGAGAAGTCTCTGATCCGCAGTGAAGTACCGCCTCGCTCTATTCAGCACACCGAGCTTTTGGGACGCCAGCTTGACCTTTTCTTCGAGGTGATTACGGAACTCAACTGTGCTAGAGATGTCGACACCGAGAATGCCAATGCTCTTATTATTTTTTTACAGTTGAAGGGGAATGATCGCGCTGGTATTAGAAAGGACAAAGGATGTGTCAACGCACCCCAGTATTGCACAGGTTTGGCAAGTTACACTGAACTTAATGGCTGGAATAACAATTAAAAAATAACATAATGTTCATGCGAACAGTCCCTGTGGTAAATCGCAAAAGATACAGAATTTTCCTACTCAGACTTTTATCAATTTGTTGTCATATCTTCTAAAACGTTCGTTGATGTTTTTGTATCTTGCTAATGAATAGACTATGAATTAATACAAAAAGTAGCGGATGGGGAGGCGTGGGTAACAGTCCTAACTTTTTTTTTGAGACTAACTTTAGTAAAGTTCTGTTTTAAGTACTATCTCAAATATTTCAAAAATAAATGAAAATTTTAAAGCTGTTTTGTAAAGTACATAAAATTATCTTCCTAAAAATATAACACACTGCATAGGTATCTGTGCTTAATATTTTTTTCTCAATATTGTTTTGAAACTTGAACACCCAAAGTCTTGAGTTTGGCTCCACTATCTTCGATGAACTTCTGACTATGAAATTGCGTATTAGGTAACAAAATCTTATTGAATATTATAACTATTTGAGTATCTATTTAAATCAAAATTAGGTAACAAAATCTTATTGAATATTATAACTATTTGAGTATCTATTTAAATCAAAATATCACCCAGATTATGATATTTGTAAAAACCATTTATGCGGTGGACTGTTATTGTGACCCCATGACTCTGGCAATAGGCGTTTCGTCGGGATCTCTTGGAGCTTTTAGTCTCCATTAGGCATTTTCTCTAAATAAAAAAAAATTAGAGCGTAGACATTTCTTATATGTATGTTATATTGAAATAAAATAATGGAATAAGATGTTTTCTTTAATCTAGAAAATAAAAATACAGAAGGTATAAACGGATTTTAAATCACAAGAATAATTACATATTCACAAATAACTTCCTCTCAGTTTACATAATCTCGCATAAAAACTGACAGTAAAAAAAACAATTATCAAATTGTAGCCGTAACTTTAAAGCAACATTTAACTTACATTTCATTATACATAAATAATACATCTGGCAAATAAAAATTACATAAATTCAAGTTAGCTACAAAAATTTTATTTAATAGTTAAATTGTTTCTACATGCTGGTATTACATTCATGGGCACTCATACACTCTGTATGATGTGTTTATCAACTGTCATGTTATACTCCTCTCATTAACTATTTTATGACTTAGCAAATTATATTAATATTTTATATAACTCCAATAACTTCCAGACAAACAGTTTTGGTAGCCTAAACGACTCTCAGTCCATGACTCGTTTTAAATTACGCCACAATCTCAGCCCAACACAGTAATTACCTTACGCTCTAGTTCCTCGCAACCCTATATTTTAACTCTTTCTAATATATGTACTGGATTCATAGCATCTTCTATTACTTTCCTGTCAATTTCAACACATTACCACCATTCATAATGGGCTCCTTGGTGTTTCAATATACTTTGAGCAATTATTTTTGGTGCGATGTGTTGACGATGTAAAAATATTTGTATTATTTGATTTTTCATCTAAAACACTAAATATAACATTTCAAAACATAGTACGTTATGATAAAATAATTTTGCTAAAATTAGGAGCCTACTCATATATAATATATTGTGTTAAAAATTAAATGCACAATGGAATTTAAAATAGTATGTAATTGAATTGCACTTAATAAGACCGTGATCTAAACTAGCGACTCTATAGGACCGAAGGATCGCGACGATCACGCACGGCGCGGGACGTCGCGTCGCACACAAACCAACGACAATCACAAATAAGGCCATTGTGTTATATTCATCGTGATCTTGTTTATGGAAGAATCTATTGAGACTGTACATTTTCACTTACAATATATATTTAATTGAATCCGACCTACCTAAAACGAAAGTGTATTTTTTATATATAAAATATTGTTCACGTATTGCATAACATTATTAAACTAAATGGGACAGTGTTTAAATAATTAATATATGTTCGTGCATTATATCTGTCATCACGACATTTCAGAGATATACATTTTTACAAGTTTGTAAACCGAAACAAATATAAGCTAGATTTTATATAGTACATTATACCCTACTTGAGGATTGGTAATTGCATTACTTATATCAACATAATTACGTAAGCAAAGTGGAGGGTTCTCTCCCATCTCACTATGCCATTACGAACAACGGTTCTATTTGTCCAGGTGTACGCTATAGGAACCCAAGTTTAATGTCGCAGTGCTATAAATAGAACTCTCATTATATTAAAGCATAATTTTGTTATCAACAAGTCCTACGGCAACATTTAGACTTTACGCTATTCTCGAAGAATTGAAAATAAATATTAATACAATGTGCACATTCCATCACTCAATCACAAAATTGTCCATCGGCAGTACGATTGAGCATGTGTGTTCATAATATTTGGCAATCCATTTGTATTGGCCTCATGTAACAGCTAGATCATTCACTGTTGGAAATTATAAGTACTTTGTGACGTTGTAAACTCAAAAACTTACAAATTTATGGTTAGAAAAAGAAATACGCACATTGTGATTGAACGAGACCACTCTAATAATATCGTTAGTTTCCTCAAGTTAGTTATATGAAAATTGTTCGCTTTACAAGGTGGATTGTATGACTTAATGTTTATTGCACTTCCTGACAGTAACCATCCGACGGTGTGTGGTGAGCGGTGATCGGTGGAAGTTCCTATGGTTGTGAGATGTTACCGGAGTGGCGTCGTTACAGGTCGTACTTTAAACAGGAGGACAGCTGTGCTGTGGTCGGCGCCTACGTCCCGCCGGCTCGCAACACTCAATCTCGCCTAACAAATGTTCTTCCCCTAAAATATACAAAAACCTTGATGTAATAATGGCAATACTCCGAAATAAAGTAAACACAAAAGTTGTAATATTTTCACATAAATATTCAAAACAATAATGAAGGCACAAAATATTCAATGGCTGGTACAAAACTATAACTTTAACATCTATACAAATAAACAAACTAGAAAAGTCTTGCTTAGATTTAATAATAAGTAACATCCTTCATTACATGAGGGATATAATAGGGGAACAAGAAGTTCCCGTATTCCTCCAGGACTATGACACATATGACACAGATCAATTTTTATCTTTGCCTGTAAAAGTGCAAAATAGTGTACCAAAATACTGGATACGAGAAAATCGTGACTTATTCAGAAAATAGTAACAAGTTCTATGAGTACATAAAAGGTTTAACATGGTCAGAAATTTATCAAATGATCTGGGATAAGACTTAATGTTTTAAATGAAACTCTCCTATTATTTTGTAAATTTTGCTTTCCTATATGCAATACTAAAGTTAATAATAGAATTTAAAAGGACAGCTATGCCCTGGATTACAAAGAGTATAAAAAAGTTTTAGCATGTCACAAATTTTTCTTACTGTTTTATACTCATACAAGGCAGTATATTTATCATAGTAAAATGTATAGATTTAATACAAACGTGATTGTCTTCCGTTCGGCGGGGCGGCTTGTATTCTGCGGGCGCGCGCGATTTAGCACCTTGAGGAGATCGCCGGCCTTAGCGCGCATGCGGGAGTGCACGTATACCTTGGAGCACTTGATATGGTAGTGCAGGTAGTCGCGGAACATGTGCAGCAGGTCGATGGTGTTGTCACGCGCTTCGGAGCACGTGTGCCGCGGGAACAGCACTATTGACCAACACACGCACATTATTTAATAAAGTCGCTATCTCTGTTTATTCATTTAGATCTTTTAATCTACAAACTACGGATTTTATTGCAGTTTTTAGCAACAAATAGAATATATCAAGAGGTAGGTTTATGTATATATATAATACCGTGCGAAACCGGAGGGCAGATAGGATATTATAACTAACAGTTACCCGCATTATCGTCTACTTTTTTTATAAATATATATGCTATGTCCGTAATTCTGTATACATTATATTTATATTTCTAATTTCTTTAAGACTGTTGAGCCCTTTAGTAGTGCAAATACGAACATATTTTTAAATTCATAAATATTAGTACGATGATTTAGGTGGATTCAAAGATTACAACATATATTTCAAAATGGGCGTAATTATAATACGTACACGATCCATCATAGGTGATCATATACGGGTAATTTTATAAAACAAAAAACTGACAAGTAAGTTCATTAAATCAAGTAACGTTGCTGAAAGTAAGTATACTTTCCATATATTTTTGAAGCTCTAAATATAATAAAACTTCAACTTGATTATATTTTCGATTATTGTCATGTAGTATTCATACGACGCGACTATAATGCAACTTACCAAACGTAACATAACTGATATTTTCGCCTACTTTTGCATCAGTGTCCATGAGTTCTAATGGCGGCTCCCTGTGTGAGAATAACACCTGAAATCATAACAAAATTATCTTTCATACACATTGTCCATTTTCAGCCTACTTTATGTAATATATTTATATAAAAGCTGTACACTGCGTTAACGTTAGATTTATTGAGATAAAAAATGTGTTCTATTCATACTTGTGGTGTATTCTATCTGTAGGTGATAGAATGAGTGGACTGTATGTGTGATGTAAATCAAACAATGGATAGAAAATGGTAAATACTTATAATGAAGATAGGTACGAGTACAAACGGTTGTAGGGAAAAAGTGACAATAAAAAATATATGACAATTCTAAAAGAAAATACATTTAAAATTGGTAGAAAAATAAACATATAAAAATGTGCAAAGAGTTTGCAACACTATCTTTACATCAAATGTTATAAACAAATTTTTTACTAACTTTTTTAATATTAAAAGATAACAAATAGATAGACATAGTATAACTGAAATAATATACGTCTATATTTAATTTAAAATAATTAATAATCATATTTACCTGTGGGGCAGTGTGTGAGGCTCTTCTTCCCTCTTTAAGTTCCTGCATGAACACTTTTCCGATAACCATGTCATCTTCGTGCCGGAAAACGGTCGAGAAAACCACCGTCACTCGGTCTTCTTGCGCTTCAACGTACCTGTTATAGAGAAATACAGACTTACCATAAAAGTTATCAAAATCTTGATACGTTATGAATTTTCATAACAATTCGTGTGGTATGGTCCAGGCAAAAAATAGACATGTTTGACGTAGTATCTGCAGTATTATATTTACATACAAAATTGTCTATTACGCAAGCTTCTTTGTATTTGTTTTTACTCACTTTGTTTACCGCGCTGTCAGGCACTATTTTTATTAGTGTACGTACATATCGTCGGTTAAATAGAAAAAATGGCACTATTCAAAATGTACATTTTTTACAAGACAAGCATTTAAAGTTTATAAATTTATTTAAATTATTATTTATTTATTTTGAAATTTCAACAAAAATTTACACAGAAGTATTATATACCATTTAATTATTTAGATAAATTAAAAAGTATTTAGATAACGATTAAGACAGCATGGTTAATTTAATTGACTTATATAAATGATCTTATAAAAACTTCTAGCTTCTAATTTTGAAAAATGTCATTTTTCTATATAATCAACGATAAAGATAGACTTGACATATTTTCTTCAAAATAAATTGAAAACCATTTGAGATATTTAAAAAAGTTTATTATCGCGTTGAAGTACATTCAAAACATTTATGAACGCAACTTGACTTCGCTCATATGGTAACCGCGGGCACGTTTGCAGCTGCCGAATCGTTGGTCCCAATTTTCCATGACTCGACCACACATTTCGGCCGAAATGGCTGCTATTTCGCGTTCAATATTGGTTTTGAGCTGTTCAACGTGGTCGGTTTATTAGCATAGACCAATGACTTGACGTAGCCCCAAAGAATCTCTATTAAGAAAATCCAGAGGAGTTAAATTGCACGAACGAGGCGGCCAATCGACTGGTCTATTTCTTGAGGTAACACGCTCATCAAACTTGTTCTTCAATAAATCAATTGTAACGTGTGCTATGTGGCTTGTGGCGCCGTCTTGTTGAAACCACAAGTCCATATATTCTAATTCGGGCCAAAAGTAATCGATTATCACGGTGCGATAACGATCACTATTCACAGTAACGTGGCGACCACTATCGTCGACGAAAAAATATGGCCCTATGACACTGCCGTCATGCAAACCGCACCAAACAGTTATCTTTTGTGAATGATGTGGTTTTTCATTAAGCACATGTGGATTTTCACCCGCCCAACACCGCATATTTTGTTTATTGACACACCCATTGAGCCACTGAAGATAAATTTGCAATGAAATTGATCATCTTGGCGCATCTTTGCCAGAGCCCAATCGGAGAACGTACGTCACTTCGAATACTTCGAATTCTTGAGTGCGCCTGATCTTGTAAGATCAGGCGCACGAAGTAAGATCCTTACGCAAAATTCGCCATAAAGTGGTCTTGGCGATGCCCAACTCTTGAGAACGCCGTGGAATTAACTGATTTGGATCATTTGCTATGGACGATTCAACGGCAGCGATATTTTCGACACTTCGACCAACCCGTAGTCTCACTGGCACGGCAACATCACACAACGAATATGCACTGAAACTTTTTCACTAAACTTGTCTGTCTACTAGGGCGACAATTACGACCGAAAATCGGCTATTGAAGTAGCGGCCACCGACTCCGAATTTTTGTAGTAAATTTTAAGATTTGCAGACGTTGTTCGTTCGTGTACTTCATCACCATGATGAAAAGGTTATGTCTACAGAATAAACTGACAGTGAAAAGGTGCGTTCACAACAAAATTCAAAATTGTCAAATCCCTATTATATATTTTTTTTCGTTTCCCTATTATATAAGGGTTTTCCACCCTTTATGTGTATACAGTAACCAATATCGATCTTTTTTTACAATACAATACAAACTAGTCAATTCCGTAAGTATGTAGTCAAGCATGACTAATATTAAGTAATCACTTAAGTTACATTTAATGTAATTTCGATGTAACTTTGCGCTATTTTAAATTAACTACTTATAATGTAGTGAACTACTCGTGGTTAAAATATTAACTACATATAGAAAATGTATTTTAGTCATTAAAAGTTATTTCAATATTAAAACAGACAATCCAATTTTATTTGTATGTATAGATGTGCAGTGCAGACAATAATGATTGAAAGTTATATAACACTGTATTAATTTTTATATTTTATTAAAATTACTGATTACACAGATTATTATTTAAGGTAAAGCATAGAACTTGTAAATTGCAAGAACAGTGTGCCAACAACCAATTCATAAAATCCACATTAAAAACATTCTCACTCAACAATTTTATATTGGTAGGCAAATAATTGTCAAACGTCACAGACATGTTTACATTATTAATATGCCATGCATATTAGAGATGTACTGGTAAAAAATTAATTGTAGTAAGATTAAAAATTTAATTGTAATAAGATTGGCCTAGAGCTATCATTATACCATGCATTATGTTACATAATTAAAATATTTACCTGCTTATAGAACATTTATTTAATCAAGCATATAAATATATATAATTGGTTAAAGCTACATATTTACCTGAAGCAACTCTAGAAACTGAATCGAGTATCACAACTGTTGAAATATAAATGTATAAAACAAATACTCACAAAGTTTCATCTTGTCGATAATTGATAACGGCCCGCTTTTTGCTAACATCGCCATCTTCCTGCAGCCGGAAGTAGCATTCGAATACTGACGCGAAGCAGTTTCTCTTTAGCAGGCCAACCTTCTTCACGATGTCCTCCCAGTCATCTGGGATGTTCTCCAGATCAAGTAACACTGATACATTGTAACCTGCGATATTCCCATTTATTATAAAAAAAAATTAAATAATGTTTAAAGTTTATATATAAATTTACATTAATTTTACACTTAGATAAAAAATGGAATTGTTATCGCAATGCGTCATTATAAACAAATTATTAATATGTGTTATAAATAATTATTTGTTTAAAGGAAGTTGGTGTCACTTTGCATTATGAATCAGCAATGACTGACGAATAATATTCTGAAAACTATTGGCAATCCATGCAATTTGGCCATAGCAATTTTAAATAATTAATGATTATGTTATCTAATGTAATGACAGACAAAATATACGAAGAATAATCTTGAAAATATTCTTATTTTATTATTCTTTACATACAATTTGTTTAATATAATCTTTTTTATGCAGCTACATACAATCCTCACATCAGCAGCCTTATCAAAATATAATATCTACCTAAATATATGTACTATCTTATCTCATACCTAAATAAGATACCAAAACATTGTAAAGTGTTCATGTTGGGTATTCTGATATTTTTTTGTTATTTACCTCTTGATTAGCTATAACCACATATGACGTTAATGACACTCTTCAGATATAGTTCCACCCACACTTGAGCAGTGAAATACAAATTGTGCCATATCTCTTGTGTAACATTGCAATGCTTGATTGAAATAAGGTCGAGAGTAATTATGACAAAGCTAACAAGCTGCGACTCACTTGTAATATAGTAACATACTTTATTAAATTACTTTGTTAATCAATATGTTTTTGTATTATTATTTATTTATTTTAATATAGACCTATATGAGAATGTATATAATAAAAAGATTGTTTTATTATTAGATCAGTAATATTAATAATAGGTTTTAAGGAAAACATAATAAGGACTAAAGTTTGCTTTAGCTTTAAGGATAATTAAGTTTTCGATGTGTAATATTGTGTAACAATTATTGTTATGAATACAATACCAATATTATGAGCAATTAAAAATTATGGCAGTGACAATTATATATTTTGGAATAAAATAATTGTAGGTTCTGATAAGATTGTTTGATTAAGATCTGTATTCCTACATGGTCTAGGTTCCAGATATTTATTATGTGACATTTTATTGACAATTATTGTTTTGAGAGAATGTAATATTATTGTGAAAACTACATTATTATTACTTATATTACTACTTGGATGTATTAGTATAAACAATAGTATAAAAGTTTCCTACCCGACTCTGGTTCCGTAAGGAGGGGCCCATAAACTCTTTTAAGCAACTCATCTGCCCCATGTTCTTCTAACTGCTTGTAAAACTTGAGTGATATACTAACCTAAAAACAAAAATGTAAACAATTAAATGATTCAAATAATATAACAAGGCTATGACATTAACAAAAAAAAAGGATTTGTGACAATAAATATGTAATTATCCTTCTTTTATCACATCAAAATCATTTAGTTTATATTTATTAATTTCCTTAAATTCTTATAGATAAGGTTCTTTCAGTATATAATGTATTCATCATAAGCATATAAAATTAATATATTAACAAACATAGTCGCAAATAGAAGCAAACTATAGAAGATAATTTATTAGAATTATTAGGGACACCATAGCTACTGGGTCCATATTATGTACAGAAATATAATTGAATGTCCAACAACAGCATGGCATAAAGAACAAAATAGCATCACTAAATCACATTTTTGTATGATGTAGTGATACCATTTTATTACTGTATTTTTTTTATTCTATATGACTAATTCCTGGTTATTATATTTATTAATAAATTGATGTAAAATGGCAGGCTTCTTAATCATTTCTGTCAATTACAGTATTATTTATTTAAGATAGCTATTTTTTTAAGTATAAAAAAGGTTTACAATATGTATAGGAAATTTAGTAATGTAAAATTAGTAATGTTACCAAATTTCTATTGCAAAATTAACATTTATTTATTCACACTGAATTTATGCTTTATAATATACAGTATAGGAGTAAACTTTATGTATTGGTATTGTATTTTTAAACAATGTGTTGATGTTATCTGATTCATTTGATTGTTATACATGGCTACTGAATAGCAGGTAGTTTGCATCATCAAAAACATAAACACTAGACATAATTGAAGACTTATTTTAAATAACACAAATTCACTTAAAAAGTGATGGCTTTAATCAAGCCATCTTTGCAAAGTGGATTTCATAAACAAAGTTTCATAAATAAACAATATAATATTTTTCTTCACTTTTCTACAGCATAAAATAGATCTGTGTATGAAATAAATGCTTGAATTGGGCATTATTGCTATAAATATATGATTAGTATTCTTTGATTAGCATTAACAGTTTACATTACAATATATTAGAGATTTCTAATTCAATTAATAATATTTTTATGATAAGTTGTACAATCCTAATTAGTACCAATACTTAAATATTATGTACTATTGTTATTCAAAGACAACAAAATAATGTTATGAAAATAGAATATTCAGACTTACCCTAACTTTGGTTTTATCTCCATTGATATTAGATATATGAAAAAGAACTCCATCAAAGTCTGCTACTGTCACATCAATAGACTCTGGCTTTAAACTGAAATAAATGGTGTTTTAAATTAAATAGAATTGTTTATTTATTATTAAATAAATTGTAAATGAAATGTCCATCATTACACGATCTTTCAGTGAAATTCAAGAGCATTTAAGTTTATAGGATGTTCCTATACGCGGCCACCAGTATCAGTAAACAAGTGCCATGACTCATACGTGTTGATGTAGGCGCTGCCACCATAGCGTCATACTTAGGAACTCTGACGAACGCTAAGTCTTAATATATAATAATCATACTTTTTAAAACTTTTGTCACCATTAGTACTATAATTCATCAGCCAACGTGTGCTCATGGCCCACCCTGGTCATTTGACATTTGTCAAGACGTCAAGATACTCCCGGAAAGGGGTTAGAAGTCAAGAAACAGTGTTAATGTAAATATCTGTCTTTATAGAGATTTCTGCCCGATTACCCACAATCCTTGTACACGGTTGTTAAACACAACATGATTATAAAATCAGTAAACTTTCTAAGCGTAAAGTAGGTACTCACCTGGCCAATGCATTTTTATATTTCACAGTTAGAGTTTCTTCTATAATTCTATTATTGATCTCGAGTAAGATCATTATTTACTAATATATACCTACAGTTTTTTCATAAAATCAACGCTTATAGCACCTTCATTTAATATTTTTTGAAGAAATGTTCAAAGATGACCACCCGTATCACCGTACAGATATCCATAGACCATAGAAACATTTTTATGCCGATTATGCCGTAATGCCATAGACTATTGAACGCTTTTTATATGAATTTAGAAATTGAAATTACATCACAATTATTTGATATAATATATATGTATATAAATATAAACATAAACACTTTTAATATCATATCATTTGTGAAAGATTGCAGTATATGAAAGGCTTAAACCCATTGTTATACTATACAAAGTCTGAGGTTGGCAACTTTATTACAGAAATGACTAGTATCTAATATCCAAACCCGTAAAAAATAATAAATAAATAAAAAATATTCTAAATACTAGGGATATAAGCAAACTTCTATACAAGAATATCAAATATTATGTATTATATTTCATATCATTAGTGTATGTTTGTATAAAATAAATCGAATTATCATTATTTTTTTAATTTAGCATTCGTAATTTTTGAGCCTCTGAATCAATGTTTTTATTCAGTTAACCGGTTTTTAATTAAAACATGGATTAATACAATAGTTTATAAAAATGTGTTCTCTATAGTAATTGACAGATTTTTCAACACGATTGTAATGACGTCTCTAGTGTCAAATCTACCTGCTCTGTGGTGGTCAAGTCAACAAAATATTAATAAATATTTTTAGTTTTTACTCAATTAATTTGCTATCAAACAAATCAGATAACCAACAAATTAAGGGACTGTTATTCGTCTTCGCCCAATAAATTCTATTTGTTTTATTGATATCTAATTAAATTGTGTGAAAATAAAATTTTGCGCACCAAACAAATAGATTAAAAAACAAACCTACAATATGAAGCATCGTTTATCACGTTATTAGACATCTCGATGTAATGAAAAAAAGTTGAAAATGTCTAATCAAGTAGCTCAATTTGTGGCTGGTCTGAAATCACGAAATGTAGATGCACAAATAAAAACTGCCCGTGAATTATATCATTATGCAAAGACCGAACTACGAGAGGTACCTCAAGAAGAACTTACCCAGTTCCTCGATGAATTTAACCATCAAATTTTTGAAATGGTATCCAGCAATGATGTCCATGAAAAGAAAGGAGGAGTGTTAGCAATTGGTATGTCAAAATTATTAATTATCTTTACTGTTGGTGGGTTTGTACGTGAATCCTTAGGATCCAGCGCATTATGTTTCTGTATTTTGCCGTTTTTCATGTAGTTAACCAAGATGCTGTAAAATTACTGTAATCTTTTCTAATATTATACAAATAAGTAATATTTATTGTTCATTGATTTTGTTTTTAACTTCTTGCTACTTTAAGAGATTGAAAATTGACTTACACACAACTCAACCTATCCAATTAGCAGGATATAGGCTAAGGTATGAAATAATTTGTAACATGAAATAATATTAAATTGTCATGGAAAATAATATTGTATGGTAAAGTTGAAACTGTTGTCCCTACTGTTTAACAACATTCTAAAAACATAGACAATTTGTAATGTTTAAAAAATAGCATATGAAAAGCTTTTTAAGTAAAAAAGCTAAATCATATTATACTCATACTTTAACTATTGAACCTATTAACTTGAACTGGTTTCTTTATTTGAAGGAAAGAGAATACACTGAAAATGAAATAGTTAAATTGCAATATATAAGTACTGTAGTTTATAAGTCTGGAATTTACTGTATCTTATTTATTATGATTAATATTCATTATTTTATTATAAGCATGTTTTCTTATTAAAAATTTAAACTCTACCTTATCACTTAAATATTAAAATATGTTTTCATATTTTAATATGCAAGTGATATTATAGATTTTATGATGATGATGATTATAGATTTATGATGAAAATATTTATCTGCAATTAAGTAAAATTTATTTTACAGTTTGTCTTATTGGAGGTGACTGTGATACAACAAAAACAAGAATAACTAGATTTGCCAACTATCTGAGAAATCTACTCCCATCATCTGATGTGGGTGTTATGGAATTAGCAGCTAAGACTGTTGGCCGCCTTGCTATTGTATCTGGTGTAAAGAGGGCTGAATATGTAGAATTTGAGGTTAAGAGGGCATTTGAATGGTTATCAGAAGAACGAAATGAAGGTAGACGCCATTCAGCTGTGTTGCTACTTAAGGAACTTGCTATTGCTGTCCCCACATACTTTTATCAACAAGTTTCTGGTTTTTTTGATCATATACTGGTTGCATTAAAAGACCCAAAACCCCAAATAAGAGAAGCAGCTGCTAAAGCCCTAAGAGCTGGTCTTGTTGTTACTGCACAAAGAGAAACAGCTAAACAATCAACTGCTAAACCTCAATGGTACATGCAGTGCTATGAAGATGCTATGGCATCATTTGAAGATATTCCATTAAAAGAAAAAGGGATTACCCGGGAAGACAGAGTTCATGGTGGTCTACTTATTTTAAATGAACTTCTGCGATGCTCAAATACTACTTGGGAAAAAAAGTATACATATCTTATGAGAAGTTTAGATACACAGAAGGATATAACTGTCTCTGATGATATTATATTCATCAGCAGTAAACTTCATAGTCCATCAGTGAAAAGAGGATATTTATGTGATGGGTTTAAAACAGAAAACATCCAATATCCTGTTCCTATTTATGAATCAGAAGTATGCCACAGACTCTTAACTGAAAAATTTGAAAGAATATGTCAAGGTAATATCAAAACAATACTTACAAATATTTATTTATTATACTTTTGTATCATGTTATAGTTTAATTTATTTAATATTTCAGATGTTATGATGAACCGCATGCTAAAAATACAAGGGGTCCCCCAAATATTACTTATCATTATTCCAAGACTTGCAGCTTTCAATAAAGAATATTTTTGTAAAAAATATTTAGGAATCACTATGCACTACTTACTTTCGTCATTACGTGGTCGAGAAAAAGATAAAAACATGGCATTTACCACATTGGGACTTATAGCAGCAGCAATCGGAAATGATATCCAAAACTACATACCTAAAATTATGGAAGTTATAAAACAAGCATTGCCTGTAAGGGACATCCAAAGCAAAAAAAGAATGTGGGTGGACCCATCTATTTTTGCTTGTATCACTCTCTTAGGAAGTGCTGTCAAAGATCTTGTAGTGACTGATATTCGAGAACTGTTAGATGCTATGTTTGCCACTGGCTTGAGTCCATTCTTAACTGTATGTCTCAATGAATTGAGCCAAAATCTACCATCACTAAGACAAGAAATATCGGAAGGACTTTTGAACATGTTGTCACTAGTATTGAGAAACAAACCATTCTTGCATCCTGGTGTTCCTAGAAGTTTAGAGCAACAAATGAGTAACATGAATATTGTGATTGAGCCACAAGATACTGCAAGTATTGTGCTGGCATTGCAAACCCTAGAAACATTCCAATTTGAAGGTGAACACAGCTTACTTATGTTTGTTAGACGTTGTGCAGATCATTTTCTTCAAAGTGAACATCAAGAGATAAGACTAGAAGCAGTTAAAACTGCTGCAAAATTATTGGCTGATGCTACAGTTAGAACCAAGAAAACTCCATCAAGAACTCTTACCATGTTAACTGCTGAGGTTATAGGGAAATTGCTAGTAGTTGCTGTAACTGATCCTGATTATGAAGTTCGCTACTGGGTCTTAGAATCCCTTTATGATATATTTGATACACATTTAGCTCAAATTGAAAATTTAAGCTTTTTATTTATTGCTATGAATGATGAGCACCTTGAAATTCGCGAACTTGCCATCTGTACTGTTGGACGTCTTAGTACTGTGAATCCTGCATATGTAATGCCTGGGTTAAGAAAAACTCTGATACAATTTTTGACAGAATTAGAACACTCAGGAATGAGCAGGAATAAAGAACAGGCTGCCAGAATGTTAGATAATCTTATATTACATGCTCCTAAGTTAGTCAAACCTTATATGGAAACAATACTAAATGTATTGGTTCCAAAACTAAAAGAATCAGATTCCAATCCTGGAGTGGTCATCAGTGTTTTAAAAGCAGTAGGTGATTTGGCCGATGTTCATGGAGATAATACTGGTCTTAAAAAATGTTTGCCTGAGCTTCTTACAATTCTTCTAGAACTGTTATCTGATGCCAGTGCCACAGATAAAAGAAGTGTAGCACTTTGGGCATTTGGTCAGCTTATAAGCGCTACAGGATATGTTGTCACCCCTTATACAGAGTTTCCCAATCTAATGGATGTGCTATTGAATTTCTTGAAAACTGAACAACAACCTAAGGATAGACGTGAGACCATACGTGTCTTGGGTCTCCTAGGGGCTTTAGATCCCTATAAGCATAAAATGACAAGAGGATTAAGAATTGATGGACAACCAGACTCAAGCTTAGTACCAGTAGCTGACAGTAAAGCTGAGGAGAATAATTTTGATATGACTACAAGTGAAATGCTAGTCAATATGTCGTCGCCTGTGCTAGATGAATATTATCCAGCGATAGTTATATCGACACTTATGCGTATATTGCGAGATCCTACTCTACAACAGCATCACACCAGTGTTGTTCAAGCTGTCACTGTTATATTTCAGTCTCTTGGTATCAAGTGTGTGCCTTATATATCGCGGGTAACACCAAGTTTACTCTATGTTGCTCGGGCCACAGACAGTAACAGTTTCCGTGAATTCCTTTTTACTCAACTGGCGAAATTGATTGCAATTGTGAAACAACATATACGTAACTACCTTGATAAAATCTTTGATCTTATAAAGGAATTCTGGACACCAAACAGCCCTTTGCAGCATACACTGATACTGTTAGTGGAACATATTGCTATAGCATTGGGTTCAGAATTCAAAGTGTATTTACCCCAGTTGATGCCGCAAATATTACGTGTTCTCGCTCACGATACCAGCAAAGACAGGTTTGTTACAGAAAAGCTACTATTTGCTTTGCAAAAATTTGAAGACAATTTGGATGATTATATGCATTTAGTTATACCATCAATAGTCAAATTGTTTGACGCTACTGACTGTCCTATCAGTGTAGCAAAAGTTGCTATGGAAACAGTGGACTATTTGTCTGATTCACTGAATTATAGTGAGTTAGTCTCTAGAATAATTCATCCTCTGGTGAGAAGTTTAGACACCTGTCCATCTTTAAGAGTTACGGCTATGGATACTTTATGTGCTCTGATTGTACAACTAGGCCGCAAATATAATGACTTTATACCACTAGTGCAGAAAGTAATTATAAAGCATCGAATACAATATCCGAAATATGAACAAATATTGACTAAATTGCAATCAAGTCAAACACTTGCACTTGACGAATTCTTACAAAGCAGCAGAAGAAAACCAAGGAACAATAATCAGGAGGTAAATTTTATATCTTATTGCCTCAATTATAGGTATACCTGTGACCAACTTCTAAAGTTTTTTATACTTTATTATCATTATTATTGGAGATATGGCAGAAAGATAAAAAAATATGTATCTAATCTAATATATAAAATTCTCGTATCACAGTGTTTGTCGCTTCTCTGAAATGGCTTAACCGATTCTTATGAAATATTTGTGTTTTGTTATTCAGTAGGTCTGAGAATAGGAAGTAAACTATTTCATACCCCTAAGTGGAAAGGGTGGTCCACACCGAATATTTTTTTAATTATGACAAAAAAAAATTACATATTTTTATGATTAACCATCAAAAACTACATATCTACAACCCAAAAATTTTTTATACTTTCATACAAAATTATTTTTATCACAGACTCGATACGGTCAATGCGATTCCACGCAATCAATACGGAAGTTGTGCGTCAACGCTCACAACTTAAAGTTGGCTTGGACTGTTAGCAGCCGGGTCTCCAAGGATGACTGGCTTGAGTGGCTACGTCGGTTCAGTATCGGCTTGCTCACAGAGTCGCATAGTCCGGCACTCAGGTAATTAATCAGTTCATATTGTTGTCATTAGGTTTTTATTTTACATTGAATATAACCTATGTGTCTCAGGATGTAGTCTTTTTCAGGGCTAAGACTACATCCTAGGCCATCTAAAGTTATGACATCTAAAATTTTTGTACACACGTTATTCTATTTTACCAAACATTTTTTTTTTATAAGAATTGCTCGAAAGAGTAAGGAACATCCATCCACACATACAAACTTTCGATTTTACAATATTAGTAAGAAGTAAGATACATAGAATCGGTCGACGCCCCGAGCAGGGCGTGCTTGGCGCTGGCGCACAACTACTCGCAGCTGGTGCGCGACCTGTTCAACGCGGCGTTCGTGTCGTGCTGGAGCGAGCTGGAGGAGGGCAGCCGCGGCGAGCTGGCGGCCGCGCTGCAGCAGGCGCTGACGGCGCCCGACGCGCCCGAGCTGGCGCACGCCGTGCTCAACCTCGCGGAGTTCATGGAGCACTGCGACGCCGGCGCGCTGCCCATCTCCGCGCACCTGCTCGGCGAGAGGGCCATGCACTGCAGGGCCTACGCCAAGGCTCTCCACTACAAGGTATTCGCTCTATTATGCCACTGCTTCGTTAGTTTTTGAAGCTGGTGTAAGAGATACGTATCGACACGCAAATTAGGGGTGGAAGGGGATTCTTAATTATGTGAAGGAATAACCCCATTGCTAGCAATGTACAATGTCAGATTGACATCTACGCGATTCCCACTTGAAACCATCATGATAAATTCTGGCCTTATAAAGGAATACCGTTAACGTAAGCGGGTACACCTTTCCATTATCATCTATAAAAACAAAGTATTCAAATGAGCAGGCTTTCTGAATTTGAACAAACATTTGGACCTTAGCATACTGTGTCGGTTTTTTCTATCAACAAATAATATGATGGAGTTATTACATACTATCATGTCATTATAATAATTGATTATAACACATTACTTATTACCATTCTAACTTTACAGGAAGAAGAATTTCGAAACGGCGCAACGTCGCAAGTCGTGGAAGCGCTTATTCATATAAATAACAAGTTACAGCAGAAAGAAGCTGCGGAAGGTTTGCTTGAAAGAGTAATGGCTCAACGTGAAGCGGGAGACGCCGATTTAAAAGTACAAATACGATGGTACGAGAAATTACATAACTGGGAAAAAGCTCTTAATCTTTACGGCGAAAAGCTGTCTATTGAACCTAATAACATGGACGCATACCTTGGGGAATTACGCTGCTACGAATCTCTAGGTGAATGGATTAAGTTATATGATACAGTATCCGAACGTTGGCCAAACTTGAATAATGATGAGAAATTTAAAACGGCAAGACTAGCGGCAGCTGCTGCTTGGGGTCTTAAAGAATGGGAATCAATGTCTAAATATGTAAACTTTTTGCCAGAGAATACACAAGACGGCGCCTTTTTTAGAGCTGTTCTCAGTATTCATAATGGCGAGTTTGATGTGTCCAAGCAATTCATAGATCAAGCTCGAACTTTACTGGATTCCGAATTGACCGCCGTGGCTGGAGAAAGTTACCAAAGGGCTTACGGAGCGTTAGTCAATGCTCAACTTTTAGCAGAATTAGAAGAAGTTATTACATATAAATTAGTAAGTGAACGAAGAGAGTCTATTCGTCAAGCTTGGTGGACTAGACTCCAGGGTGGACAACGATTGGTTGAAGATTGGCGTAAAATACTTCAGGTACGAGGTTTGGTATTAACACCTCAAGAGGACATGACAACTTGGCTCAAATTTGCTTCACTTTGCCGAAAAAGTGGTGCTCCAGGACAAGCTCACAGTACGTTAGTTATGTTATTAGGAATTGATCCAAGTCAAAATAGGGATCAACCTCTTCCAACTCATGAGCCAAGATTAACTCTTGCATACGCAAAACATTTATGGGCAGCAGGCGATAGACAATTGGCTTATGATCAGCTACAGAGGTATGTAAACCCCATGGATTATAGTGAAGCTGAACGTCGGTTAGTTGCACGTTGCCATTTGAAATTGGGATCATGGTGTGAATCTCTACTCGGAATCAATATACAATCAATACCACAAATCCTACGCAACTATGCGTCGGCTACAGAATTGGCACCTGATTGGTATAAAGCATGGCATGCATGGGCCTACATGAACTTTGAAACTGTTTTGTTTTACAAACATCAAGAGACAAATAGCGACAATGCAAACCAAGCTGAAAAGAAACCAACTCCAGAATGTATTCAACAGCACACAGTTCCAGCAGTTGAAGGTTTCTTCAAGTCGATTAATCTTTCTCATGGAAGTTCCCTTCAAGATACATTAAGATTATTGACATTGTGGTTCGATTATGGTCACTACTCTGCTGTACATGAAGCACTTGTAGAGGGTATTAGGACAATCGAAATTAATGTTTGGCTGCAAGTTATACCGCAATTAATAGCTAGAATTGACACTCCCAGGGCTTTAGTAGGAAAGTTGATTCACTCCTTGTTGATAGATATAGGTAAATCGCATCCTCAAGCACTTGTCTATCCATTAACTGTAGCTTCAAAATCATCTTTTGTGGCTCGAAAGAATGCAGCTAACCAGGTTTTAAAGTCAATGTGCACTCATTCAAGTAAACTAGTCAACCAGGCAGCTATGATATCAGAAGAATTAATCAGAGTAGCCATATTGTGGCATGAACAGTGGCACGAGGCATTAGAGGAAGCTTCCAGATTGTACTTCAGTGAGCGTGATGTGAAGGCGATGTTCAAAACTTTGGAACCTCTACATGCGATGCTAGAAAGAGGCCCGCAGACACTAAAAGAGGTGTCGTTCAGTCAGGCTTACGGGAGAGATCTGAGCGATGCTCAAGAATGGTGCAACCGATTCAAGGTATGTTTTTTTTTTATTAAAGGTCTTAAAATTCTCAGAGTATGTAAAGTCAATATCTTTAGTATTATGTATGTTTAAGCATTGTAATTTTATTATAATATATTAGATATCCATACTAATATTGTGAAAATTTTAAGCTTGTTATAGGAGATAATCTCTGGATCCACTGAACGGATTTTGAAAATATTTTGGCGATGATTTTTAATATGGTAAAATAGTGTAGACGAATTCGCGCGTAGTTTAATAAACAAAAAAGTATAGAGATAAAACTGAAAAACATCAAAATCTATTGTTGCGGCTTCTTTCGACAGGACTTATTGCTAGCCGCTTATAAGGCCGTGAATAGCACAGACGGAACAAATACGCCAGAAAAAGACGGACGAGAAGATAGGAATTTTACTAATTATATTTTACATTATAAAACAAGCTCTCTTCTTTCATTAACGATATATTTTTTTTTAAATCAAAATAATAGATGTTATATTTAAAATTGCAAACTATCCCTATTTGTGCGAACTATATATCTGACTCTTCTGACCAGAAGGGAGGAACATGTATTCCCACCCTGAATAGCTCGGATGGAACGGTAGGCGTTGTTTCCTCCAAGGACATATTGTTGATATATATATATATATATATATAAATATCCCCTTGGGCACTTTGTGGCTCAGACGTGCCGTATAGGTAGTTTTTTGTTGATCCTTTTTCACTTGTTGATCTAATGCCAGATGACCATATATAAATGTTGATCCGTTTTGAGCCACAACTGTCACGACGAGTAATAATAATAATTAAGCGACTTATACACGATTTTATACAAATCCACCTTTTTGGCATACGAAGTTCTTGATCCAATTCAAACGGGCCAATCAGGGTGCAGCATTTGCCAAGGGCTTCCTCATTGGCACGTTTGGGCTACTACATTATGGCTACAGTAACTTAATAATGTCTAGCTAGTATTTCAAAAATAATAGTCTACCTAATCTAAATATATATAGAAATCAGTCTGGAGTAACGTGACTCCAGATCAAACCTCAATACTTGTTATTTTTTGGACGGGAATTTTTCCTTTTGTAACAACGTTACTGAGCGAATGAAGAGAAGACGTAACGGCGGATCCAGGGGGGAGCGTCATGGAGGTCTTGGGAGTCATGGGGGGTCGACTCTCCCCCCCTTAGCCCAAGACTTAGGTAGACCACTAATTGAACTAAAAAATAATGAAACAGCTAAATTTTTTGCACGATAATGCAGTATAATTAAACATTGTTACTTAAAACATAACAGTTAAAGTACTATAACACTAAAAGCAAAATAGGTATTTTCAAAATACTTTTTCAAAATAAATACCCTTTAGTTTTTGTTCAAACCTCAGATATTATACTTATTTTAGGTATATCAATCAATACATAGTATAGCATAGTACAGTCTGTCTGTCTGTCTGTTTGTTCCGGCTAATCTCTGAAATAGCTGGACCGATTTTGATGGGACTTTTTTTGGCAAGTAGCTGATGTAATAAGGAGTAACTTACGCTACTGTTATTTTAGAAAAATAAAATAAAATTTCACGCGGACGAAGTCGCTGGGGCCAGCTAGTCTATAGATATACCGAGATTTAATGTTTAAGTTGCTATTATGTTATTGACAAAATTTTAATGTAATGTTACTATTACGTTATCCTACACAATTTGTATTATTTTGGATGAATAAATAAATAAATAAATAAATAATAATCTATACATCTATACATTTAATAAAAATTGGAGTGTCTGTTTGTAATATTGAAAAAACCGTTTTTTACTACATGCATATGAATATATATAAGGTACATATACCAAAATAACTATTTTTATAATTTTAGTCTGTCTGTCTGTCTGTCTGTTTGTTCCGGCTAATCTCTGAAATGGCTGGACCGATTTTGACGGGACTTTTTTTGGCAGGTAGCTGATGTAATAAGGAGTAACTTAGGCTACTTTTATTTTAGAAAAATGAAGTTAAAAACCACGTGGACGAAGTCGCGGGAACAGCTAGTGTATAATATATTAGAGATACCTACGTGTTTTTTTATTGATGATATATATATATATATATATATATATATATATATATAGCACACTGCTTTGATTCCTGCTTGGTGGTCGAGGGTTCGATTCCTCGCACGCTGCAAACATTTGTATTATGAGTATGATTGTTTGTAAAAAATATATATATATGTATTTACGAAAAAAAATCTTTGTATTTATATCAGTTTAACATAATCTTCAGCTAGCTTAACTTTGGTCTAGATGAAGCTGTGTGAATTGTTGAGATTACTATTATTACTATAATAAATCTTTTCAAATCAGCCGATGTTTATTTTTGCCATAATACGTGCTGTTACCATGTGATAATATTACGTACGTACTTATTAAACTATTAACTTATTATTAAATTGTTTGTAACGGTCTGGGCACTTTGTTGATCACGCCACAACCTACACACTTGCTGATTCCACCTTTTGCCCAAAGAGGTGTTTATTTATATATATATATATATATATATATATATATATATATATATATATATATATATATCTAATAATAGTTATACGTACAGGATTATATTTATGTATTTATGAAATAAAATTGCAGAGCATAAATAATAGTCAATATATTTAAATTTATAAGGAGACAACGGATTGACAATAATCAGTTGCGCGCGCAAATACGCATGCGCGCTGCTTATACAAATGACATATGTACAACGCCTTTATATGAATTCAACCGCATAAAGATAACCTTGCATTTCCATTTTCAACCCCTTACAATCCTTTTTTCGCCTTAAAAAGTAGCCTATGTCCTTCCTCGGAGTTTAGACTATCTGCGTACCAAATCGGTTCAGTAGTTTTGGCGTGATAGCGCGACAGACAGAGTTACTTTCGCTTTTATAATATTAGTAAGGATTTTTGACAATAATTAATCTAAATAACAAATGATTTTGCAGCTATAATTTTGTAGGTAATATTTGTTCCCTCTTGTGTTTTTTCTGGCTCTAAGAAACTTTCGACATGCAGCATTATACGATGTGTTTGTTTGCCATGTACCATGGGTGGTGTTGGGCGCAGGAGTCGGGCTCTGTGCGGGACCTGACGCAGGCGTGGGACCTGTACTACCACGTGTTCCGGCGCATCAGCCGGCAGCTGCCGCAGCTGACGTCACTGGAGCTGCAGTACGTGAGCCCGCGGCTGCTGGGCTGCCGCGATCTGGAGCTGGCGGTGCCCGGCTCCTACGTGCCCGACCAGGACCTCATCCGCATCGCGCACATACAGAGCAGCCTGCAGGTACTAACGCACTTCACGCAACTATCTTGTTCATTCTTCTTGTAATGAGACAGCTTCCGAATGAGCGGTAGATTAAAAAATATATAATGATTATTCAAAATGCCTTAAATTAAATTTTCTATGAATTAATATTTTCTATTTTATTATAGTCTATACAGCCATTTACACACTTTTTTTATATGAATGTAGCTGTGCCCGCTGTGTCACCCGAGTGAGATATATGAGCCTTAGTATTATTCTGATGTATAAGCTATATTATTGTAAAGTTTCGTTGATATCCATTCAATAGTTTTTACCCAAAAGAGTAACAAACAAACAAACATTTATCCATCTATAGTCACAAACTTTCGCGTTTATAATATTAGTAAGATAAGGTGGTTGTAGTCAAAAGACTGACTGACGATGAATCACTCAATATTTTAATACATACAATGCTTCCGATAGGTCCTCTAGTCATAGTATAATTTTTAAACTTTAAGTAGGCTAGGGCTAGGTAACTACTTCTATATCATTGTTCATAATTATTTCCATACTTTTAACATGTCTTTTGATTAATAATATAGTTAAACGTACTTTAACACGAATAAGTGTTCAGTTCAGTGTTAATAAATGAACTCTCTCGACGTTTTGACTAGGTTGCACTAGTCGTGGTCACGAGCTAGCTGGAAAGAAGTAACTGGAATATTATTTATCATAAAATTATTCGCGTTAAAACTTGTTTAACTATATAAAAATGTGTTAATATACTAAAGACAATGTTTAAAAATTTTATATTTTATATTATTCTATTAATAATAATAATTGTAATCATAGGTGATAACATCAAAACAACGTCCCCGCCGACTGTGTATTCGCGGCTCGAATGGTAAAGACTACATGTTTCTACTGAAGGGTCACGAGGACCTCCGTCAGGACGAACGGGTGATGCAGTTATTCGGACTTGTGAACACTCTACTGCAGGCCGACCCAGACACCTTCCGCCGCGATCTTGCCATACAACGATACGCCGTTATACCACTCTCTACCAACTCTGGCCTCATTGGATGGGTGCCACACTGTGACACGTTGCATTCCCTAATAAGGGATTATAGGGAAAAGAGGAAATGTTTGCTAAATATAGAACATAGAATCATGCAGCGAATGGCTTCGGATTTGGATAGATTGATGTTAATGCAAAAGGTATGTAGATCGATATAACTAATATTCCATCATTTTTATATAGGAGCCTATAAATTCCAACTACCCATAGAGCTTTAATTATATCTGTATAATATGTATCTGTATGTATTTTCAAAACTTGGAAAGTTTTTATAAATATCGATTATTACATGTTGCTTGCAAATTTCTTATCGATGCCAAATTTGTTTTAAAAATGTAGTAAATATCCAATATAGGTGGAAGTCTTCGAACACGCTCTAGAACACACGGCCGGCGACGATTTAGCCAAGTTGCTATGGCTCAAAAGTCCATCATCTGAGGTTTGGTTTGAGCGGCGTACAAACTACACTCGCTCGTTGGCCGTTATGAGCATGGTAGGCTACATCCTGGGCCTCGGAGATAGGCACCCCTCCAACATCATGCTGGACAGAGTCACCGGGAAATTCTTGCATATTGACTTCGGAGACTGTTTCGAAGTGGCTGTAACTAGAGATAAATTTCCAGAGAAAATACCATTTAGACTTACAAGAATGCTTATTAATGCTATGGAGGTAAGTCGATCATACACTTTAACAATCATACATTTTATGTAAATTGGGCTTCCGGTATTTCAACGCTGTTACAAACGTCTAAATCATCGACTAATTGAGAATAAAAAAACCGGTTCATTCAATCAAATTTGCCTTTTTTAACTAAGAAAGTCCATTACAGTAAACTACTAGGAGAAAACAAAACCATAACACACATTTCTGTTATTTAGGTGTCTGTCTTTTATGTACACTAGCGACTAGCGATCCGCCCCGACTTGGCTCGGGTAGTAGAACATTATGTTACTCATCTAAACTTTCTATAATGTATACGACATTTAAATGTTCTCAGGTAACGGGCATCGAAGGAACATATCGGCGTACATGCGAGTCGGTGATGGAAGTACTCCACCGACACAAGGACAGCGTGATGGCCGTGTTAGAGGCGTTCGTGTACGACCCTCTGCTCAACTGGCGGCTGATAGACGCCGTGCGAAGATCGCGCGCTGACGCCGACGTGTGCTCGTCGTCGGACGCCGCCTCGCCCCCCAGCCGCGGCCGCCCGTCCGCCCCCGCAGCCAGCGAGCTCGTCCCCCTGGCCCCCCTCGCCCCCCTCGGACCCCTCGCGACCCACGCGCCCCCACTCGACACGCTCGAGCCCCCCGACCCCCCAGCCGAGACCAACCTCAACAAGCGAGCGCTGGCCATCGTCAACCGAGTGCGGGACAAACTCACCGGCCGCGACTTCCCCCACATCGACGAAATTGTCACAGTACAAAAGCAAGTTGACCTTCTAATTCAGCAGGCGACGAGCAATGAAAATCTGTGCCAGTGTTATGTTGGGTGGTGTCCGTTTTGGTAATTTCGAATCTTGCTTTAATGCATATGCATGTGTAGTCATAGTATGTAATTGTATAGTTGATATAATAGACTACAGACTGTAGTCTATGTAATTTTACACCTTTTGTAACATTATAAATATGGAGGTTTTGAATTACATTACTACTTTTTCAATTTTTATTCTAAATTTATTTCGATCTACCAAAGAAATGAACATTTATAAAGTTTCTTTATTACATCAATGGTTAGAATGTCATTAAAAAACAAAAATATTACATCTTATTTTCCGCACGGTAAAAAACCTCTGGTAAGTGCCTCGGCTTAGTTTTGTAAAACGTATAACAGAATTTGAATCTACAACTGACAATAGAGTAACACATTACTGCCACATTTAATATCTAGCTGTATAAAATTACGTGAAACCATAAGCAAATTGTCGGCTTCACAGTACTTCAACGGTTTCTTAAACTACAATTATTGTAAGTTAGATTAATAATGGGGTGCTTTTATAGTTGTTAAACGTAAGAAATATAATCTGGACCTTGAGTCTTATTGTAGTGTGACATTTAGAAAAGATTTGTCGTTTATTTGTTTTGTTAACTATTTTTATTTTTTATGTTAGTCATCTAAAACAATGTGCTAAAATGTAATAAAAATACATACGATAATAGGTCATTGTTTTAATCTTCCCGACATTCAATATGCTTGTAAAATGCATTTTCTTTTATATAATGTTACGAGTTACTCTTAATTTAACGAGGAAACACCACTAAACATCCTATGTGGTTGTAGTCTACTTATACATAAACGAAATATCTCCGAACGAAATATTGGAAAGTTTACACTCTAGCCCAAGTATTATATTCCTTGCTCTACCCTGAGGAGATAAAAACCAACGTTCCTATGAATTCAATTCTTCAATTCTTGTCCCTGACGGGTCTACGTTGCGAACACTGAAAAAAGAGAAGCGTAAGAGATCTATGTAGGTGGCAGTACTACAGGGTCTAAGCACCTGACAATAGCCAAAACCCCTACCTAAATAAATAATATATATATAACAAACCGCAACTAGGTATATCATACTTAGTGAAAGCTAGACTACACAGGCAATCTCGGTATTAAATTTAAATGTTATTAAAAAAGATTTTATATCGTTTAGATTTAATTGTCGTACATTGTGGATGTAATATACATTTTTTGTAAGTACCTAGTGAAGCAGTAGACTGAAGCCTAAGTCATAATAATTTGAATTATATACTCGAAAATCATATATCAAAATATGTAAAGTTGTGATTGTGCTTGTCGCTCCGACTAACAAACTGCGACCATCCGGTCAATCAAGTTATGTATAACAATACCACAGATTTCTATCTAATAGTCGTCGCACTTCGGTATCATTGAATGCTATCAAATTAAAATCAAATAGAAAATATATTAGAATGGCAATCAAATTTAACATACCTAAGTCTCAAAATAAAATTAAATCTTTCTATTTTTTTAACCACTAAAGTGCCTGCGGTTATGTACGTTGTGGCATCCTAGTGAGGTGTGCTTCTTAACTAATGGACCGATTATGATACTTTTTTTTGTTTGAAAATTTACACGATCGACATAGTTCTTAACTACAATTTTAGAGGTTTTTTTTTATTCGGGGATTGCTCTTTTAATTCATAAATCTTTCATAATAACACTGCATATACCATACAGATATAATATCTAATTCAATTTGCGCCCAATTAAATTCCAACAAAAGTCGGCCCGTTGAGACTTGCGGGTCAAGGTAATTGACCTCTACGCTACGATACATACGTACACAATATGTCCTCGCACGAGTGACTGAACTAAAAACTTAATTGCTGCTTTCACCACACTTAATTGGCATTATATGACTACACAATTGCAAATCTCTAAAACCGCCTTAGGTCCGAGGGTCGCAGGTTTGATGCCGAACGGACGTTACAGACATTTGTATACATCGTTTGTATCGGTCTGGGTGTCTGTGTTATATGTGTTAATGTATATTATACATTAGTATATGGTCAACAACCTTTTTTGACCATATACTAATGTATTGTGATAAAGATTTGTGGTTTTAGTACATAATAATTAATTGAAATTAGTATATTTTAATTACTGCGTATCGAATATTTATTGTTAGTAAGTTGTGGACTAATAACTACATCGCTAGCACGTACCATGTTAGGATGATCTCCACGGTTCCCCTTGGAAATTATCATGGTTAAATCCAGATAAATTGGCCCCAATGTGCTAAAAGACCTGACCTCATGCTCATCTTATCATTACCCACTGGTGCCACTCAAGATGGTGTACTCAGTCATCAAATCATAAATTTTAAAAATATATTTATTGGCCCTACAATTGTCGTGTTACTTTTACAGTACTTTACTTTTCTATATAGATATAGTATGACCATAAAAGTAACAGGACAATTGCTAATTTAGCTATGATCACGACCTTCACGCACCTACCCATGTCCATATAGAAATTCTAAATATACCTACGTTCTAATTCTATCGATCCTACACTACTTGTCTATCTAAAAATCCACTACATAAGAGATTAATTTTAGATAGCAAAGACTAGAGTTATTATTAGGTAAACTATCTATAAATCGATAAAATACTAATGCATGTATTATGTGTGCTAATGCCGTGATCTCTTTATCTAAAGGATCTAACCTATGGCGGAGAGGGAATGAGATTGTTAGTAATAGTGGCAATAACATTGAAAACATTATTAGATATATGAATATTTAGTCTATGGTAATAGGGGCTTTCGGTTCCGCTTCTATCAATAAATTCTAGCAGGTCTACCTACGCACGTTCTTCTCTGGAAGGCATTTTTATAATTTTCTGATGAATATATATGATGGCCTAAAAGACCAGACTTTATGATTATCTTATCATCATTTACTGGTGCCCAGCCAGTGCCCTCCTCAATGCCTGCACACATGAATAAAATAAGCTCATACATCTTATTTTATATACCTACTTATTCCTACGAATAAACTTATTAGAGCAAGAGCCCACGACGGCCAGACATACGTCATATTAGTAAACGTGAAAGTTCTTGTATGTATGTCCCCAACACAGGTAAGAACAATCCCCAAACATGAAACCTGGATCGTGGTTCCTTTGGCAGGTAACAGGTAACAAAGGTGTAAAAAAATTCATATCAAATTCGTTATTTTAAAAAACTCCATATTTTCATATATTGTTCGTAGCATTATTATAACTTGCGCTGCTCATTGCCAGACACTTAGTGTGGTTCCAACCCCCCGCCGGACCCCTCTAAACTATACTATTTTATAAATAAACTTACGTCATTTTAATAAAGCTGGACTTTATATATATTATTGAGAGAACTATTAAACTGAGGTTGCAAAATTGCCAGACAGTTTTCTTGGTTCCTTATCCTACCAGACTCATTCAAACCGTATATTGGGTAACAACGGTGTATCCAATTTCATATCAAATTCGTTATTTTAAGATGCTCCATGTTTTCACATATTGCTCGTAACAGTATTATAACTTGCTCTGCTCATTGCTAGACCCTTAGTGTGGATCGAACCCCCCGCCGGATCCCCCTAAACTATACTATTTTATAAATAAACTTACGTCATTTTAATAAAGCTGAACTTTATATATATTATTGAGAGAACTATCAAACTAAGTTTCCTAAATTGCCAAACAGTTTTCTAGGTTCCTTATCCTACCAGACTCATTGAAACCGTATATTGGGTGACAACGGTGTATACAATTTCATATCAAATTCGTTATTTTAAGATGCTCCATTTTTTGACATATTGCTCGTAACAGTATTATTATTTTAATAAAGCTAATCTCTATTAAACTGAGTTTCCTAAATTGCCAGACAGTTTTCTTGGTTCTTCATCCTACCAGACTCATTGAAACCGTATATTGGGTAACAACGGTGTATATCATTTCATATCAAATTCGTTATTTTAAGATGCTCCATCTACGTCTTTTTAATAAAGCTGAACTTTCTATATATTATTGAGAGAACTATTAAACTGAGTTTCCTAAATTGCCAGACAGTTTTCTTGGTTCTTCATCCTACCAGACTCATTGAAACCGTATATTGGGTAACAACGGTGTATATCATTTCATATCAAAGTCGTTATTTTAAGATGCTCCATTTTTTCACATATTGCTCGTAACAGTATTATAACTTATTCTGCTCATGGCCAGACCCTTAGTGTGGTTCCAACCCTCCGCCAGACCCCCCTAAACTATACTATTTTATAAATAAACTTACGTCTTTTTAATAAAGCTGAACTTTCTATATATTATTGAGAGAACTATTAAACTGAGTTTCCTAAATTGCCAGACAGTTTTCTTGGTTCCTTATCCTACCAGACTCATTGAAACCGTAGGTATATTAGGTAACAACGGTGTATACAATTTCATATCAAATTCGTTATTTTAAAATGCTCCATTTTTTGACATATTGCTCGTAACAGTATTATAACTTGTTCTGCTCATTGCCAGACCCATAGTGTGGTTCCAACCTCTTGCCGGACCCCACTAAACTATACTATTTTATAAATAAACTTACGTCATTTTAATAAAGCAGAACTTTGTATATATTATTGAGAGAACTATTAAACTAAGTTTCCTAAATTGCCCGACAGTTTTCTTGGTTCCTTATCCTACCAGACTCATTGAAATCGTATATTGGGTAACAATGGTGTATACAATTTCATCCAGGTTTCATGTTCTTACCTGTGTTGGGGACACACATACAAAAACTTTCACGTTTACTAATAAGACGTATGTAAGTGTGGCCGTCGTGGGATCTTGGGCTATATACTTTACTTAATAAAACTATATCTAGATATAGTTTTATTAAGTATCAGAGCTAATTATAAGGATATCGTTTAAGTGCAAAACAAACATACATAACAATATTTAGCAATAAAAACACTAGTAATAGCAGTAATCAATGATCGTTTGACTTAATCAGTTGGTCGGTGACCGTTGGTAGTATACGACGCTTCATACAGGCTTCGATTAGTTGACGACGTGCACGCAATGGACAATTGTGAAATAGTCGATTTTAACTCATTGAGTAAGTACTCCCACTTAATAAAAGCTATGTAAAACTATCGTATTACTATATATGTGGTAAAATAAACTACTTTAGAAAAATAGCCACTAAGTTGTGTTACAGTATATTTTTTACGAATGATTAGCTGTTCCCGCGACTACAGCCGTGTGGCATTTAACTTTATTTTTCTAAAATAAAAGTAGCATAAGGTACTCCTTACTACATCAGCTACCTGCCAAAAAAAACCCGTCATAATCGGTCCAGCTATTACCAAGATTAGCCGGAACTAACAGACAGACAACCAAAAAACGGTTATTTCAATATTACAAACAGACACTCCAATTTTATTTATATGTATAGATAATGGAACTGTACACCCGTCTGTGCATCAATGGAGGATGATAGGATGAGCATGAAGTCGGGTCAATTAATCCATCGTGATTCATTCCTGTACATAAAGGTAATGGGGTAAATAGTCCTTATTATTAAAAATGCCCTCCTAGCAATGGGGGCTAATTGACCTGACTTCATGCTATACTATCGTCGTCCTTAGGTACTTCGTCAGCGCAGGTAGATAAAGAAACTATTAAGAATAATAAAGTAATTTCAACAATGGGTGGGACAATCTCCCCAACTCCGGCTTCACCGTTTATTATTCATTATTTCGGTACATTAGATATATGAAACTAAAATATGACGAGTGTATAAAGGTTATCGATCCATATGACACCATACATCGCATTGATTTTCTAACTATAATAAATAATTAGCTCTCTTCTGTTATTACCATACTAGACACTTCCGTTTTGGTCGACCTCGTACTATGAAGTTCTGAATATTCATCATCATCAATTCATCTTTTTTTGACATTATTAAAATTCAACCGACCTCAAAATATATAAGTTTGCAATTTGCCGCTGTTTTTTATTAAATGAATGTTCTTTTAGATTAGTTTCTCAGGACCAACTATTTTCAATAACTTTATAGGTATAATACCTATTTTATTGAGCGAATATTAATTGCACCTACGTATCGGAAAGTAGGTACCTAAATGTGAAAGGCCTGGAGTAAAAATAAATTTATTTACAGATAGGTATGCAATAGATATATACGTATAGAGAAACCGATTTGAATGAGACTTCTCACAGGTAGTTAAAAATTTATAAGTACCTTAGTACTATTAGTACTACTATTCATAAGTACTCGTTATTCCTGTATGTGCATATAGGAATAACGAGTAACGTAAGTCAACATCTACTATAATTAGAGACTGACACTACCAAAGAATATGACTAACTGAGACGAGAATACTACTGTTTTTAGGGACGGCTTGATTTGTAACCTGTGCTTCTACTAATTATATGATACCAACGATTAACAACTTTACATGAATTAAGATCAAGGCAGTTTGAGAGAGCGGAGCGGTGTATTTCATTATTAATGGAATAATATTTTATGTTGATGTTAATATTGAATATAATCAATGTGACTATTCGCTGACTTAAAAAGGTAATTGGTTTATTTAGATTAATTAACAGATAGTTAATAAAAAAACATCATAAAGCTATTTATTCAGAAAAAGTTACGAAAACTTAATTACCAAAATCACAATCAGCGGACTCGACTACTCAAATTTTTGCGCTCTTTTTTAAAACGAGACAATTATGCGCCCCATAGTCCATTTTGGGGACACCGGGACTCGTAATTTTGAAAAAGGAAAGTCCCGTTCAAAACGTGACGTCAGGTCACCTTTTGTGTAATACCAGAGATAAGATAATATAACATCTACTACACTAGCTATGCATAGTTTGGCGGCGCTAACAGCATGAATTAGCGAAGAAAAGTATTATTAGTATTAGTATGTATTAATCTAGGATATGGTCTATCTGTAAACTAAGTTTTATTACAATATTTGCGTAAAAAAAGTAACAAAGATCCATCATTTATAATATTAGTAGTAGTTGAGCAACGCAGCATAGCAACTGATATGCCTAGACTATTATTACCATTGTTCACTATTGGGCATATCTTCCACATCACCACAAATCAAAGTCCTGAGCTATTCTGTAAGGATCACTTACGAACTTGAAAGCGATGCTTACAGAATAGCTCTGCTCAAGTTGTTACTGAAATTCCTCGGAGAGGGTCACCGTAGGCAAAGATATTTTATGCACCCGGAATTTTCATGTTTCTCATGATGTTGTAATCAATTAAATATAATAGACATGCATACGCTTGATACGAATGGGTCAAGTTTACAATAGCTGGACACTGATTAAAAATAAACATTTATCTACTTAATGATAAATTAACAACTTTTGACCTATAGAGTATTATTATTATCGTTTGTGGGAATCTGGATATACGCCGGTCGACAATTATGAGCCATTTGGTTTTTACTGTGTAATACGCCGTTATTAATGCCATAAGCACACCTTTGGAGTAAAATTATAAAACAGACCTACTCTGTGGTTTCACAAACATTTCAGTATATAATTTATTATGTATAAAATAGTACTGTATTATTTTTTTATAGATGATTATGGTATGTGCAACCATTAATGGTACAAGATGTCGGGGCACCAATGTCGGGAATACAATGAGGTCTAAGTCAGTTCAGTTAGGCAAACGTGACACACACCAGGAACCATTTTAGTTTCTAGGGAGGACCGTGTAGAGGTCGTCCTGTATTGCCAACAATACTACCTAGTGGCAGTATTACTAACATCGCCTCTTGTATTAATAATAACTAGATAGTTATTATTAATACAAGAGGCGATATCCCAGATTACTACCAGGAAACAGTGAGAAAAAAGTCGCCAAGGTGTAAAGTAGCTTAATATATCTGCAGATGGTAAACGTTAAGTTTATACTAAAATAAATTAAATTATTAATTGCAGACGAAACCATACAGAATTTAGTAAAACAAGCAGTGGTTGTGAGAAAGTTCTCGTACAGCCCGTATTCAAAGTTTGCAGTCGGCGCAGCCCTACTCACAGAAGACGATAACAAGGTCTACACGGGATGCAACATTGAAAACGCCGCTCTGGGGCCTTCAATATGTGCAGAGCGCGCCGCTGTACCCAAAGCCGTCTCTGATGGATACACTAAGTTTAAATGCATAGCGGTAGTTGCGCATCAAACAAATTTTACTGCACCGTGCGGAGTATGCCGACAAACACTCAGCGAATTTCGTGGTTCAAACGGAGATATAGACGTGTATCTGAGCAAACCTCAAATGGATCAAGTATTGTGTACGAAGCTTTCTTACTTATTGCCGCTTTCGTTTATTAGCTACACAGAGGACAGTATTATATAGCATAGGAAGATTAATAAACAAACTACTTTGAATTAAGCGCCTACTATAATAAAGGAAAATAAAACTTTATATTTTTAATTAAATATTGTTTTATTTTCCAAGTTCAGTAAGATATCTAAATTAGAAACAAGATTCAATGAGGATCGCATAAGTATTTCAACATTCACTATGAGGCGAAAGTTGCAAACATAAGTACATTATTACTATTATTGTTGCTGATACAAACAATGTTGGCAATAGAATAATTTTGCAATATTTTATAGGTACCTATTTCCAAGTTCTTGTGAGTATAATTAATTAACGATTTTAATGTCATATTGTGTATATGTACACAATATGATACCCATGATTCTTTACAGAGCTACTTATGTTTTATAATTGAAAATGCATGCGTTTCATAATGAGGTACTTTCATGATGTCAAAGTTATGTATACAAGATATTATAAATTATGCAAGCAAAGTGAAACTATCTCCCGTCTTAGTTGGTTGTTACTTTAAATGATCCTCCTTAATGGTTCTCATCTAAGATATACAAAAGTACAAAGATATTAGGATACAAAGCAACCACATATGTAACAAAAACTAAATACAATACTGTCAGTCAATAGTAAAGTCAGTCAACGTAACTGTGTTATTTATCTATAAAACAACACAATAAAAACTACAATATTTGCTTAATATAAATATTAATACCTAAAACAATAACAAAGAGAAGAGACGGTGGTAATAACAATATCATTATGCCATATTCATAACTTACAACTATGCATATAAGTTATAGACGTGACGACAACGTGTATTTTATTATTAAGAAGATAGTTAAACGGGTTTTAACACGAATAATTTTGTGGTAAATAAATTTCTTCGACATTTCGACTAGATTGCATTAGACATGTTACTCCAGTCAGCTCGTGACCACGGTTAGTGCAACCTAGTCGAAAGCTCGATATAGATATAAATACCTTTATTTACCATAAAATTATTCGTGTTAAAACCCGTTTAACTCCAATAATAATATTATGTATTAAACACGAAAGTTTAATAATAAGTATCGCGTAATTTATATAATTCTATCAACATATTATTATTATTTAACAAAATTAGTTTTTTAGATTTAAATAATACAAAAATAATTAACACAAAATTTCTGTAGTACTCATCGCTTACATGCAATTGTGAGTCCATACGATGATAGTATGATCAGTACAGTCAATATTGTTGTAAAGCTATTGTAACATTTCATAAAATACACTTAGTAGTTTTTGAGTGAAAGAGTACCAAAAATCCATCATTCATCTATGCATCCTCACAACATTCGCGTTTATAATTTTAATAAAATAGACGTTGTATACTTAAATTATCTAACGTTTATATTATACTTACTTAAAGTCACTGAGTACAATGAGGAAATAAGGAATAGAATAAAATGTTAATGACAAAAAAGTAAGAAATGTTTATACATTTAGATTAAGAAATCAATATTCCTAAATATTATTTTTACATTGTCGCCTATTAATCGTCGTTTCAAATATAAAGTTATATTTACACGTCGTCATTAGCGGGTATACTTTGTACAGATCCAAAAGTATATTTACAGAGAAACTTATACCTATGGATAATCATAAAGGGTATATCAATCTAGAAGCCAGTGATAGTACTTCTTGAAATTGAATAATTTTATTAAAGGTAGAACCTTTTTCCAAACTGAAAGGTAATTTACGTACTCAATTTAGACTGAAAAGTTTAAAATCTATTTTCAGTATTTCAAGTGTTTCTTTATGTCTAATATATAATAATAATAATAATAACCCTATACAATTCTAACAACGCCATCCAGTCACAAGCTAAGTGGAGCTTGTATTAGGGGAACTAAGACAACTAATATATTTTTTTTGTAAATACAATGTATATACTATGTGACGAATCGACCGCGACCATCAGAAGCTTATCAATGTGGTTTTCATGTATATTTTACCTGGATTGGGGCTTGTTATACAGTTATACCCTCTATAAGTAATCATCGGGTAAATAAAACTATGATACCAAATAGATAGATAGATAGATATTCTACTATTACTAGATATTAAGTAATTGTACGTTTTACCAAAATGGACACCATCCTATATAACACTGACACAAATTTTCGTTATTAGTCGCTAATTTTATTAACAAGTCCACCTGTTTGGGTACACTAACCACAGATTCCACATGCGGAAAATCGCGTCCGGTTAGCTTATCTCGTATTCTGTTTAATATGGCAAGAGCGCGTTTATTTAAATTCGCTTCTGGTGGCATTTCTATTGATTCGTAGTGGAGATGGTTGCGGCTCCTACTAGGGAGCGTATATGAGGAGTCGATGTCTGAAGAGAAGTTAGACTCGGTAAGCGATCGATAATCGTTGTCGACTAGTCGCCAGTTCAACAAGGGATCGTACACAAACGCTTCCAGTACTGCCATCACACTGTCCCTATGTTTGTGTAACACTTGCATCACAGATTCACACGTGAAACGGTATGTGCCTTCAATTCCGGTCACCTGTAAACAAAGTAGACAAAGTGCTATTTTATTGATCTCTGCAAAATATAAAACAGCAGTATAGACATCGACAGTACATTAAATTCCAACTATTGAAATGGCTAATAAAAATGCATCTTGTTAAAGTGAGTTTATTTGTTACACTCTCGCGACTAAGTATACATTTTATGTATGTAGATTATCTTTTATGATATTGCAATAAAGAGATAAATAAATAAGAATACTTTCTTACTTCCATCGCATTGATTAACATGCGTGTCAATCTAAAGGGTATCTTCTCAGGAAATTTCTCTCTTGTCTGTGTCACTTCAAAACAGTCCCCAAAGTCAATATGGAGAACTTTTCCAGTAACTCGGTGTAGCATTATATTCGAGGGGTGCCTATCTCCAAGGCCGAGGATGTAGCCTACCATGCTCATGACGGCCAGCGAACGAGTATAGTTTGTACGCCGTTCGAACCACGCCTCGGCTGAAGGACTCTTAAGCCAAAGTAACCTCGCCAGGTCGTTACCAGGTGTCTGTGATAGTGTATGCTCAAAAACTTCCACCTGTAAGAAAAATGACTAAATTTGTAACTCAGATGCAATAGTTAATGCTATATTTCATTATTAAATTATATAGCATTCAATTTATTAACTATTTCATGTCAGTTATCAGAACAATCCCAAGACAAACATGATGTTCAATGCATAAATTTTGCCATAGATTTCACACAAATCTGTGACTTGTGAGTTTTTATTTACTAAATTAATAAAGTAATTTATTTTTTAGTGTAACTCAGAGCGAACGTTGGGAAGCTGCACAAAATATTTAATTATAAGAATATTTTGATTTTATACACTACAATATTAATCAATTGTAAGTAACTACAATAAGTTGCGTGTTCTAGGTGTCATAAGGTAATCACAATAAAGAGAGATATAAATTAAATACTAAGAAAAATATATCGGATGCTAATTACCTTGTGCTTCAATAAGAGCTTGTTATAATCAGATGCCATACGCAACATAATTTGCTGCTCCATATTCAAGCCCATTTTGTTGGACTTTTTATCACGGTAGTCGCTTATGAGGTTATAGAGAGTATCACATTGAGGCACCCAGCCGATGAGACCAGAGTTAGGAGACAGGGGTATAACGGCATATCTTTGTATAGCAAGATCATGTCTATACGTGTTGATGTCGGCTTGTAGTAGAGTGTTCACAAGTCCAAATAACTGCATCACCCGTTCGTCTTGGCGAAGGTCCTCGTGGCCCTTCAGTAGGAACATGTACTGTTTGCCGTCTGAACCCTGAATTGTGAGTCGTCGTGGTCTCTGCTTGGATTTTATTACCTAAAATATTTGAATGTTATCATTTTCCATTGTCAATGAAAATATTATTTAAAAGTGCTATAAAAAATTATGTAAAAAAATATGTGGTGCAACAATACTTACACGGTTATGTATCAGTATGAAAAGTGGTTCAACTACAGGAATGTATGAAAGATACCATGGGCATTGCTATGAATTCTGTGATGCTATATCTATGACATGAGTATTTGAAACCTTAGATAAGATTCAAATACCCACATAAAACATATTCAATATACATTTTTATATTACAACTAGCTGTACCCGCGACTTCGTCCGCGTGAATTAAACTTTATTTTTCTAAAATAAAAGTAACTTAAGTTACTCCTTACTATATCAGCTACCTGCCAAAAAAAGTCCCGTCAAAATCGTTCCAGCAATTTTAGAGATTAGCCGGAACAAACAGACAGACAGACAGACAGACAGACAGACCAAAATTATAAAAAATGGTTTATTTTGGTGTATGTACCATATTTATATTCATATGCATCTAGTAAAAAACGGTTATTTCAATATTACAAACAGACAAACAGACACTCCAATTTTATTTATATGTATAAATGTAAAATTTTTGTATATCATATATATATACCTATGTTTTGGCGTGCCCTCTGGGTATATAAACAAATGATCGTGTTTACTGCACCGAAAATTAATTGTCATTGCTGTGAAATAGGATACGAAGCTCTAGGAAGTCATTTAAAATAAGCAAATTTAGGAAAAATAAATATCTGCTTAAATTATAGTAAAAAAACAATTGCATACCTGCAAATGACTATCTATGGTGGATATCCGTATAATCTTTTCATTAGGCACATAGGAGCCAGGCACTGCGAGTTCAAAGTCCTTGCAGTTGTGGAGTCGCTTGCTGACATACTGTAATTCTAGGGATGTAAGCGAGCGGAACTGCGTCAGGAGACGACGGAACACGTGGTAGTACAAATCCCATGCTTCGTTTAAATACTTGTCTTCGCCAGTAGCCTACAATATTATAATATTTCATTTAGTACAATAAAATAATAACTTCACATGAAAAAAATGTTACATAAGTTCACAGTTCCCGTATCTTCCATTTTAGTCATAATTATCATTGTGAAATGGTATAAATTATTTTTACCTGGAAGGTAGTTTTTATTCAGTGGTGTTCTCTACCGTAAACACCATTGAATGACATATTTAGCCTAATTACATTAATTTAATAACCAACTACCTATACCTACCATTACTAAATAAATATCTTTTACTAATAATTTTCCAATAAGGTTGCAAATAACTTCATTCTGATATAACAGACAAAAAAATTACATGTCATTCTATAGTCTATTACTAAGGGGGATAAAATAATTGAAAATTTAAATGACAATTATTTATTAAATTACTATGGGGGCTTAATTCCTCGGAAATGTTTCATGATTAGCAACTATAAAGTTTTACGTTATACAAATGCAGTAAAAATTACAATTTCAACGATTCTGAAGTTGGTTGAAGATTTAAGTACATACTTTATAAAGTTCGCACCACCGCTGCGCCTCTTGTAGATCTCGTCCGTACATCTGAAGGAAGGATACCTCCTTCAATGTTTCAGGAGGTCGATTCAACATCGCGTGCATTTTGTCTAAAGTTTTAAACATGCCTCTATAGTCTTTTTCACTGAAATATAGCCTAAAATAATAACGAGAATGAATTATAAATTCATTTCACAACAGATTTTAGAAAATAAACAGTTCAAAGAAATAGTTATTTACCTAGAAGCTTCGTCAAGGGCAATGAAAACCTGATCATGCCATAGAATGGCGACTTTAATTAATTCCTCAGATATTACAGCCGCCTCGTTTACTAAGTTCTGGGAGTGCGTGCACATAGTATTCAAGATATAATTCGCTGCATTCTTCCGTGAAATAAACGACGATTTTGTAGCTACAGTTAATGGATAAACTAAAGCTTGCGGGTGTAATTTTCCTATGTCGATAAGAAGAATATGCACCAACTTAGCAACTAAACTCCTCGGTGAATCTATTCTAGCTATCAATTGCGGTATAACTTGCAGCCAAATTTTAATGTCAATTTGTCGGATTCCCTCAAATAGGGCATCATAAATAACGGTATTATGACCATGATCAAACCACAGCGTTAGGAGTCGCAAAGTATCTTGGAGTGCGTTTCCATTTGACAAGCTAATAGATTTAAAGAACCCTTCAATCGCTGGTATTGTATGGGTATTTATAAAATCTGCTCTAGACACTTTCTTTTCCCCTGAACCGCCCGCCAAACTGCTCTCTGACGTGTTATCTTGCTGTTTATAAAAAAGAACGGTTTCAAAATTCATACAAGCCCATGCATGGCATGCTTTATACCAATCGGGTGCGAGGTTATTTGCAGCTGCGTAGTTCCGCAATATTTCTGGTATAGATAACTCATTTATTTCGTGAAGAGATTCACACCATGAACCTAGTTTCAAATGACAACGCGCTAAAAGCCTACAGTGGTCATCACTATCTGGTTCAAAATTGTCAACAAATCTTTGTAATACATCATAAGCATAACGTTTGTTACCAGTCTCCCATAGGTTTTTACTGTACGCTAAGACTACACGCGGGTCCTGGATACGTAGCAGTACATCTGAATTCGCAATAGGATCTGAACCTAATATGGATATTATTATTTTACGGGCTTGATTCATGGCACCAGTTTTTCGACATAAAGAAGCAAATTTCAACCATGTTTGAAAATCCTCTCGTGGAGATAGTACTAGACTACGAATCTGTAGTAATTTTCTCCAATCTTCTACAAGTCTTTGACCTCCCTGTAATCTTAACCACCAACTTTTGCAGATAACATTTCGTCTTTCTTCAATCAGCTTATATGTAACAACTTCCTCCAGCTCTGTCAATAACTGAGCATTGACAAGGGCTCCATAAGCTCTTTGGTAACTTTCACCAACAACAGCAGTCAATTCACCATCCAATAGGGTTCTAGCAGAATCGATGTAATGCCTTGATTCTGTCCATTGTCCTTCACGAATAGCGATAATTGCTCTGTAAAAAGAACCTTCTTGAGTACTTTCTGGTATGCAATCAACATACTTCTTCATAGAATCCCATTCCTGCAAACCCCAACAGGCGGCTGCAGCAATTTTTGATGACTTCTTTTTTATATCTTCAGACATACTATCCCACTGATCAGTTGTAATGTTGTACAATTTTCGCCACTCGCCCATAGCTTCCAAGCACCTCATTGAGCCAAGTTTAGATTCTTTGTCCTGTGGTTCCACCTCCAATTTTTTATTGTACAGATCTAAGGCTTGTTCCCAGTTATGAAGCTTTTCATACCATCTCACATGAACATTTAAAGAACAATCTCCATCTTTCTGTTGAATAATAACATTTTCTAATAGACCACTGGCAGCCTCTTTTTGCTGCAGTTTATTGTTAATATGTATAAGAGCTTCTACAACGAGAGTTGACGGATTTCTTCTATATTCGGTTTCCTACGAACATACCATACATACTAATGAAATGAACTAGATAAAAGGTATTCATTCAACAAATATTAGAATATTATTGAATACATACCTTATAGTACAGAGCTTTGGCATAAGCTCTACATTTGATAGCTGTATCACCAAGTAGTTTAATAGATATGGGAAGTGCCCCTTTTTCACAGTGCTCCATGAACTCGGCCAAATTAAGAACAGCAAGCGCTATTTCCGTGGAATCGGGATCAGTTAAAGCTCGCTCTAAGGCAGTTATGAGCTCCCGGCGCGGCTCCTCACCAAGTTCGGTCCAACAAGACATAAATGCTGGATTAAACAAATCTCGTGCCAATTGAGGATAGTTTTGGGCTAATGTTGAACATGCCCTGCAAGAATTGTTCCTCTATGAAATACGAACACATAAATAAAGATTCAGTCATTATTTATTAAATTTATATTTACCTAATGGCTGGGCTGTTGGACTCTGTTAATAGTCCCACACTAAGATGACGTAACCATTCGATCCAATCTTCTTTCGAGATGATGCTCCTTGTGGACCAACACTTTCGTAAGTTTTCAACATTCACAGACAACTTCTGAATTGTTTGTGTATCGCTTGTTTTGCCCATAGTCTGAAAGGTAATAAATTGCTAAATTTACGATCTTAGTGGAATAAGAAATTGTTATCAAAGAATCTGATATATGTGAAATCATATATACTCTAGTGGTGACTAAGAATTATTGCTTAAAATTCACATACAGAAAATTTTAGTTATTTGTGACACTTGCGATATTCTATACATATAGGTATATATAGAAGCGAACTTTAAGTACAAGGAATTTTTTGATAATTATTCTTGTGATGAGTCTGCGTAGGAATGAGTGGTAGAATAAAAAATATGACAGATTGGTAGAATAGAAATATTAAAAAGTGCTAATATTAAGTTTATTTGAATCTAAGATTATTTCTATTTGTAGATAGTAATCATAAGAAAATAATAATAACGTGTTTTCAAAATTTATTTTGTATACAAGTATACCCTTTTTTTTTTTTTTTTTTTTTTTTTTATCGTGTGGAAAAATCTTCAACAAGACCGTCACCCCGCCGGAGGGATGGCGAGGTGGTGTGTGGGACTCGTACCCACTAAAAAACCACACGGTATACCTCGAGGTGCCGCGGGCCGAAGTCCGGGGTTCGCACTTGGCACTCAACCCAGACTTCGGCGGCTTGGCCTGTCCTGTAGATGTTGTAGGACAGGCCCCCTCTCTCTGGTTAGGGTGCTATGGCTTGCACCCTACCTTCTCGTGGAGGCGCGTGGGTACAAGCGCGCGCCTCCAGGGGCCTGGTTGTGGGGTGGTGCCTCCCTCAAGGCATGCACCCCGGCCCCCGTGGGGGGTAGACTCGGGACGGAGTTGGGCTCGTCCCGACGTCTGCGCCTGGTCCTCCGGCGGCGGATCATTGGGGCGAAAGGATCGTACTCCCGGTCCCTCTCCGCCGCCTCCTTCTGCGAAATAACTTCTTCGCAGAAGGTGAGCACTGCCAGCCACGACCCCTCGCTCCTAACCATTGCCCGAACTAAATTCGGCAGCAAGAGGTCGGCCCCCACTTCCGCGACCAAGACGCGGCGCTCCTCTGCGAATGCAGGGCACTCCTCCAGAACGTGCTGCGCCGTGTCTTGGTCGCATCCGCACTGGTGGCACATTGTTGTCGGCTCCCTCCGTGCGGTGTTACACAGGTACCGCCCGAAACACCCATGTCCGGACAGCACCTGCGTAAGTCGATAAGTCACAAGTATACCCTAGATGTCAAAAAAAAATAATAAATTTATACTTACAGCGTTCTTTTGATTACGTAGCCTCGTACGCGTTTCATCTAAATAGTCGTCATCAGATGCTAGGGTTGACACAACTTGCAACCTTGTGACCAATACAATGTACTCTGGAAATTGTATTTTATGCTTTGCCAATATACGATCAATTGATGGTATGTAGTCAATATATTCTCGTCCTAATTGCACAATGAGAGCACAGAGGGTATTCATTGCTGTCTGTCTTAATAATGGATTATTATCCAACACCTTAGCAAGTGCCTGTATTATAACAGCAGCATATGGTCTGAAATACAAGTACATAGAAAGGTGCTTGATAGTCTCCATTGCCAATTTCGATATTGCAGTAGGAATATTTCTTCCATCAAAGAGTCCAGTAATAGCAGGTACTATAGACAGTAGTACATCATCCAAATTGTTTTCAAACTTTTGTATGGTCAACAACATTTTTTCTGTCAAATATCTATCTTTGGTTCGATCATACTTTAATACTCTAAGAATATTTGGTAATATTTTCCTCAAATATATTTTGAACTCAATCCCTATAGCCACAGTGATGTGTTCAATTAACATTATTATGGTAGGTTGTAGTTGACTATCTGGTTTCCAATATTCCTTAATAATTTCAAATATATCTTCTAAATAGGTTCTAATGTGTATTTTCACCACTGAAATCAACTGAGCGAGTTGTGTGAGGAGGAATTCCCGAAATTTACCATTGTCAGTATTACGTATCACATACAGCAGACTAGGAGTAACACGGGAAATATATGGAACAGACTTGATGCCAAGTGATTGGAATATAATTGTTACTGAATGTACAACATTTGTGTGATACTGAGCTAATAACGGGTCACGCAGAATTCTTACCAACGACGTTACGACAATGGCAGGATAAAACTCGTCGAGAATTAGTGGAGACATATTTACGAGCATTTCACTAACATTTGTCTCAAAGTGGTCATTCTTTGTCGTGATAGGTATCAAAGTGGATATAGTCTGGAAATCAATTAATCCCTGATTAACTTTGTGCTTATAAGGATCCAGGGCACCCAATAGTCCCAAAACACGTATTGTTTCCCGTCTATCCCTCAAATGATGTTCCGATTTCAAAAAATTAAGCAGTAAGTCCATTAACTGTGGATATTCCATGTATGGCATAACCACATGGCCTGTGGCACTTATTGTTTGTCCAAATGACCATAGTGCTACACTTCTTTTTTCAGGCTGATTAGGGTCAGAAAGTATTTCAATTTGAATTGCCATCAACTCATGGAGCCACTGATTCAGAGCATTTCCTCCTCCATTAACTTCAGCCAAATCTCCAATAGCTTTCAATATTGTTGACACCATAGTAGTATTACTCTGCTCTTCCCTTAATTTTGGTACAAGTACTTTAAGGATGGTGTCAATAAACTGTCTTGTAATTCTAGGAGCATGGCAAATAATATTGTTTACCATTCTCAATGACTGTTCCTTGTTACCTGTAGACTCTGAATGTTGCAATTCCATTAAAATTTGTACAAATAATTGGCGAAGGGTAGGTGTAGTATAACTTGGATTCATATTACTCAATCTTCCAACAACACACAGTGCCAAATCACCCACTTCAGAATTTGAATCATGAATAGCAACAAATAGACAATTTAAATGTTCCTCTACTGCTAAATATTTATCAAAGATAGAATTGGTAAAAATTTCTAAAACTCTATATCGAATTTCATGATCAAAATCTGATCTACCCACCGACAAAAGTTTGCCAAGAGATTCATCAACTAACAAGTTTAAGGTCCTTGAATTAGTCTGAGTACAGCGCTCAACTGCTTTAATTAATAATCTTGCTGTAGTTTTTACAGTTTCCAAACGTACATCATGCTGTTCACTAAGTAGATAATGATCTGTACACCTCCTTATGAATGACATAAGAGTATTGTTCCACTCGAAATCAAAAGAACCCAATGTTCTCAATGCTAAAACCAACTTTGAAGCATCATGGGCCTCTACCATCAAAGCTGTTGACATGATATAGACAATTTGATGTTCTGAATGACTAGGATTGTATGGTTTTTTTCTTAGTATTATTGATAACATGTTTAAAAGTCTGTCTGTTATTTCTTTTCTTAATGATGGCAAATTTTGACTTAATTCTTTGAAACAAGTAGTCAGCTGTGGGCTTAGACCTGTTGCACACATTGGTTCCAATAATTCTCTCATTTCACTAGCAACATTTTCTTTCATAGCAAAACCTAATAATGTCACACAGTTAAATAAAGGAGTGTCTATTCCATTACGTTTCTTCAATGAATCTTTGATAGGTAGTGATAATTTAATTATTTCTATAATTCTGCTTAAATATTGTTGAACATCAGCCTCAACAGCCACACATATAAGGCCCAATGTTGTAAAAGCCATAGCTTTCTCTTTCTCCTTTCCATGAAGAAAAGTTATTAAGTGATTAACAACTGATTTAAGATGTTTCTTAGCAAATGCTTCCCTATTAAAAGCAGCTAATCTAGGAATTATAAGCAATAGCATTTGATGAACATTTTGAACTTTTGATACATGCTGAATCATAAGATCAGCACATATCATACTGCAAATAGTGTCATATTTGTCTGAAATCAGGAATTTGCAAATACTAGATTCATAAATTGTAGAAACCTGTTTCTCCTCAGAAAAGGTGTGTATAGACCATGAATTCTGAATTTTGACATTTAATGAGGATATATCATCAGACATGTCCTGTTCTGAATGTAGTTTTTGCATCAGTGTTGTATATTTTTTCTCCCAAGTACTATTAGAACATCTCAGAAGTTCATTTAAAATCAATAATGCTGTATGTATACTATCATCTCTACTCCTGAAGGCTGCATGAGCTTCTTCAAAACTTTGTATATACCAATGAGCTTTATTACTTTGTTCAGGAAGTTCTCTCTGAGCAGTGACAACTAGCGCTGCTCTCAAAGCTTTAGCTGCTGCTTCTTTAACTTGATCTTTTGGGTCTCGAAGAGCTATCATTATGTGGTTGAAAAATCCATTTACATGCTGATAAAAATATGAAGGCATTGCAATTGCTAACTCTTTCAAAATCAAAACAGCTGACAGTCTTTTACCTTCATTCCTATCATCATTTAACCACTCAAAAGCTCTTTTTACTTCAAATTCGACATAATCACCTCTCTTAACACCTAAAGTCACAGCTAAGCGACCCATGGTCTTTGCTGCCAGTTCCAGTACACTCATATCTGTTGAAGGGAATATGTTTCGTAAGTAGTCAGCATACCGAAGAGTCCTTGTTTTAGTTGTTTCAGTATCCCCACCAATAAGACATACTGAAAATATAAATACCTATTAAAACATGAATAACAAGTATAATCTCAGTGAAACATGGAATCTTTATGACAGCCGCAACTTTAGCCATTGGCAGTACATGTAGTCCTGAGTTACCAGTAGTATACTACACAATTTGGCTTATCACTTTGTTAGTGAATGATTAAACTATCAAAGTACAAGCTTGACTAATATAGAAACATACCCAAAATTTTGGAATGAGCTTAGGTGGCAATATTTCAGCCTAATGCTCATGTCCCCTCCCCCTGGGGTGGACTAACCTCATCTTATCATCCTCCACCAATTGAAAATAAATAAATGAAATGTTGAATATCCAGCAGAGATAAAGTAAGCACTATACGCAGTTTCTTGGTAATATATCATTTAGAATAATAAACCTGTAGAATCAGATTTTCAATTAGAAATTGCTTGTATTTTATTTTACCTATTGTAAGTATTCCGGCTTTCTTCTCATTCGTATCGTAACTAGAAGTCATTGCGTGTATTTGCTGATTGAAATCATCTAGAACTTGAGACAGGGAGTCCTGAGACATCTCTCTGAGGTCTGTTCTGGCGAAGTGCAATAATTCTCGGATCGCTTTATGCCGCGTCTCCGCATGTCGAGATTTTAATCCGGATACCAGATCAGTCACTTGGTATGTAGCCATTTTTATTAAAGTTGTCTCTCCGCATCAAATAGTGGTACCGACTAATGATATTATTAGACTAAATAGGTTATTCCCTTTCCATAACAAAAGTTCATATTAAATTTGGTGCATTAAAAGTCGCCAAGTGGAGGACCACTATAGATTGTAAGTATATTATTTTCTTGATAAATTAAATGAAAAAATATATATTCTATTCATATTTTTATTTAAATTCTAAGTTCTAAACTAAACAAATACGAATGCCTTTTCTTTGACAATTCAATTTCAATATTGTTTTTTTATGGCTCTAGATGAATACTTTTTGTCACATCGAGGCGGACTGTCAAAGCACAGATTAATTTATTTACAGAAATGCGTAGATGCCTGTAAGCAACGATGACGCGTGTATTTTCAATACTTTCTCGTCATTTACCAACGACAAACGTCAAACAGCTGAGCGAGGTGATTGACTGCTTTCCGTTGTGAGACATGTTCTCATAATTCTTTTATATAAAATTGTTTAGAATAAAATTTTATAAAATATTCATCAAGACGATTATTGCATAAGGTACAAAGTTAGTTCCAGGATGAGTGAACTGAGCCAAGCGGAGGTAAGTGGAATATTTGTTTTGTAAACGAACTTGGTGTAGTGCGTATGGTCATTCTAATTTCGTAACAAAACAAAGCGTTGGTGTTTTATATTGGCGCGCACTTAGATCCAAACACGTGTCTTAATATCTCATGTGAGCCTTTCTTTCAGTTGAGGAGACGTCGGTTAGAGAGACTTGCTGCCCTAAGTGGCACTGTTTCGAGCCCGTCGCCTGCGAGCCCACCAGTCACCCCAGGGGCGTCAGTGCCCTCGCCAGATGTCAACCCTACCCGAGTTCCAATATCCCGTTTGTCTCCTGCGCCCAGTCCTCGTAGCTCCACAGAACCAACTACACCCGATGCCACTAACACAAACCAAAATACAAATTATTCAGATGGAGATAGTAACAGTGAAGTCACCAATCAAAATAAAATACCGTCTGATGGGATAATAGTAACTGAAAAAGCTGACAATAATTTGTTAGATGAAATGGCTGACACAAAAATGACAGACTTGTCACAAACTAGACAATACAATAGCTTTGACTCAATGGGTGATGACACATTGTTGAGTTGTGGCTCAGTGGGAGCTCGGTTGAACAACTTACCACAGTCAGTGGGTGGGTCAGAAGGAACTTCTGCAAGAGAGGATAGTACTTCAGGTTCAATATTTCCATCACAGTTTGTTGAACCCTCTCCTGTGCGACCTAGATCTAGCAATGTATCACCCAGTTGCTCACGGCGATCTTTATCCATGGAAGTTGATGACACATCAGAAAGAAACTCACAGTCTGAACAACAACAGGAACCAATGGAGGTAAGTTTCTTACTCCATTTTGAAGTTTAACAGTTTCTTTGATGTCCACATTTAGATGTACTGTATACCACTAACTGGTAGGTGGGTCATCTTATCTTATTTTGCCAATTCCAGTAAATTAAATATACATGTCTATACCATATCCTGTATTGTATGATACATATTGAGAATTTTTGGGGGTAGTGAAAAAAAAACTTTTATAATTAACATGAAACTAATAAAACTATAATCTCTATAGTGGCAGCTTCTCTGCTTACTTTTATTCTAGTCTACCTTTGTTACATAATATTTTTTTCAGATATACATATACAAACCCATGAAAGAAGTGATAGCTCTAAAATTTAAATTTAAAGTAGATTTAAGTGCAGTTACCTTTAAAAATGTTGCTGTATAATTTTAATTGATTTATGACATTCTCTTCTCAAATCCTCATTACGGAGGGTTGCAGTGCAGAATTTCATTAGCTCCGATTACATCCTCTATCTGTGTTGGTCTTCAATATGACATAATAGATTTTTATTAATTATATAAATGTTTAATTAGTATCATATTACATTAATATACTCTTTAATGTGTAATCTGTATACATAAATAAAGTTGACTTGTCTGTTTGTACTTTCAAATTTACAACTTTTCACTAAATGCATACGAAAGTATATATATAAGTATGGTACTGACATCAAAATATTAATTTAAAATAATTTTGCATGTTTGCCTATTTGTTCTTGCTAATCTCTGAAACAACTGGTACCATTAAGACAGAACTTCACTTACAGATAGCTAATGTTATAAGGACAAGGTTATTGTACAATTTAATTTATATTTTAATTAAAAAAAAAATCTACAGGGATCCTAAAGTGAGGCTTTATCCTTATAATATTTTAAACTTTCCAATAAATCAATTTTGTTCCCAGGCATGTTATAAAATAATTTTTACTTATTGTTACTTAAATAAAAAAATATTTTACAAGGTGGAAGATGACTCATCTGCATCACCTGCACGAAAAATATACAGGGCACGGACAGTAAGCAGCACAGAGTTGACAGAGGATCAGCTGCGGCAAATTGTTGCTAAGATCCTGCAAGTTTCTTGGTCAGAGGACAGTGCTGGTAAAGTATTTATAGTTCTAATCTATACTAAATGTAAAGTTAATACATAAAGCAAAAGACTTTGTGGGCCGTTTTACGTAGTGTATATGAGACTTCTTTACAGGTATACCAAATATCTCTGTTTTGTTTTATTTCTTTGCTTACTTCTAAACTTTAATATTTATTCTAGTAAGATTAATTATACAACCTCTTTTACATACTGTACTCACATGAGTACACACAAAGCCAAAGATGATTACTTGCTTATTATTAGCATTAATTATTAAACTGCCTAATAAAAAAAATCGTTTTTGTTGTCTTTTTTTGGATAAATTTAGAAATAGGTGAATATGGTATCTAATAAATAATGCATATCAACAGTGTAATATTAAAGTATTGTTACAGGTGGAATTTTCGTGCCAACAGTAGCAGCTGCTTTACTTGACGACCCTAAATTAAGTTTAGATGAGATAGCATCCCATGCCATAATGGACATTATTTTTCAAATAACAGATGGATTGGATCCCTTAAACCAAAAACTTATCGCCCTTTCGGAAACGTCAAAAAGGCTTAGTGACGATTGTGATGATGACACCTTGACGAACGGTCCCCTTGGGTCTGAAACTGATGTCGAAAAGTCAGAGTGCCCTACCCCAGCTTTACCTAAAATCCCCAAAACTATGCCAAAACAGGGCCTAGCCGTCAGCTACATATTAAGATTTTATAATAACATAAATATGTATGAAAGAGAATATCCAAAGAAAAGTTCCGAGCCACCTTTGAGTGATCTATTACAAAATCTGAGAACTTTACTCGTGAATCATTTGGTGCTAGTGCTACGCGGGTCTTTTGAACTAGAAAAGTGCCAGAAATCTCCCCTTCTTCCCTACATTCTCATCGGTAATACGCCGACGGGTCTCGTTCCAGAATTAGTGATCGCTACGTATTCGGACACAGAAGTATTTGAAGAGGTAATTTCATCTATGTTTACTAGACCTGAGTTTTGATAATTTTCCATAATAATGTTTTTTCTAATTATGTACATTCACGATTAATGAGTTAGATCCCCAATGAGAGAGAGCGTTGTCAGTTTTCCGAGTTAGGTCAACGCAACATTTGACTTGTCCAAATTTCGTGGGGTATGTGGAACCCACTATCTTTTGAATTAATTTGGCTTGCTATCTGTGTTTTTATCATTATCAGAGAATTAGTCAGTTTAGTATATGTAGATTGACATGCAATGTTTCTATTGGTGCATATCGCTAGTTTAGAACTGGGCCACGCGACATTCAGTATATTTGAATTTCCTATACAGTTACACAATTATTTACATATATCGACTGTAAGGAACATTGGAATACGTATGTATATTTTGCCACGCGATCTGTGCAGGTGTTCACGGCGCTGCTGATGGGCGTGCGCGAGGAGATGCGGCGGCGCGTGTCGCCGACGACGGGTCGCGGGTACGGCGCGGCACTCCGCGCGCTGCGGGCGCTGTGCGAGCTGCGGGCACGCGGCCGCCGCCCGCTCGCCGCGCTGCTGGCGCGCCTGCCCTCGCTGTGCCCCGCGTCCGTCACCACCGCGCCCGGCCGCGAGCTGGCGCGCGTCAGCTTCCTGGGCCCCTTCCTTGCGGTCGGTATCTCCTCACTGCTGTACGCGGCCGCCGCCCGCTCGCCGCGCTGCTGGCGCGCCTGCCCTCGCTGTGCCCCGCGTCCGTCACCACCGCGCCCGGCCGCGAGCTGGCGCGCGCGTGGGCCCCTTCCTTGCGGTCGGTACTCACTGCTGTACGCGCCGCCGGCTCGCCGCGCTGCTGGCGCGCCTGCCCTCGCGCGCGTCACCACCGCGCCCGGCCGCGAGCTGGCGCGCGTGGGCCCCTTCCTTGCGGTCGGTATCTCCTCACTGCTGTACGCGGCCGCCGCCCGCTCGCCGCGCTGCTGGCGCGCCTGCCCTCGCTGTGCCCCGCGTCCGTCACCACCGCGCCCGGCCGCGAGCTGGCGCGCGTCAGCTTCCTGGGCCCCTTCCTTGCGGTCGGTATCTCCTCACCTGCTGTACGCGGCCGCCGCCCGCTCGCCGCGCTGCTGGCGCGCCTGCCCTCGCTGTGCCCCGCGTCCGTCACCACCGCGCCCGGCCGCGAGCTGGCGCGCGTCAGCTTCCTGGGCCCCTTCCTTGCGGTCGGTATCTCCTCACTGCTGTACGCGGCCGCCGCCCGCTCGCCGCGCTGCTGGCGCGCCTGCCCTCGCTGTGCCCCGCGTCCGTCACCACCGCGCCCGGCCGCGAGCTGGCGCGCGTCAGCTTCCTGGGCCCCTTCCTTGCGGTCGGTATCTCCTCACTGCTGTACGCGGCCGCCGCCCGCTCGCCGCGCTGCTGGCGCGCCTGCCCTCGCTGTGCCCCGCGTCCGTCACCACCGCGCCCGGCCGCGAGCTGGCGCGCGTCAGCTTCCTGGGCCCCTTCCTTGCGGTCGGTATCTCCTCACTGCTGTACGCGGCCGCCGCCCGCTCGCCGCGCTGCTGGCGCGCCTGCCCTCGCTGTGCCCCGCGTCCGTCACCACCGCGCCCGGCCGCGAGCTGGCGCGCGTCAGCTTCCTGGGCCCCTTCCTTGCGGTTGGTATCTCCTCACTGCTGTACGCGGTCGCCTGCCTTCGCTGTGAACCGCGTCCGTCACCACAGACTTCGACTACTGGGGAGAAAGGGGATTGTTATTAATATAGACTAATGACCCCATTGTTAGCAATGTAGCATGCCAGGGCGACCTCCACGTGGTTCTCCACGTAAATTCCTGGATGTTCCTCAAAACAGAATATTCGTTGTAGTTAAAAAAGTACAATAAATTATAAAAAAAATTAGCAAATTACTTAAATTAATAAACTTTTTTTTATTTCATAACCTCATTATAATCCATAACTATGAAAGTTCTGATATAAATATCATAATTTTCATTTAATTTAATTTGAAGCGATTAATTATAAATAATAAATAATAGAGGAATATTCGGATTTATTCATTACTATCTCTTTACCTAAAATATTAGGGGCTAAAAAATCTGTAATTTTGCACACATTTCATTGTGTAATTTAAAATATTATAAAATTGTTATAGATATCTCTGTTTGCGGAGGAGAATCCACGACTCGCAGAGCGTCTATTCGCAACTGGCTCTGGCGACCGAAGTCTCGCGTTCGCCTTGCAGCGTGAGGTAGAAGCGAGCCGCAATACGCTACACAACATCTGCCACAATATTCTCCTGTGTCCCGACGCCAGGGAACCTCTGCTGAACTATTTCGCAGCACTCTTACAAAGGAATGAACGTAGAGCACAACTGCAGACAGACGAAAGATCGTTAGCCGGTGAGTTATACATAAAATTATTATATTACTTGTATAAACTTTGATGGTAGTATTTGTAAAAATATTTTATCATTGAACATTACTTATATTTTTAATGTTTTTTAAATATCTACCATGTGGATCAGGTGATTATATTGCAGTCCAGGATCCCCTGAACTACAATAGTCTTCATAGAACAGTAAAATATTTTTGGTTATTTTTTTAATTTATTAATCTTGGAAATTGTAATGAAGGATTTTAATTAAAAAATGTATCGACGCAGAGATATTTAACCGAAAAAACAGAATCACTGTACTTTGTATTCTTTATATCCTTATATTACAATTACATTAAGTAAGATCCATATAGGCAGGATTGACTCTGTGACGTTTTTTTCGTAGTTTCAAGAAAGAGGATATATACGCGCTGCATAAAACTGAATAAAATTCATAATTAAGTATTAACGTTCACTGTCTTTTAATTAGGGTCGAGTTGTTTTATGAAAGGTCATTAGCCGGCATTGACTGACTATCGTAGCAAATGGTAATTGTGGCAATGAACAGCAGTTGGTGCTAATACAATTAATGACTTGCTAAAATAGATATGAATAGTTAAACTCTTTTAAATGTCGCTCACCTGCCTCAGTTTGAATATACGACATCGTATTGGCGAATCTCCAAATTATTTGCTTTTCTATTTTGTAAATAATTGTGTTTACTGTTCTATTATTTCACGGGAGAATATATTTATCTAGGACGGTCTAGAAACCAACATGACGTTTTGATTTTATAAGAGAAGAAAATATTGCGCTAACTCAGATTATACGATAAGGTCATAACTAATAATAAAATGTATAATTACAAATATTGAAAATTATGGAACTGGTATGATAATTAACCCTTACAATTGATAAGACAATAATTAGAATTGATATGCAAATAATTATTACAGTTACATTGTACAAAATGCTTAACTTAAATCTAAGCATAGGATCTTAGACGTCTTTTCCTGATTTGTTCCCGGCGAATTTGCAACGATACGCTAACTGATCTAACTTTATGTTCATACTATTATCCTCCACTAGCTAGTATATACCATATCGTAGGCGGATTCACAATTTCCATATCATTCGTAAAAAATACTACCTATATAATTTTATTATGTTAAATTCACAGCGACGCTATCTAGTCCCAAACTAACAACAGATACAAATACTTAAATATTTTTTTTTGTAAACACATAATATTCATAGAAAGCACTTGAGACACAGAACTCAATATAGAGAATCACACCCATGAATATAAATGTTTGCATCGTGCGATTAATAGAACTCGCAACCGTCGGAAGTAAAGCGGTGTGGTAAACCACTAAATCACCGAGGCCGTCTAATATCAATATTATTAATATTAGTCGGCCGCCATAAATTATCAATATGAAAATATTTTATTAACATTTTATTCAAAACGCATAGGCATGGTATAGATTTAGATAGTACAAATTTTATTTTATTTATTTATTTAAAACAGAATCATGTGTATTCACTGAAGAAACTATGATACTCACAGAAGTGTAAAACTGTGTTGCGAATATCGATGCCCTCCACCCAGTTTATATAAATCCAAAAAATACATGCTATACGTTACCCACATCACGTTAGTCTAATAAAATTTACAATATGTTTAAATTTACCAAAACAAAGAAAATATAACTTATAAACAAAACCTGTTTAGTTTGGAATTAGATGGTATAGTATAAATTGTTCAAGGGTGTTATAAATACTTAACATTTCCGAAAATAACATATGATTATTGTTGTTGTGTTTCTAGGAGACGGGTTCATGTTGAACGTGTGCTCAGTACTGCAGTTGTTGTCGGTGCGCATCAAGTTGGAGCGCGTGTACCCCCTGTATGCCTTCCAGCCAGGTTCATGGGTCAACGTCAAGGACGACACTCGTCTCTACTTCACCACGCAAGAGGCACAGGACTGGCTCGATTCCCTCAGTTAGTTACTTACTACATTTATCCATTCATAACTTAAGATAACCCTATTGTCGGTAAAGAAGAGCGTGGGAAGTGGCTTACCACTTCCCACGCTCTTCTGTCATTCTCTTTAAACGTTAATACGATACGACTCCAATCTTTTTTCTTAATCTATTTGATATGACTGAATTTTAACCTATTTTCCTCTTCTCTTTCTTTATTTCCTTCAATATTAATGAGTTTATTGTAATGTCACAATATTATTAACTGATTTTTAATAGTACTATATGTGATCGATCACTTTTATTTAACCCAGCATTTCCTTTCAGCTAATTCTTTACATCCTTTCCAAGACCAAACCATCTATTTCCCTTTGTCCTTATGACTTTAAAATATTGAAATAGTATACTAGTAGTAAATAGTCCCTCCATAACCTTCTCACTTGTATATTCTGCCTCTCTAGCTTACTTAGATTATGTTCTAGTTTTAAGGATGAAATTAACAAAAAAAATATTGACTATGTTGTTATTGGGTAGTGAGCGTGTATTAACTTTGGTATTACAAATTGCCAAGTTCTATGATTACCAGTCAATAGGCGTATGCTTAAATTATTTTATTTTAATAATTTAGTGTGATATATATGACATTTGTCAAGTCAGTAATCATTGTAAGTTTTTTCTTCTACTACACTGGTGGCAATCAAAGCCACCAATGTGGGCCCATTTGATGGTTAACGATTTGTTTAAGGATGAATTCCCTGTTAACGGCGAGTGGTATTGTAATATTAACTCAAAGTGGAAAGTGGTCAAGATGTCACTTTTAGTTATAATTTTCCACTATACACTTAAGAAATCTAATAATTTGTGCGTAGATAATGACCCGAGTCACAAATGGCCAGAAGCGAAGTTCCAAACAATCTGCTGGTTCCTGACGCTCCACATGCATCATGTTGCTCTCATCCCTGCACTTCACACTCATCAGCGTCGTATACGGTAAGATGTCACATTATTTACATAAATTACAAATTTTGATATCGTACGCTTAATAATAATAAACAATATTAACGATAAAATAAACTATTCAAAAATCGACTTCAAAGTAAAGACTTTAAGAGTTAATTTGTCATTTTTGAGTTAATACTATTTATTATTAGTATTCACGAGATCATTTTTCTGTCCGTAATTTGTAAAATGAAATGTTTTAATCCTAATAATAGTTTGCACTTGCATAGTATGTAATATGTTGATTTTAAATTGACTGTTTTAGGTTTCATTATTTTCCATAACAAACTTAGTAATAAATATAATAAAATAATATATCTATTTATATTTGTGAGGATGGATTGATTTCTTTCAAGCAAAAAGTATATTATGTATCCTAATGAAATTTGATACACAGATAAATAAAATCTTAGATTAACACACAGTATACTTTTATCTGAATTAATGCAGACAGGCCAGATACAGCCAATTAAACAATATTTTTGATGAACCAAACTTTTCGCTTTTATAGAATGAATCTATAGTTACTATAGATATTTTATTTATTTGTTTTAGGGCTTTCCGTGACCTGCAGAAGGTGATGGAGGAACTGGTGGCTGCGGAGCCCCAGTGGCGTAACAGTATATCTGCTTTCCGCAATAGAGAACTGCTTCGTAGATGGCGTCGACAAATTAAAAGACTACACAGGTGAAATTTATAATATTTAGTACACTGCATAGCCGTCATTGTCCTATTATAATATAAATTGAACTATCAAAACCACTCATTACTTGTCGAAAAGTACAACCGTCGCGTATCTGCACTAATAACACAAAAGATAGTGTCGTGATGCTTGTGGTGCCCTCAGACTAAAGTCGTATCAAGCAGGAGTTGACCCTCAGCCGCTCCATAAGTACTTCCGCGGGTTCTCTTATGAATGCTATTGAAATGATGCACTTGACTGCACTAACGGTTGACGCTGTCGGGGCAACAGTGGAGGATGATAATATGAACACGAGGTCAGATGAGTACACATCGTGGTAAATTCACATAAATTTTTGTTTTAAGGAGTACTGCGTGGAAGTCTACCTGAAATGATAGACATGCCGCGGAAGTGCCATCTGCACTCGGCCCCCTATCGTACTGTGAAGCTGTACAGGTTAGCTGCGGCCAACAGCATTAGAATAGTCCGAATTATATGAGCATTACTTATGAGCGTTAATTTTTTTTTTATTATAGCACAGGTATCGTATGGTTTGCAGGTCGAAGCAGTGCGCAGAGACGGCCCTTCTGGACGGCGAGCTGATGCGGCGCAGCTTACAGTTCTACGCGTCGGTGTGCGAGCTGCTGGTGCAGCAGCTGGCGGCGGCCGCGCCCGCCTCCCCCGCCTCCCCCGCCGCGCCCGCGGAGCCCCCGCCCGCGTCGCTCGCCTTCCGCGCCCTGCCCGAGTGGTACGTCGAGGATATCGCCGAATTCATGCTCTTCGCTGTGCAGTAAGTATCTACTACTATACAGGTAGATCGAAAATATACCAGTAATAGTATGCATGAAATTGAACGAAATTGAAAAAGAATTAGAACTTTGTAAGACCTACACCGTAAAAGAAGACAATATTGTATGAAAATATTGTGTCAACTTTACGTACGAAACTAATAGGCACGGTATTTATTTAAATTAGTTTGGAATCACATGGTGTAGTATAATTTTTTATATTACTTTTACATCTTTTATTTTTGATACCAATAATAAAATTATAAACGAAAATGTCATCTTATTAATGACAGCATGTCTAACAAAATACTGTTTACTTTACTGTTTTTATAATTTTGATGGACATGTCTAGCTTGATTAATTATGTAACAGACCTATATTAAGAATTACATGACCATGCTACTAATATAAATTAAAATATATTAACACAGTGAACTCTAAATTTCAGGTATGTGCCCCAGATAGTAGCCGATTATATTGAGGACCCAATAATAACGTGGTTGTTGAACGCAATCTGCCATTCTCACCTCATCAAGAACCCTTATCTCATTGCTAAGATAGTTGAGGTGTTGTTCGTCATCAACCTATCTGTACCCCTTAAACTGAAAAATGTCTATGAGAAATTCATGGACCATCCATTATCACAGACCGCTCTGCCAAGCGCTCTGATGAAGTTCTACACGGATATAGAGACGACCGGACAAAGCACTGAATTCTATGATAAATTTACTATACGATTCCACATCAGCATTATATTGAAGGGCATGTGGGAGAGACCCATTCATAAACATAAACAGCATATAAATATCAGCCATAATTAACCAAATATTTTTGCAATTTTATTTCTATATATATATTTTTTTCATTAGATATTATTTGCCATTTTTGATATTATGTGTGAACGGGTTTGGTTTAATGTAAATAAGTTTTACAAAATCAGCCTAATATTTTTGTTATTCTCTCTTCTTTTTTCTCGAAACTGCTTTTAACGGAAGCATAAATTATTACAGGATAAACAACACAGATTTACGCCACTATGTTTTATAGTATGTAACTTAAAAGTCTTATTTACGTTAATAATTTAAAATATAATTTATTATTCCAGGCAATTGTAAAGGAGTCACGTTCGGGTCGTCAATTCGTCAAATTCATTAATATGCTTATGAATGACACCACGTTTTTACTAGATGAATGTCTCACGGTAAGCTTAAAGTAGTATTATGTTATTAGGAACTATTTGTAATTTTTTGTAATCATATCTCTCCAACAATCTTTTAATATTAATTAAATTATCAACTGTATAAATATTTGTTAATTTAATTATTAAATTAGAATGACATGATAGATAGATTTATTATATAAACTATAAAAATTTACACGCCTGTATGCAGGGTGAATACACTGGACGTAATATTCAGCATTGTTAAAACCTATAAGCATGATATGTTATACAATATATGATTTGATTTTAATTGCAATGTGTGATCATAGAACTCAACAACAAAATGTTTTACTAAACAATGTGTTCAGTAATGTGCACCATTTAAATTTCCTCGTGATGGATTTGCTTTTAAACCAGAGATGTATTAGTGAACCTCATTGAGGTGTGCAACAGCTGAGGCAACTCTTATTGCCAATTTTGTATGTTTTTTTTTAATATTGCGGTGTCTTAGTAATTTTTAATGTTGGCAATCGATGTTTTATCTATCTGTCTATCTTTAGTGTAATCATTGTCGTGTTCCCCAGTACCTGAAGCGCATCCACGAGGCTCAGGAAGCAGCGACCAGCTCAGGCGGCGACGCTCGGGCGCGAGCGCTGGCTCAGGACGAGCGACAGTGCCAGGCTCCTAGTTGTTGACCGAGATGTTCACGCGAGATCGCCAGGTCGACCAGGTGTCACGATTTGGAGAATATCTTTATACTGGCCAGAACACTAGTGGTCGCCCAATGTCCTTTGACCATAATTAATTTAAATTATAGTTTTCAACACTTATTATAGTTATGTTTGACATTCAGTAACAAATTTGCAACTATATCTATTCTAAATTTGATGACAGGCATTATAAAGAGTGTATATTCGTTTGGCTGTCTAATACATGGTACTTTGTATAATGTATTTTTATGGATAATTAAAAAAAAAATACTAATATTTTGGCGACATTTAAAAATAAGCTGTGTGCGAAATTTCATACTAACCCATGAAAAGGTACAATCATTTTGCTTCACGTATTATTACAATGATGACTCATTAAACATAGCAGATTAATTTACATATCGTTAAACGAATCTGCTATGAACAAAATTGATTATTTTGTAATTACCTCATGTGCAGAGAGACAGTGGACATGTTGGAATACTTGACTGTGGAGATCAAGGAGCCATTTCTGCGCGCTGAGCTCGTGGACCGTCTCGCCTCCATGCTCAATTTCAACCTTCAACAACTGTGTGGACCTAAATGTAAAAACCTGAAGGTATGGATTGCCTAACTAGTTATTGTTTATACTGGTTAAACTCAAAAATACTGGTCAGAAATGAATTTGATCATTGTTTCACCTACAGAAGCTACAATGTCAACTAAATTTTTAATGTGACGTACTTAGTATACATTATTCTCATACATAACGTTAAAATCAAATTTAAATTGGCCGAATTACAAACACTTTTCATAAGTGAAATGTACTGTCTGTTCTGAAAGTATTTCGAATGAAGAAGAACTGACAAGAAAGTTACTCCTTACTCTTTTCAAATGCCATTGTTCAACAGTACAGTTATACATAATAATTAAAGTTTAATGTTTAGGATGAATACGTACACCATCGGCATATAGCGTTAAATTACATATATTTCTTATTCAATAGTCAAACATAACTCAAACAGACCCCTCCCCATAAGCAGCACCCATAAATAGGTATATATGTTTTACAAATTGAATGTTACAGGTGAGACGGCCTGAGAAATACGGGTGGGAGCCGCGACGGCTACTGAGCCAGCTCGTGGATATTTACCTGCACCTCGACTCGCCGCAATTCCATGCCGCCCTCGCCGCCGACGAGGTACACTCTTCTCTATGACGGAAAATCAATTTTCTTTCTACATAATATAACAATATACCAGTAATCACTCAATGATCAAAATTCGACCATAATAAAAAATATAAAAAGAAACCAGCAATAACAATTAAACAACAGAGATTAGATGCGTTTGTTGTGAAATACATGGTAAAATAAAATAAATGTGTAATCACACATAAGTGTGATTAGAGTGAGTAAGAGTGAGTTAGCAAGTAAATAAAATAATAAATATTTTAATTTGACAGAGATCATTCCGCAAAGAACTATTTGAAGAAGCAGCAGTACGATTGGCAAAGTCTTGCATCAAGACTACCACAGAGATAGAGCGCTTCAAGGCACTGGCTGACAATGCATATCAAATTGCTGGTAAATATAATTCAAATACAAAATTCTAATTATCTTTATTCATGTAGGTCTATTACAGACTCTTATGATATGTCAAATCTACCGTCAGTTCGGAATGATATCGAGATGAGAATAACTGACAAGAAACTCAGCTCGTATTTTTTTCAAATACATGTTGTACATATTTACATAGTCATTACAATTCACATTACATATCACATTAATAACTACAATGTTATAATACATATACTATTTATATACCGATCGGTAATCTTTGTAGTGGATTTCCTTTTATATACTTTCATTTTCTTTTTTTGAGTTCTCTTCATTTTATCTATCACGGAACTGTAAATTTCCAAACGAAATCAATACAATTATTGAAAAATAGATGGAGGAGGGATTAGTTACTTGGAAATAGAGACTGCTGGCTGCAGTTTACCCGTACCGTGTTTAATTCCTGCTGAATTTTGTCAAGACGGACTAACTAACCTGGCATCCTGCATCTTAGTCCAGTCCAGTTATTCTCCAGTGGTGCTTCGCTAGTGTACTATTTGCGCAAAAGCATGCACTATTCACTATAATACATTGTTTATAAGAAAACAATAATGTAGTAAATTATACTAATAAATATTATAGTGACTATTATACTCCTACTATTAGAGTTGTCCTTGATTCCTCAATCTGTACTAGAACAATAAAAAAAACATATTTTTTCCATTCTCTTATGTCATCATGACCATATTGACTTAATATTTTATTTCTGTAATTACAGTATCAAATCAACAGAAAAGTGACGAATATGCTGATGCTCCTGAAGAGTTCCGGGATCCACTTATGGATACACTTATGACTGATCCTGTGTTACTACCGTCCGGCAAGGTAAAATACCCTATTAATCAACTTTTGTGCAAAGTAATTTAATAAAAGATTACAAACGAACTATTTAATTTCACCTATATACACGAACAGCATGGATATCATCACATAATATGACGCCCGTGGCATCACTAAAATGTTATGCCTGTATATCTTGTAATTATGTAAGGACAGTCTCAGAGGTCTAGCAGTTTAGCTCACTGCTTTATTTCCGATGGTCGTTGGTTTAATTTCTCATACATTGCAAGTATTTGCATTCATGACTATGATTGTTTGTATTGGTCTGGGTGTTTTCTATGTATCTAAGTATTTCTGTCAGTTGTCCGGACTCATAACACAAGCTCTGCATAGTTTGGTACTACATGACGCTTTGTAAATAGACACGGTTAATATGATTAATTTATCATTAATTTAGCCTTATCTCATCCTTTAATGAAAACGTATGTTACAAAACAAGATGCTTGGTGCCTGAAATAGGTGAGTGAGACCTAGCAAATTATCCACCCAGGTTAAACCTACAGCCAATAAATATATTTCAACTAAGATATGCGGCACAAACATAATATACAGAATTTTAATGCAACATTCCCGCATTTCAGGTAATGGATCGGTCCGTGATACTGCGCCACTTACTCAACAGTGCTACCGATCCCTTTAACCGACAGCCACTTACCGAGGATCAGTTGCGTCCAGGTAATTTTTTTTAATATAACATGTTAAACATGCTGATGGCCCATCTGATGACAAGTGACAACTATCTCCTATATACTGATACTTCTCGAACAGCGTCCACAGCAGTCCACGAACATCCCGTCATCATGCGACGTCAATCCTCAAGCATTGCCATTCCTGAGAATGATGATGTCATGCCTCCGTATTATATAATTTCACTTCCAAGAAGATATCTACACGGATGAGTTCATTCAGTGTAACTCAGTAATATTGATATTCCAAACTGTGGTTTTTCTTGGTGGAAGGCCCTCATTTCGACAGTTTAGTTTTTTATGAATAAATAAACTTTTAATCTCTTTTTCTCTATTATATCTGTTTTTATCTGAAAAAAGTTAAACAATAAATAAAATTTATTTATTGTTTAACTTTTTTCAACTTAGTGACAGGCATTTCGTGATTTTTTTATATCCATAATAAATAAATTTATTTCGTTTTACAGCAACGGAACTCAAAGAGAAAATCAGTCAATGGCAACGTGAAAAAAAGGCATCATAAGCACTCGATGCCAACATTAAAGTCTGATGTATATAACATAATACACATATATAAAGACTCCGCCTGGATATTTCCAGCATTCGATGGACTATTGTCCACGCATGAATGTGAGATTATATTAAGTATGATTATAATTAGTGTGTGTACTGTGCACATGAAACAAAAATAATGGTAATTGTGATCAATTGGCTACTCGAGAATATGATAAACTTGTATTATTCGGTATGTTAATAACAGTGCCGTAAATTAAAGTCGTCTACCACTCCCGGTACGCTATAATATTGCATTGTATATGAATACATCTATTTTTCTTTGTAGTACACATTTCCAAAAAGCAGCACTATTTCAAGTTGAATTTTAGCATTTTTAACATTACATAAATATTAATACAAGGCCTAAATTTTAAATTTATCCAAGTTTATTATAAGGTGCTTCTTTAAATTGGACCCCAAATAACATTGAAATAAGTGAAATTAAACTTACTATATAAAATATGTTATTGTGATGCGGTGTATTCTTGCATTTTATATTAAACCAATTACAAATATTGCATGCAAGTCATTTCTATGTTAGATTAATTAGTCCAGCATTAGTGTAACTAATGGTATACTTTAAAATAAATACTATAAACACATAGATATGGAAAGTTGAAGACTATTTTTTTTTTGATAAATAAAAGAGTAGAAATGAATTTATTATATTTTATATATTAAATTACTATTCATTATAGTGATATTATGTTTAGTTATGTTAGCTGACATTATTATTAACTCTATTAAATATTAATGTGATTTGTTCCTTTATTTTAGTTGTCAAAGTATCTCACCTTCCAAAATGAATTTTCACTTGGATATAGTATCTATATTACTTATAATATATTGTATAGTAGTGTTGGCAAATATATGAGTATCATTTAATAAATTTTCTTCAATCACTGCCAAGTAATCAACATACCGTTGAAAGCAGATAATAAGTCACATTTCAATAAAAATTATATGGTCTCATTGTATTGTAATAATTTGACTTGTATTTAACTTAATAGTACGAAAAGTATAATGCTAGAGCTCTTTATGTTAATATGTCAATAAAATATAATAATTAAAATCTTTATTATTACTTATTGCTACAAACCAAGTCAAGGTCGTATTGCATAAGGCTAGAGCTAAGATTGCAGTAAAATAAATATAGTTTTGCCTGACCATCTGTCTGTAATGTGTATGCTTACTCCCAACAATACCATAATTAATCCCTAGATGACAGAATGTGGTTTAGCGGTGAGTTTCATATTAAACTTATAATAGGATCTACTAACTCATAGAAGCACTAATAAGTGTATTTACTTGCTAAGTGTATTGTAAAATTCTTTAGTTTATTCAATTTTATTTGAAACAATAAAATACTTGTTTTAGCGAACTAGCAATATATTTAAGTATCATACACAATTATTTTAAATTATTGTCATCACACAATTTTTATGAAATTCAATAAATTATAAACATCAAAAATTACAAATTTAAATATACATTTAGATACAACAATTAATAATGACATAATAAAATTGTGGACAGAACATTGGTATATTCATAATATCTTTCTCTGTGTACATTATCCTTCTTGATCTTTGACAAATCCATGCAAAAATAATGAATCTATTTGTTACAAAGAAATAATAAAATTTAGTAAAAGTATTTATTACTACAACCACAGGCCTTAAAGTAAGAGGTAGATATTATTCATAAGCAATAACAATATTATGTTCCTCAGAACACATTAGATGAGACACAATTCAGTTCACAATACTTTTTGTATGGTAATGTTCACTTATCAGATCTGTTTTGTCATGACTTCAAAAGCACAGTGTTAGACATTCAAATCAATATTAATTCATTCAAATTTTAAAGATAGTAAGGTCAGATGATTGATATGTCTAAGATCAGATAAAAACTATATTTTATGTTTATATAAGACAATGATAATATTTATTTCAAATATTAGCTCAGCACATTTCAATAATTATTAACAATGTGATATTGGGTGATATAAAGTTTAAATTTGATCAAATTAACCTATATTTTTATATTTCCTATCTCAATAGAAAAGGAAGTCTATAAGCAAATAGACAGGATATCATGTACAGCATACCAAAGTAGAAATTAAGCCTGGCAGTTTGTCGGGGTACACATCTCATTGTGTCAGGACTCCTGAACCTTCTTTCAATATCAAATGCTCTGTGTAAGGTAAGAATAGGTAGCAAAAACCAAAATGAACATTTCACTGATGCAACTACAAACATTATGTATGGAGTGAATAACAAAAATGCATAAAGCAGATATGAAGCTGTTCTTCCGATTAATATAGCCAATGTCACTATTTCAGCTTTGCTGTCAGTCTCCAGATCTCTTGTATTGTTACTGTGCAGAATAGCCTCTGTATTTAAAGCAAGTGGCACAGCATAATATATAATAGGCCAATCTACTCTGCCTGTTTGAGCCAGAAATGAGAATACAACTGATACTGGACCAAATATGACTAAGACTAGTATGTCTCCAAGGGCAATATACTTCAGCCCAATACCACCGGTATACAAAAATGATGATGATAAACCTCCAAAGTACACCAATGCCAGATGCTCCATTCGCGCTGGTGAAGAGACCACCAGTGGTACAAAAAACGTACAGCCTGCGAAATATAATATTGCCCCAAGTGAAACAATTTCATCAATACTTAGAATATGATCAACTAGAGTCCTGTCATCTGATTTCCGGTTGTCTATTCCTTTGACAAAGTCGAAGTAGGTGTTGACGACATTCCCAGCGCCGTGGACTGGTATAACCGTACATAACGTAAGTATTAAGGTGAGCCAGCTGAAGCCAGTTTCTCCAGGTAGCCGATATGCCAGCGCGGCGCCTAATAGTGTCGGTAATAAACTAGCACTTAGCGACCAAGGCCGAAGTGCAAGTACATATGTACGCATCTTTATTAGAGGATTCCGTACTGAGAGTGTCACCTCTTTTGGTTGTTCCAATAAATTTCCTTCTGCTGTTAAGTCCTCTTGTTTACTAAGGTTACTCATTATGATAAAGTTTTCGACTGCGAATTGATAGTAAGTACTGTGAAAAGGCCTACTTATCTAAAACAGACTCTGGAGAGCATCGTTACTAATTTTATAACTACAAAGTAAGGAATTTGTAAACTATAAATTATATGTTGTTTAAGCCGTTATTATTTATGTAGGTAATTAGGTAAGTAGATAATTACAAATAATGCTGTTTTCAATTCATAATGACGTTGACGTTCACCACTCCGTGACAGTGACACTAGAAATCAGTGTTACCAGACCAAGATATAAAATTCATCGAGTAAATAACTACTTCGCTTCTAAGCTTAGCATTGCTTATTAATAATTTATGGATTTTCCTACATCTTTAGATTTCATAAAGACTTTTATAAATAATGCTATTAGCAAATATTGGATTAGGCAATGGGCAGATCATAATTGGTTAAGGCTGAAAATGCCAAAGTCGTAATAAATTAAAAACAAATAATATACCGATATGTTATACTGAGAGATTGATATGTTGTATTTGTGGTTATATTATCAAAGTTCCAATATCTTATATCATATATAATAAAGTCTGTATAGAATACATAACCTCTAAACTATAATTTATCAATAAAGAATAATTAGTTATCAGTTAAATGCTGTAATCACTTTTGCAATAACAACTTATAAAATAATCGTATTTGGTAAGTAGCAAAATATTGTAACACCTAATTAAAAACATTTAGTATAAATAAAACATTTAGATTTATTTTGTTCTTGATTATTAATTTCGACCCTTAGCTTTGTCTGGATTTCTTTTCAGTTTCTCATCAAATAGTTTCATCCATTTAGTAACTATTCTGACTTGCGCCTCCCTACAGTTACACCTATACACAAGGAGAGCAATATCCCATGTTCCAGAGGTGTGTAATTAGATATACAAAACTAAAATAATAATACAGTACAAAAGAAACAGTGTAATATACTAAATTGTCAATGACATATTTATGAAAATTATTTTATTTTCTTACTTATATAATAATTTAATATATGATATACTTTTTCTAGATACTATTTATTTATTTGATAACAATAGCATAGACTGTATTAAAATATGGAAGCAACACTTTGATTAAAAAATGTTCATCACAGTTGTTTTCAGTATTAGTGATATATAATAAAAATAATTGATGAATTAACTATACTTTTTGTATGGTGTTCTAAAAGAAGCCAATATGTGCGATCTAAACCTGCTAATAGGACATTATTTGCTTTTTTTATCAAGATTATACCTTTAAAATAACATTAAAATCATTTAAATAATAAATCTATTTATATATATAATAATAAACTAAGCTGTAGAATATAAGCATCTTGATTTATAAACCTTATACAACTGCTATAGCAGCACCTTTCGCAGCATCACCTCCTGATGTAAACACTAGTGGCAAACTGTAGTGATGTTCAACAGCCTTTTGTAATACCGCATTTCTGGATAGCCCAGAACCATTTCCTACTATTCTATTTATATTTGCTTTTCGCAGAATTTCTTTAGGCATCATAAAATGCAAATTTGCAACTAAACTATCACAAAGAGATCTAAAAACCTGCCCGAGATTAATATTAGACAGATCTATATTTTCAACAGAAGCTTTAGCCAATGGAAAATTTCTCTCCCCCAAAAGTTGTGGGTTAATTGTCATTGTTGATTCTGGTGCTTCTAAACCAAGAGCAATTAGCTTTTCCCAAACTTTTGATTGTGGTATGGGAAATCCAAATTCAAGCATCCATTGTTGTAGCATTTTGACAAAAGTAGCTAAAACATTTCCTCCATTTAGTGATGCAGCTACAACTAAATATTTGTTTTTAAAATATGGTAAGTGTTCTATAGTGTTGCAACCCAGATCAGAAATGTTATCAGCAGTAATAGCAAGTTGGGCTGATGTTGATATGTTTAGTACAGCATCATATTCATTTTCTAATGTTGATAGAATTGAACATTGAAGATCACCCATAGCCACACTTATAGGTATTCCTTCAGGAATTCCATTCCAAGAACTGTTTAATTTTCCAGCAAAATCACCACTTTTCATTATTTTCGGCAATAGGTTCACTGGAAAATCTATTGACTGTAGAATATCAGTATTCCATTTGTTATTCTTTGTGTCGAAGTAGCCCCAGCTAGCAGCATTCTGGTCAGACATAATCGGAGTATTCAAATCACAAAGCATTGCCACCACAAAATCCTGCACTGTACCTGAATATTCAAAGTTTTTTAGTTTATCTGGCTTGTGTTTAAGCATCCATAAAAGTGTAGCACATCCATATCCTGAGTAACATTTTAAATGTGATTCAGGTTTAGGTAATGTATCCAAAAATTCAGGTTTACATCTAGAATCTTGCCACGTATATAAAGCAGACATATTTTCTCTGATAGCTTCAAAACGAATTACATTGCCATCTTTTTCAACTTTTTCCCAGGCTCTGTAAAAAAAGCATAATAATAATATTAAATAAAAAATCATTATCTAGGGTATTAATGTAAGGTAGCTAAAATCACATTAAAAAAATAATGTACAGCCAAGTATTTACTATACTTGGCTGTACATTATATTACATTTATAAAAATACATAAACATGTACATAAATATCACATTTAATTACCCATTTTTCCATAATACAACTCCATGCATCTGACCGCAAACACCGATTTTCGTGACATGCCGTAAAACATCCCTTGGAAGTCGCGAAACACAGTAATGAACAGCTGATACTATTTTGGGAACATCCTGTTTATTCCCTTCAATTCCTTGATCACTTGGTATATTAGCCGCAGTGTCCTTATTCTGTTTGGCCACCAACTCATTTGTATCGGGATCATAAACACATAATTTAACTGAAGTAGTTCCAATGTCCATTCCTAGGATATATTTTTTGTCCGCCATAATGCACTTTTAATTCAAATGCATACAATTATTAATACCACATTACATTCAAATCTGTCGTAACAGTTCGCAATATTTTGTTGAGATTACACTGTGCGCTTGTAGTCGGGCAGTAAAAGACGCGACTTGTATTAAGTAGTTCGCCGCACCGGCTACATACCGCCTCCGCGCCGCCCCCCCCCCCCCCCTCTCGTTACGTAAACCCAATTCACTTGTAGGTATCTGTTATCACAACGAATTGCCGATTGTTTATCATTAATTTCAACAAACCAATGACTTATTAACAAATTACCCTTGTCAATATTTGTTTTAAAACAACTTGTCTGAATTGTGTCTGTTTTTAACCAACGTAAACTTAAAACGTAAGCTTTAAATATTTTACGTAGTTTAATGCCTTTCAAATTTTGAATTTACACCTATTTATATATGGGTAATGAAGTCATAGCACATGTTGTGATTTATATAAGGCACGTAATACATAATGAACATGAGTACAAAATCTTCCAACATAAAATCATCTGTTGTTTATGTCAAAAATAATACATCGAGCCATTTCATATTCTTGTATCCTACTAGTTTTGGAGTATCAAAGAAAAAATTTTAGATTGAATACGGAGTTTATTCTACATATTCTAAACACTTTAGGAAAGCATTAAGAATATACATTTTTAGACCAACAATGTTTGCGTGAATGAACTTGAATAACATAACTAATTATAATAACGGAAGAATTGTATAGGAACGTAAAGAGGAAAAAACCGTAACACATATTTCTCTTTATTAAGAAAATAATGAGAAATACCATAAATGGTTCCAAGGTTCCTAACTGAAGCATATTTCTTAGCTTTAATGTGAATGGTGAATATTCTATTTTGTTTTCAAAAATCTTGTAGGTAACTAGAAATAATTTATCACAAAATTGTACTAAGTTATGTTGAGTTCTAGTAAAAATTTTTCTTCTACCAATATATTTTTTAAATTGTAATAAATTGATTGGCCCTGAACATGGTTATTATATTAAACGGATAACATTTTATTTATGATATCCTTTGTTTATACCTAGATCGTGGATCCCATTATGACATTAGCTACAATTGTCTTGTTGCAAACATAGTAAACATTAAATACGTCCCCTCCGATAGATCCCTCGTCCAATTCAAACGGGGATCGATATTACGACGGCCTGAGCCGAGGTTTGAGTCCCTAGCGGTGCCCTCAGACTAAAGTCGTATCCGTCAGGCGGAAGTTGGCCTTCAGTCACTCCATAAGTCCTTCTGCGGGTTTGGAGTGCCATCTACACTCGCTCCTAACGTCTGGTGAAGCTGTAAAGGACAACAGCATTAGAGTAGCCCGAAAAAAATTTATACGTATTAAAAAAAATGGTTTCACCTTAACAGAATAACAATGATTACTTACAACGTGAAAAACTAAATATCACGTGACTATATTGAAAGATCGATGAGATACAACGTCTTTCCTAGCGCTTCCATTTCTGTGACATTGCAAAAATGCATTGTAGACGCATTTTTGCAATTGCAGTGTTTCACTAATAGAACATACATCGTTTATATTAAACCCTGGGCTACACTAATCTAAATTAGTACGATCGTTCGTCATTAAAAGTAATGGTAAACTGAGAGAATAGCCAGTATGTTCTTGAAATATTACGTTATTGTCTTTTATCTATTGGAAATATGCCAAATTTAATTATGAAACTTTGTTGCGTTTATTCTACTCCACTCTTGACTGATTTGGATCACTGCTTCAACACGTATCACTATTAATTAGCTTGAGCTTCGAGCAAATTTATTTTTACGATGGCTCTACCTACATACGTATTTTTAATATCCCGAAACCAAAAGGTAACCCCTTATTGCAAGTCTTCATCCAGACGTCCGATTGCTACATCTAAAACTAATGAAATCTGGGATTTGTTATGGGATTAGTTTTAGATGCTGTTTACGTAAACATATGTAATAGAAAAGTAGAATTTTAAAAAATACTATACAAACAAGTTTTTTATTTAAAATATTTAATTATTACTTATAAATAACATGAGGAATTTTGGTGAAATTAATTGTAGAATTAGATAATTGATATGCATTATTCAATTATACGACTCTGCTTGTTATTACCATTGATGAGGTGTCATGATGCTGGTATTCTGATACATATTACAATAACATTAATAACCCTGGACAATTAACAAACGCCATCTAGTCCATGGTAAGCTGAGCTTGTGTTATGGGTACTAGACAACTGATATAAATACTTAGATTTTTTTTATATATATACATTATATATGCAGAAAACAATCCAGACCAATACAAACAATCATACTCATGAATGCAAATGTTTGCACCGTGCGGGGAATCGAACCTGCGACCATCGGAAGTAAAGCGGTGTGCTAAACCGCCAAGTCCATTAATCAATAATCATTATAATAAATGTTAAATAAATAAAATATAATATATGTACCTACTTATAATTGGTGGTTAGGTCCTATCTGAAATTAATTTAAATATATTGTTGAAATTAAGAAACGTATTAAATATTAATTATGATAACTTGTGACCTCAATAATACTAATATTTATTCAACGGGTTCTTTCCGCTAAAGGTGGGACATTCTTTATTATCTTAGATAAAGCTAAGGCACAGGGTTTGCTTTGACTTGCAGATTTTATAGAAGGACTGCCCAATTAGGTGATGAATATTTTACTGTACTATGATTAGAATCATAGTAGAGAACGTTGATTCTAATCTAATCTAATAGTATAGCCTCTCATTTTATATATTAAACTGCCACTCGCCCCGGCTTCGCACGGGTGTATATGTATTATATATTTATATACACTTCAAAGTCCGTTGCGTATTTTATAGATTTAAGCATACATAGGAACATACAGCAACAGCGACTTTGTTTTATACTATGTAATGTACTAATGATGGTATACTTTATTGGCATTACCTAATACGAGTAGTTTACGATTAATAGCAAAGAAAACATAGTCTGGTATTGTATGAATTCCTAATATTTTGACAAAATAAACATATTTTTTTTAATAATCCTACGGTTCAATTTAATTAACTAGCGAATCTTAAACTCTGTTCTGTGCATTTGATTGCATGCAACTACAGATCAATCCCACTTATAAGGATGTGACCGCAGTCAATTGAATAATAGACGTCCGTCTGCTCATGAATTAACCATGTTAGTCAAATTACTCATCAACCACAAATAGATTGACAAAAGAACAAAGAAAATTCTAAGCACAAAATGTTAATAATCGTGTGAAATGTTTGTGATGTGTGAAAGAATATGAAGGTGAAATAAGATTAAATGTTAACCATTCTTAACATTGTTTATCACATTTTATTCATTGTCAGGTAGACTATTTGTAAGTAATTTAAAAATGAACTACACATTAATTTTAATGACTAGTGTATATTTTACTAGTGTTGGCTACAAATTTGTGCGATTTCATTATGTAGGCAAGATCACACTATCTTCTTAAATATAATATTCTCATCTAACGTATTAATTACATATACATAATTACATACACTGTTATTGCCATGGAAGACATTTACTGTCATAGGCATGCCTATGCTAAAATATCTCGCATCTCTACTCTTATTCCCAGTGTAAGCATATTTAGTATTGGAAACAAAAACACGAGAACATGGACATATATTATTTACATTAGGACTGATGTTACTAAATCGTGCACAATTAATTTTAAAACGTAGCTACATTGCATAACATTACTACATATTTCATTATGATATTTTACACATTTGTAAATGGGAACCGAAGTAAAGTTTCTTTCTTCGTACCCATAAGTGTAAATAAGGCAGCCATTTTTAACCGACTTCAAAAGAAAGAATATTATTAATTCGTTTATATTTCTTTTACAGTTACTGATTATCATCATAGTTATTTGGTTTTTAAATTAAAATAATGTATTATATATAGAATATATACAATATTATATATGGAAGTCGCTGGAGCGAAAAGAAACACTGAAATTAGAAATATGTTGTAAAAATATAGATACTTTAATTAGAGATAACTGTAATTTCAGAATAAAGGGCTTTATTATAATGTATTATAAGTTTATAACTTCACCTAAGATTTTAAATCATGTCGTATTTTTAATTTTAAAAATATAATTGTGTCCGAAATATAGTTTGAATCATTTTGTTGTAGAAAACAATGGGCAAACGTAGTAAAGCAGTTTTATCAAAAGAAGCAGTATTTGATGAAGTAGAGAGCAAAGACAGTTCATTTGATGTTGAGCATAATGAATTATTAAATAAAAAAAAGAAAAAGAAGGGTCTCAAATCTGCGTCCTCAACAACCACCAGTGACAAAACACCTACAAAAGAAATGCTGAATTTTGAGTCGCAAGCCGTTAAATCTTGTGATTATATTAGTAAAAAGAAGAAAAATAAAGTTAACAAAAATGTTGATGAAGATACGTCTGAGGCAACATCTACCAAACATAAAGTGAAGAAGAAAAAAAGCTATAAAATATCGGAAACCGATGTCAACAACCAAAATAGTAGAGAAGATGTAAAAAATATATCAAGTACAGACGTAATTAAACAAAATACAGTACATGATGATGATTCAACAAGTGATAATGTACAAAATAAGAAAAACAAACAAACTTTCCAACACGACGAAATGGAAGTCAAGGACGAAGATATTGATAATTTTTGTGATGAAATAGATGAAGAAGATAATGAACAATATGAAAACTGGGTTAAGTTGATAGAAGAGAAATTAAATCCAAATAAAAAGAAATAGTATTAAAAAGTTATTGACACATCTTTGTTTTTCTTATTGTTAATCTGTACTTTATATCCTTCTACCATTAAATGCATATTGCTATTTAATAAATCGGTAACCATGCAATAAGATCGACGCTCTTTCACGCAGGAAAGAAAATGTAGAAAGGAGAACAAGAAAGTTCACGAACGCTCTCAGCTCGCGCATCTCGCTCTCTCTCACCCGTGTGAGTGCTTTAGCGCACTTTTGTAATAATTAACTATCATTGCAAAATGGAAAACATTTATAAAATTTAAACGTGCCTTTGGAAAACTATCTGTACATTAAAAATGAAATTGAAAATTTTAAACACGTGCTATCACGTTTGAATGAGTGATCACAAAAAAATATTAAAATGTAAAACTCACTCAACTCACGACTTTGTGCGCTGGATTTTCCGCGCTAAATCCCGCACGTTCTTTGTCTTTGGCTAGGTGTCTGTTTATTTTTTTTATGGATAATAATGGAATTCTGGCCCCTGCCTGCTTTAATGGTATACGCTGTTAAAGTTTTACCGCAAGAGGAACTATTTATTAAAAAACAGTAATAATTGTATATGTATATATAAATCCCAATGGGCTCACAAAGAAGTCAAAAGGGACATATAGAAGGATATCAAAATAATATATTTATAAAAAGAATTATAACGACTCCAATGATCTATCAAGCCTTAAAAAGTTTTGTGTCAAGCAAGGCAAAGGGAGTATGCTTTAAATGATAAATAGAACCAAAATATAAGCAGTCATTCAATTTATATTTTCGTATCAATCAACCTGTCAGTGTCAAATTGGTTGCGCAGGACATATTGTTACTAAATTAACAAATTAACGTGTTCCAATAATAGGTTATATGAATTTTTTTGCTTTATATATTTCTTTTGCTTTTGCTAAATAAGTGCATTGGTATTTTTTGTGTCAAAGGGGGTATATAATTTACTTTGCATAATAAATCCAATGTAATAATTATATTAACTACATTTAATGTAAGTACTATAACATAATTACCAATACTTAGAAATTTTATATAAACATGACGAGGTTTGCTCGCAGTAAAGGTTCTAAAGCTTCAAACGATAAAGTTCCTGAAGATAGCACGCCATGGGAAGTTATGAAGGAACAGCTACTTAGTGCGAAAAAAGAAAAAGACGAACAAAAGGAAATACAAAAGGTAGATAAAATTATTTTATTCTCTATTTGGTTCATATAAAACGTATTTGAGTAAGGAGTTCTATTTATGCCTTGATGAATAGATACCAATAGTTCAGGTTATTAATTGGCCTGTTTTGTGTATTATTTAATATCTATTAAATAATTGGTTTTGATGTTATATTTTGTAATAGACTTCTTTCTGTAAAATGAACTCACTCAAAAATATACTGTATGATAGTGGTTAACAAAAGGCAGCTTATTGTCAAAGACATTGTCTTACAGACAACCTGGATATTGGCAGCAAATTTTATTAAGGTTTATCAAATATAATTGAATTACAAAGATACACATGAAATATTTATCGATTATTTTAGATTAAATTAATAAAAAACACATAAAAAGTGAAATGTATATTACATGAAAAGATCATTAGATCCCTCTCAGTTCATAATTATTTAATTTTGTTTAGTATTTATTTATGATTTGTTATGGTAGGTTTCATAAAATGGGGTTGACATGTTTAAAAACAAAACCCCAAAATAAATTTAGATAAGTAATAAATAAACTTTACATTGCTATTGTTATTGATTTTAATGTGGTATTGTAAAGATTATTACAATAATATATTTGGTATTGTATAACAAATTGCAGATAAAATTATATCAAATTTATTTACTTGATTGTTATTGCAGGCAGAAAAACAAAGATTGGAGAATTATGAAAACTTTTTAAAAGAACAGAAGACTCAAAAGCGGAAAGCTACATGGTGTGACTTTCCTGAAACACCTAAAGAACATATTTCAGAACAAACTAATAAGAAGAAAAAGAATGATAAAGCAAAAAATAAGCAAGTCAATCAAAATAATAGTAAAATAAGTGCATGTAGCTCCGATGATCCTAATGAGTTGATTACGCCTACTCAAAAAAAATCAAAAAACAATGATAATAAAATTGAAGTTGCTGAGAACAAAGATACATCTGAAGCAATAGTTAATAATACTGATGAAGCTGATCAAATACCTATAGTGAAAAAGAAAAAAAAGAATAAGAAAAATAAAGTAAATGGTGGAACAACTTCCAGTTCAAATCTAGAATGCAATAGTACATCATTTCCCATAGAAGAAAAGAAAAATAATGATAGTCCAAAGCTGAATAATAAACAAAATAAAAAAAATGGCAAACCAAAACGCAGAAAAGAAATTAATGATAACAGTTTCCAGCTAATCATCAATGGTAAGCAAGTGGAATTGGTTAGAATTGATGGGTTTCCTGTTATGAAAAAAGATGCTGAGCGTCTACATGAACTGAAGTCCAACATGTTGCAAAAAGGAATACCAAAAAGTGAAATACAGAGAACAATGAAGTTAGAGAGGAGACGTGCAGAGAAAGCTCTGGCAAGATTGAAAAGAGATGTCTGCTATAATTGTAGAAAGGGTGGACACAACCTATCTGATTGTCCAGACCTGAAATCAAAAATACCAGGAGGTGATACATCTGAAGGAATTTGCTTTAAATGTGGCTCCACAGAACACAGACAATTTGAATGTAAAGTGCAAAGGGATAAAGAATTTAGATTTGCTACATGCTTTATCTGTAAAGAAGCTGTAAGTTTAATCTATTTAGTACTAGCTTTTACCCACAGCTTCGCTTGCAGTAATAAAAAATATTTTTTTTAAATAAAAAGTATCCTATGTCCAAGAACATGTATACAAAATTTCATATTGATCGGTTCAGTAGTTTTTGTGTGAAAGAATAACAAACATCCCTACTTTCACATTTATAATATTAGTAAGGAAAGGTTTCAATTAATACTGTAATGAAGTATACATTTACTACATTACAGTATTAACTAAAACCTTTATTATACAGAATTATTATATTCAATGTTTAATTTTCAGGGACATATAGCAAGGCAATGTCCTGATAATCCTAAAGGCTTGTATCCAAATGGAGGTGGCTGCAAATTGTGTGGTGATGTCACTCATTTGAGAAAGGATTGTCCTACAGTAAGTTACTGATCTGTCTTACTAGTTAATTTGTTCCAAATATAAATCTATACAGTTATGATATACTTTGTTGGTAACTAAAATAATAGTATAATGCAAATTTCAGGGAAATATTCATCCAAAAATGATTTAAAAATTAACAGTAATTTTTGAAATATTCATCCAAAAACATAAAAAATATTATTGTTCATTATTACAAATATTATTTTATTTGTATAATATTATATCTAGAATAGAATATCTATAATATCTAGAAAATATTAATTTAATTATAGGTAATGGATAAAAAGGAGGGGAAATCTATTAAACTCCAAACTTTAGACAGTACAGATGATGTAGAAGGTATTGGACAACAAGGACAAGTGGTAACATCTCAAGAAACATTGAAAAGAGTGAAGAAAATAAAATTTTAGGTTAATTAAATGTCTACATATGCTGTAGTATTAAAACAAATTGTATGTATATATTTATTATTATTATTTCAATCATTAAATAATATTTGTAAGTACCTAAGCACATGATTCATTCTTTATCTGTTGAATTACTGGGAATGTATAGCTAAATGTAAAATCAAAGCTAGCAATAATAAACTTTATCTACAGAGATAATTTATTATATCTGTCTAACTAAATAAAATGCAAAAAATTAACATTAAAACATAATATATTAGTAAACCTAGGTATAATTATAGACTTCATTTTGCTTTTAGGGTTTGATTTACAGTATGTACATAAAATAACAATGGAAATATTAGTAATATATACATTACAGATAAATAGAGGGAAATCGATTTTTCATGGCATACTCAGTATTATTGAGTGGTTTCCAAACTAATTAACGTTATACAGATCAAACTGATTACTTTCTACACATTGCTCATTCATGTCTTCCAAGTATGTCTTTTTTCGAAGGTAAACAACTCCATTATTAATTTGACTATTACAAACTATCCAGACTGGCTTTAAGTTGCTCCATTGAATGATAGGCTATCTGTCCGGTGATGCCTTCAGGACTTTGGGGATCTTCTCGCATCAGAATCCTAGCCGCGTCTGCTAGATACTGTATGGGTTCTTGTAATCTGTCTTTTAATTTTTCTTGTGTTAGAGTACCGGCGCTGAATTCATTTCTTGCCATATACATTATTGGAGCGTGGAGCTCGTAAAGTACCATACCTGAAATATAGGAATATTTCAATGGTAGTAAAAGTACCTAGTTAATTTTAAATGTAGATCAGATTCAGAAAATCGTTTAAGTTCTATTAAAATGTTCTAAATTTATTTTATAACATTTTGAGTAACTACTTGACATATATTCAAATAATACTACTAATACCATACCAAGTTGATAGTTTGTGATATATCCTAGTTAAGACGGTAATAGATGCAAAAGGTTTAAGAAATACGAAATGAAGTAAGCACTGTATGTACATCCATTTACCTCTCATACGACTTTCACCCGGCATTATAGTGTCGAGTGTCTTGAGTACAAGTCGACAAAATTCTACTTTTCTCTCCAGCATTATGTCCGGTAGCTCGTCGATGTTATACCCCTCTACCCGACCATACAGTTGTCCTAGCGCCTGCTTTATCGATAACATCAATGAATGCCGAGGGTGGAATACAGATTTATACTGTAAAAAGAATAATATATGTATATATTATCATATTTGTACGTATACTTATTTGTGTAGTGGTCTTTGGGTCCACACTTGGAGGCTGGTCCGTCTTAGCCGGCGTACGGACAAATGCACTTTCGGTGTTTAATCGTAGTGAGTGGAATACCGGGGATTTTTAGTGGGCAAAAGTCTCAAGGTATCCGTCTCATAAACGTTCTGTTTTTAACATTTCTCCTCGTGGAAAAAAGTACATTGAGGTATATCAACCTTCACATGGATACCCTGGACACTATCATAATAAATTCCTAATAATTTGTCACGATACGCTAACAGATTGACTTCTACTTCTACTGTCCTCCCAGAGCATACTGTTAGCGCTATTCAATAATCATACGAAAAATATAAAATACACTCATAGTTATAGTAGAAGAAAGATAGGTAAAACATACAATATAAGATATAGGTTAACAAACTTTTTTAAGGAAAGCTTCTCGTTGTTCGATAGCTTGCGGGCCGGGTTCTAACACATCTAACTGATCGGCCTCCGCCTGTACCACGGCCAACATCTTCTGCATCGCTGCTCCAGATGTCTTGAACTCACAATTACTCTCTGTACACATCCACGGAGCATCATTGTCTGTAATATTAAAATCTACATTTCAGTTATCTATATCGGACGGTCCCTTAAATTAATTTGCTTTGTTATCAGAATCAGTCAGAAATATAAATTAATATTGTTTTACGTCTGCCCGAATCGAATCGTGGACCTTTAAGATCTCAGATGTAAACCACTAGGCCATGGCACACTCTTTTTAGCAGTATCAGTAGTTGCTACCTAAATGCAATTTATAATGTATAAATATAGGCTTTCATTTAGAATCAGTTGGAATCATTAATAAGCGAGTTTGTGAAACCCAACATGTGAGACTAAAAGATGGGATGCAAGTTGCAATGTAAGTACCATGTCTAGAATTGAAAAAGAGATAGCGGATGTACTTAAAGAAAGGGCAAATTCTAAAATAATTTTGTGATGGATAAAAGTTCTGTTCAAAAGTTTAAAGTTTAACGTTAAAAAAGTAAAAGATTAATGATTTTTCGCTAGATATAGATTAAAAAGATTTATTACTCGAATCGAAATTCTTCTTCGAACGAAAAAGTGAGACAAATTGTAACATCGAGTAATGAATTAAAAATATACATAACGGCAATTAGATTATAGGCACCGTCACTTACCTAGAGGATTAGTGGACAATATAACACCGTTATCACACTTATTGCACTTCAGCGTACTAAGGTGGGTCCCCAACTCAGTGGGGTCTGCACAGCGTGGACACTCGCAGTTAAAAAATTTGGACTCCTGCAGAAACTCCCGACGGAAGAGCGTCGGTGACAACGCATGGGTGTAACAGAGATGGAGAGTTTCCCCCGACTTTATAGGCACTGCAGCTCTCACTTGTACCCTAGCATAAAACAATCATTAAAAAGACAGAATAAAGAATGCAGACAATGGCGTAGCCACGGTGAGGCAGGGTGGGACTCTTGCCTCACCCTGGTATTAACGTGTAAGGTGCTTAACCAAAACTAAAGAATTAAATTATCTAAGTACTAACTACAATAGGTACTTAATATACTTACGAAAGTTCATACTTGATAGTCGACACAAAAAATAACATACAGAGGGTGCTACAGGGTGTAACAGTTTGTTATGAAAAAATAATCGTGGTAAGACCGTGGTATTTTATGCTAGTTACATAATATTTTAGACTGCTGCCAATCTGAACTCATGGCTGGATACGCCCATAAATGCAGGTACTACTTAATAGCCTTAAAGTTCGTCATCATTGATGTGAAGTCTCATTTCCATTTTATGACCGCAATAAAATAAATCCTTGCACATGCAAGGATTAGTAAAAAGTGTTGCCACATGGTACACTTTTTGTTAAAGTGACTGCCACATGGTACACATGCGAGATTAGGCAAACTCTATATCGTTCAATTTCTCTTACATTTTTTACGTTGAATATACTCGAAAACATTCAGTGGAAAAAATACATCTACCTATGTTCAAATAATTTAACTTACTGGTAGTCACTTAAAAGTATAGTGTGAACGATATTCGGTACGCAGCTGTGTGCTGCGATCGCCAGCCGCGGGTATACAGCTCTGATGCTGAAACCGCCTCTCGAGGGTATTTCCACGGTATTTATCTAAAAAATGTATTATACAAGATAAATCTTAATTAAGGTATTTATTAGAATAGAAATAATTAGAAACTTCTAGATACACTTTGTAATTATGAGTCATATAAACATAATATAATATGTGAAATTAATATGGTATCAGCATGCGAGATGCCTAGGCAAACTCTATATCGTTCAATTTCTCTTACATTTTTATTGCGAAAGTATCGTTGAATATACATAAATTGAAAGAAATACGCTCGAAAACATTCAGTGGAAAAAATATTTTCGTCGTTGTAAAAGTACAGCATGGTCCGAGAGAGTGTCCTGCATATGGGAAAAATGTGCAAAATGTGGTATATTAAATCACTTCGCATAAAGTGAAGAAAAAAGAAGCTGTGTGTAATAAATCAAATTCATCAAATGAAGAGTTAGCTGGAAAACATTCAGTGGAAAAAATATTGATCAGCTGATTCAACTGTATAATGTTAGCCGCGAGAAATTGCTATATCTAGGTGCAAGAATTATGAAGATCGGTCAAATTTTTTATTTTTTAGTTACGAACAAAAAAACGTACATTAAATTAAAATCTTTGCTCATTATAACACGAATATTACTTCAGATTGCTCATAAAAATAAACAAAATATTACTTCAAAGTAAATATGTAGGCCAAGTTTTTAATGAATATGGAATGTCACGCAAAGTTGAGTCAGTAGGCCAAAGAAAATAAACACTTATTACCTCTAAGATTCCGCAAACTCGTTGTACCAATTCCTTATCAAACTTCCTGCCAAGTTTGCAATGATCAACAAGGAAATCTACAATGTTGGCCTGGTCTGCTGCCCATGAAGGTCTCTGCTGGCGAGCTTCGTTATGAGTTTCCATTACATTGAGTTCTTGTTGCCATCTTTCTGGATCTTTTTCTTTTGCTAGTAGTAACCTAAATACAATACAATAAAAAAATACCTCACTATGGCACCCTCTGGAAGCCAACCCAGTTAATTCTTGGTCAATTTGCCACGATACAAAAGATTTGCCAATGAAACTGGCCTGACTTCATACGGTTGCACGGGAGCACTATTCCGATATTCGTGCATTAAAAATAATAACTCTATTATTGTGGAAACCTGTAGGTAGGAGACTGGCAGAATACTAGTGTCACTGGTACGTAATGTAGTCAATCACTATTGATACTAAGGATGTAGAAATAAATTAGATTCCACTATTCACGCACCTGAGTGGTGTGATGCAGTCGAGTTGGGGAGCGCTCGCTGTCCAGTCATTCACATTCTGAAATCGTACATTAGCGGTGGAAAACACTTCGCACTCGCCTACATGTGATTGGGCTTTTTCACATTCGGAGCTACATATAGGCCAGGAGCATTTTAAACACAGACTGTTTTCTACAGAAGCATAACAGCCAAGACACAGAGGTGGACTGTCTGCAGTACGAAAAATATTACGTGTGTTTACTAAGTACAGAAAAAGATTTCTTATTCTGAATATTACGAAGAGAAATATATTAAGAATTCTTTATACTTATCAGTACAAAATTAATCAGTATCAAAAACCAACATAATATTCTAATGAAATCGTTACTAAAGTCTTATGTTTAAATAAATGAGACTTACTATGGTAATTTATTATTTAATAGATATTATTTTATGTACATACCTCATTGTAAGTAGGATAATAAGTATAGGTATACGTATCAAATATTAGCGAATATTTATTCATTTCACTCTTACAGGAGTGAAATCTATCTATTGGACTTTTGTCCAGTTTCTCGGATAAGTACATGTTTATAAATGGCTATAAACATGTACTTATCCGAGAAACTTGAGTCAAAGTTGTATTGCGAATGGAATACAACACATATTAATACGTAATAATATCTACATAAATATTACATGTATGCCTAATTTAAAAATATTTCGTTCAGCGTAAAGAAATAACAAAACTAAAAACTCATACGGCGCGCGGCGCGATGATAGTAAATTTAGGAAAGCAAACATTTAGTCTGTGGTAATAATAAATATGGTAAACAATATTATATAATTAAATTAAATTTCAAGTACCTCTCTCCAAATAAGGAGAAATAGGAAAGCAAACATTTAGTCTGTGGTAATAATAAATATGGTAAACAATATTATATAATTAAATTAAATTTCAAGTACCTCTCTCCAAATAAGGAGAAATAACATACGCACGAAATTACACAAGGAGTCGCTGAGATATTGAACCATCACGACCTTACTATTATTATGGCCACTTGTAACATTGTAACTTAAATTTGCATCATTTAACTTTCTATTACCATTTCAGTATCTAGCTTAGGTACCTGTTGTAAATAGTATTCATATAGCGAAAACATTATTTTCACTAAGTGAAATAGTACTTGCCTGGTTTTGGTCCGACTACAAAAGGAATATCTGTAAAAATTAATTCTCCGCTGTCCAAATCTTTATTCGCAACCAAATATCGTCCATATTTCTCGTTACGGAGAACATTATATTTACAAGACTGACTATTAGCCATTGTGATAATCAGCAACGATTTATTTGTCCAAATGTGTAAAAAGATATAGCACCGCAGAGATTGGCGATTGCCGAATGAATAATTAAAGCGTCTCTTATATGTTTGCTGTTTAAATAGCGTTAGCGGCTATAATAAGACGCGGACCATTCGAGAATTATGCCGATCGAGTTCAAGAGATTTCGAGATGGAGACGGGGATAAAATAGAACTATTGAAATATTTATATGCATTATTTATATTCTGGTACATAGCAACGTAAAAGCTTCTATTACTGATACGGAAAATCAAATACATAATAATTATAATTTGATTTATTTATTTCTCCTCACAAACATGATGGCAACAATACATGTAGTATTATACATACAAATAAATCTATTGTATAAGAATACCTAATTAAAGTACAGATATAATATTTTCAAATAAAGTAATAAAACTTTTAAAAATTATCTTAAAAATAAAAATATATATTAAGCTTCTAATATTCAGGTCTGAGAATTACCCGCAAAACAATTTAAATTTAAAATAAAATCTTATTTTGAAAAACATTTTTTATAATGTTAAATATATAAACCAAAATGTAATTAACTTAATTAGGATTTATAACATATTATTATGTGGTGTATTGTAAAATGTAAAGAGCTCCGTCAACAAGAGTGCGGCTCTTAAAAGTAAATTAAATTAAAGAATGCATAAATAATAAATGTCGTTAGCAGCGAAATAGGCATGGATTAGTAATTAAATAAATACCACCAAAGAATATACTACTCAAGAGTACCACTATCCATCAGGACCAAGTAGACACTAGAGTACCTACCTGTAGCGGTAGAATACGAAAGCGACCTCTACACTACGGTGGTGTAGTAATCCCGTGGAGGTTTAGGGCCGGTAGTCGTGAGTCGAGTGGGTTTCCGTGAATGTACCCGACATTAAAAAGAAGGTGTAAGAAAGACTATCCACAAGTTTATTATTGACTGAGTTAGGAACTATGTATATATATTCAATAAGAATAATCTCGTTTAGGATGTTGTTTACTTTATTCATATATATCTTATTTATATTTCAGTAATGAAATTAATAAAAATTGCATATAAGTAAGTAGGTACCTACATATAGATAATGCCTAATAGATTTAATATATTAAAATTTTCAAACAATCTAGACGTATATTTTATTGACAAATATTTTTGTATATTAGCATTATTTTAACACAATTTAATGATTTATTACTAATTATGTCATTTTTTGAATATATATGTGAATTAAAAAATACTGTAATATGCAACATTGTACATTTCTGGAGTCCGTTTAAAATTCCGACTGTAAAAGCTACAATTAGACGGGAAATCATACCGTGTATTCGCTCTGTAAGTTAATATTTTACAATACGTATCATAGAAAAAATAAGTTATATGTGTTTTATATTTATACACATTCGATCACATTGACTTGACATATATTATTACATTTCGCATAATTTAGATAATATCTCTTTAAATTATAGTCTATGTGTTATTCCGATATATAAACTATATTACTGCAAAGTTTCATCAGAATCCGTGCAGTTGTTTTTGTGTGAAGGACTGACATACATCCATCCATCCATAGTTACAATCTTTCGCGTTTATGATATTATACATTAAGAGTAAGATTTTAGGTTGTATGTCAATGACAAGGGAACTAATTAAACTAAGGGAAATTTCAATTCAATTGAATTCAAAGAAATAATTTGATGATGATATCGCTTAACTAACATATATAAAAACGTAATAGCTGAATTGAGAATTTCGCAGTTTTCATAATCGGTTAGAAATGTTTATTTTATATAAGCTGGTCTTCAATCCTCCCCATACACCTACGAGTATTTAAATTTTAATAGGATGGTACTCTGGGAGAGAAAATGATCTGTGAAGATGAAAACGGAAATAGGATTGATTGCCCTTTATTGACCGAAGATGAGGACTACGATGATCATGATGATATATTTAATTTTGAACAACTGCATACTGTAAGTAATTAATTTAACTATACAATATAAGTCTACTTGTTCTTTTAATATATCTGTATTATTTACTCAGTGAGTAAGACGCCCATTGAGCAAGTAATCACTATGTTTAAACAGTTCTAACTCGACAAACAAAACTAACTCGGAACAATAAATTAATAGCCGAGATTATTCCTATTTCATAACATTGACATCGCCGCTGATGAACGTCCAAATGTCAAACTACGTAGAGTCAAGCTAAGTATTCTTTAATTTGTATAATACTTTTATATCATATTATTATGTTATAAAACAATCACTTAATATTTTAATGAAATATCTGAAAAATGTTAATTCCATGAAACTCATACTTATGAATTGAAATAATATCAATATCGTTATATCCGGTTTGTGTGTTATTTTGAGCGCCCTCTAGCGCCAACCTCCTCAAATCGAAACTGTCTTGTGGTGTAGTGCATAAGTTTTCTGAGGCAATTTTATTGCCTGCATTTTACAGTTAATTAAGTTCTGTCTGTGAATAAATATATATCCCGGTAAGTGTTACTTTCCAGGCGTATAATTAAAATATATTAAGTGTCTGATTAGTTAAAAAAATATATTAGGTTATTCTTCTGGACCCATGAGCCGGTTCTAACGGGAAATTATCCAAATCATTCTTCTTTCATTTTTAATTTATATTAATTCTTATACACAAAATGACTCTACTGTTCATTTTATACAATGGAATCATTAATTCAAAATTTATATCATTCATCCCTGCCGATGATACTGAGGAGTTGGCCTGACACATGTGATTTCTTTTACTGATCCAACGATCGCATTTTCATAAGGTCAAGTTTACGATGACCCGTAAAATTTATCAGTGGTTATTTACATATGATTAAGAACAACAATATTTTATTAATTCTTTGATGTATGAGATTGGTTATTCTACATTAATGTTATGTAATACCTAGTCTCAATGAAAGTAACTTGTAAATATGTCTATGTCGCGAAGACACTGACCCTGACACAGCTGGCATCGATGATCCATTTCGCGATTTTTCTCCCTGCAAATTATAATTAATATTGTTTTTCATTCCATTCTCAATTCATGATTATTTGATGTTGATCCCACAAACTTATGGAATTAAATATATATATTACAAATTATAATTAATATTGATTGCAGAAATCATATATCTACTATTGAGTAGATTATTAGTGTGTTTTTCTAAAATAAATTAAATTGAGTTACATTACATGAACACTTTATATTTCCTTTAGATAATGGCCCCTCCTTATTATGCTGATCTTGGAAAGAAGGCAAATGATGTCTTTGGTAAAGGATACCACTTTGGTGTGTTTAAACTTGATCTTAAAACCAAAAGCGAATCTGGAGTGGAGTTCAGCAGTGGTATCACCTCCAACCAGGAGAGTGGAAAGGTATAGCATATAAATACAAGTTAGAGTATTGAAAGAAAATAGAACATTTTATTTTCACCTAATTAGATATTTTAAATTTAATACATTTGGAAAAAAACAATTTGCTAAATGAATCTATGCAAATATTATAAAAGATGTAAATCATAAGTGATTGATTTCTCCCTGAGCTAAAATATCTGGATATAAAATTGTTTTATATTTTAAACAGTTTTGTTGCTTAAACTCTTCCATTAATATTAATAATGGTCTATGACCATGCATTGTTATAGAATGTTACTATAAATTCTTATATGATTTAGTAAATTCATACTAAACAATTATGGTTTAAATATTGTATATTGTAATGTAGTTTAAAATCCTTGTATACTTCATTATCAGCAGATTAAACTGTCATACTAGTTTATATAATGAAAACATTCTTACTTATTCAATTTATGAATCTTAATTAATTGACACAGGTGTTTGGCAGCCTTTCATCCAAATATGCTGTGAAAGACTATGGTCTAACATTCACAGAGAAATGGAACACAGACAACACATTGGCCACGGATATCACAATCCAGGATAAGATTGCTGCCGGCCTTAAAGTAACTTTGGAAGGCACATTTGCACCACAGACAGGGTAAGATCTGTATTTATTATGTTTCCTAGTACTTGATAATACAAGACAAATATGGAACTTAATTAAATAGAAATAATAGAAATTAAATTCAAAATACTCCATTTTAAACAAAATAAGTTCATGTATGAAATTTAATTATAATTTAGAAAATATAAATTGTTTACTGTTTTTCAAATAATTACTTTGGTAAAAATGTGTTATTTATTTTATTAATGTTGTTTTAGGAGCAAGACAGGGAAATTGAAGTCATCATTTGCCAATGATACAGTGGCGATAAACACCAACTTGGACTTGGATCTCGCCGGTCCTATTGTGGATGTAGCCGCTGTCCTCAAGTACCAGGGTTGGCTTGCGGGTGTTCATACACAGTTTGACTCCCAGAAGGCTAAGTTTGCTAAGAACAACTTTGCTCTTGGCTACCAGACCAACGACTTCGCCCTTCACACCAATGTGTAAGTTTTACAATCATAGTAAATCACAGCCATTAGGATTAAAGTAGATATCACAATTGTCTGTACATGTGATGATATTTTTCATCCAGAATTCTAGAAATTACAAAGCATAGTTCATTGCAAGTTCTAGCATTCTAGATGAAAATAAATTACTGTTAAGAAACCCTAATTGTAAACTGGCTTGTATATTAATTATATACAAATGTTTGTACCGGATCATAAGGCGGTGAGCTAAACCACTAGACCACTGAAGCTGTCAGACTCAAAATACTGACAAAATTCCATTATAACAATTGGGGTTAATTCCAAAGAAAAAATACTTGGAAAACAAATAATAGTACAAAAATTTGTGGTGACTAAAGCTCCTGTCACTCAATAGTGAGTAGTAATTGAGGTCAATGTGTCTCCTATCCTTATTTAAATCCATGTATAAATAAAATTTATTTGTGTGTTTATGTGAGTGTGAATAAACAATTATACACTGTTCAAAAGGCCCTATATGGGACAAATATATGTTGCAAATTGTGATTACAAAATAAAAACCCCGCACTATACTCCAATAATACAGTATAAATAATAATTTTCTTAACATCGTTTGGATCATACTGTTATGTAACATAAACTAATATGATTTTCTAGAATAGAGTTTTCTAGAAAATCATATTAGTTTATGTTACAATTCTAGAGTTTACAAGATCCTACTATTAAAAGTAGGCCGATTTACTACATTATTAGTTTGAAAAGTGTGTACTGTGTAAAATTAATAAAATTGAATATAAATTATTATATCATGATCATACTTCATACGTTTAAATGACTCAATCTTTACATAGCAACTGTCCCGCATCTATCTATGCGTGAATTCGGGTAAAAAGTATCCTATGTCTTTGTTACACAATCTATCTTTATGTTATAATTCATTAAGATTCATTCAGACTTTCTCCCGTGTAAAGGTAACAGAAAGGCCGTCTGTTTGTTTCACACTATTATAAAATTGATATTAGTATGGATTAACTTATTGACATTACTATATCACGAAAATCTTTAGCTATAGTGCTGAATATACATATATTATTCAACTAAACGCCTAGTTGAGTAGGACAGGCTGCAGTGCACTCTTTATTGATTTTGCATGATTACATAACAGCTCATTTTAAATTCAGTGAACTGTTCTCATAATCCAGTTGGATTGAATACAGACCAGATGACATTGACCCTAATGTTTTATTCTAACTTCCTATTGTTTCATTAAGCATGGCTGGATATGTATCATAAAGTAACTGGGTTACTACATATATACGGTAATATTGTTATATTAAAAGGTAGTTTTTTTATCATCATCATTGACTACTCTTTGACTCGCGATCTGCATCGCACTTACTTGACATTGTATTTCCCTCAATTTACGTAATAAATTTTTAAATGTGTACCTATGTTTTATTCTGACGTTTATATAAAATTATGTTACTGTAAAGTTTCATCATAATTAGTTTTTGCGTGAAAGAGTCACCACCCATTAGTACTCACAAACTTTGGCGTTTATAATATGAGTAAAATGAAAATTAATTAGAATAGAATGTTGCTACTATTATATATGTATGTTCTATTAAAATTCGGTGATGTTTTTTTTTATACTACGATGGTAGGCGGTTAAATTTAATTAAACAGAAGTTAATTGACTATTTTACGAATAAGTACATATCAAGTGCGATGCGGTTTATATGCAGATGAAAAAAATTAAAAAATGCATCTATTCGGTTGTTTTAGGGCTCTGCAATTATACGATTAATCAGAGAGTATTAGATATTGTTCAAAAATATTTATTGTTTGTGTAACATATTATGTTATTGTACTATTGAGTGTAGTTGATTTAATGCTATTGTTTCTTAGTAATCAGTCTTGTTACTGAGTACTAAAAATAGAGAACTTCAATATAATCTTATCATATTTTTTAACAATAAACTATATTGTGCTCTAGATGTAAGTAAATGTTATCATGACATTTTCTGAATAGTCACTAACTCATACATAGATTCGAAGTTGTTATATGTATCTGTTATTATATTTTGGTGTTACCTATAGATACGAAAATGTACAATCTTTTTGTTCCCATTCTATATAAATAATTTAATTGAAGTATCTATTGGTAATTTCAACTACAAACCTTTTCAATAAATGCATATGAAAGTATGTATATACAGTACTTAGTTAAAAAATTTAATTTAAAATATTTCTATCTGTCTGTCTGTTTCTTCTTGCTAATCGCTGAAACGGCTCGACTAATTTTGGTGGGACTTTCGTATAAGGATTAATTTAGACAATTTATTTATTTTAATATAAGACAAGCTTAATTCCACGCGGACGACGTCGCGGATAACGGCTAGTTCATAAATAACAAATGAAATTTTTATTTCGATATTTTTATGTATATGCGATGCATGCTTAACTTTAAGACTGTTAAAACTTTTAACTGTTGTGTGTGTGATGTGAACACGTGACGGGTCATATTGTGTTGGATATATTCGAATTCTACGTCACGGGTGGCAAGTCTACCGTCGTCACTCTAACCAATTTAGCTTGTTATCCCTGTTGTGTATATAATTCTTAGTCACTCGTAATCATTATATTATTAACTAGGTGAGTCCTGCGGTTTCTCCTGCGTAAAATTTATAGCCTATTAAAATTATAATTAACTATTAAAATCCATTTAGTAGTTTTTGCTTAAAAGAGTAACAAACATCTATGCGTCAGTTCAGACTCGCAAACTTCTGCGTTTATAATATAAGATTTGCCTTAAATGTTTTATTAAAAGTTATTTGTTTTATATACAGCGACAATGGCAAGGACTTTGGTGGTTCTATCTATCAGAAGGTGTCCGACAAACTGGACTGTGGTGTCAGCATGAAGTGGACCTCCGGTTCATCAGACACACTATTCGGCGTCGGCGCCAAGTTCGCACTTGATCAAGATGCGTCCCTGCATGCCAAGATCAACAATAAGTCTCTCATCGGTCTTGGCTATCAACAAAAGTTGCGTCCAGGTAAGATACTCATTAGTTTCTATGAAATTTACGATTTCAGAACCCAACAATACTAGACATCTCTATATCAATTGCTGCCAATTAGACAACCATCTTCAAATATACGTGCGGAATGCAGGTTGGAAACAACCACATAATGTTAGTAAATTGATTTGGTTAGCATTTTAAATTAATTGAAATCCAAGTATTGAAGATACTCATAAATAAAACATCGTTAATTCACATCTATTTACGGCCATAGTATATGTATACAAGCGACCCGTCCCGGCTTCGCACAGGTTTTATATGTTTTGTTATATATTACAATTATTTTAATTTCTTGGCTTCTACTATGCTATGACACGCATGTATAAATCTTCTTCTTGAATCACTCTACATTTGAAAACTTTATTAAAATCCGTTTCATAATTTAAAAGATATAATGGAACATACAGATCGGCAGTGATGTCATACTATGTCAAGATTAGTATTTATTAATAATTTAATCAAGGTACACTTTGTACAAAGTTATCTGCGTTTTGCTTTGTAAGATATTTTCGTAAGGTTCGATATATGGCAGTGAAATTGCAATATACTAAGGTATGAAGTACCGTTCTCTGGGATGGCACACGCATGCGTAGTACATCTAATGATGTGATGTTTACGAATATAGACAATGGTTACCATTTACCATTAAGTGGACTTTTTATTTCTGAATTAATTTTTCCAAACTACACAGTTCATAGACCTATTAAAGTGATATAAAGATAACGATTTGAACATACATCTATATATCTAGATAATCTATAAAATTGCCAATACATCCATCAATTTTATGCGGCTGCATTATGTATTACATTGTATAAGCATGTATATCAATCACTGTCACTACAATTCATGTGAATCCACTTTTAACACGTGTGAAAGCTGATATGAATTTATCTTTGAGGTATTGTCTCATCTCTACATATCACTGGATAATTTTACACAGTGTAACTTTGCAGTCTAAAATAACCAAGTCTCTTTGTCGTTGAGGAGAGTGAGCTTATTGATTTGGTTCCATTAATGGAACAGCAATAAAGACTATTGGACATAAAATACAAATTAATTAATGAAAAATTAAAAATGCAATGTTATGATTATAATTTACATACCATTGTTCAGTAATCTACATAAGACACATCTACAAAAAAGACGTGACATCTATATATAGATACAATTTGTGTAAATAGCAGTTTAATCTAATAAAAAAATAACACATACTTCTTTACAAGTATATAATGTATATAAATAGGCAAATAAAACCTATAATGTATTGTGCCATGGATTAATTAGTAGAAAACTATATCCATTCATCCATATTTCTATTCAGTGCCCGAGATGACTGAGTCATAATTTGGTAACAGTTCTTATCTTAAGTTCATATAAGTTATACTATATTGCTTTATCGTGTGATATATGTTTACGTATCTGTCACAAATGTATCATGTATGTTATCAAATCTTATCTATAATGGTTGTAGAGAAAATTTATGTTGTGAGATTAAACAATATATATAATGTAATGTTACAGGTGTGACTCTGACGTTATCAGCTGCTATTGACGGCCAGAACTTCAACGCTGGCGGACACAAGGTCGGAGTTGCTCTCGAACTGGAACCCTAAGCACTTGGAGTTTGCTGTTTATTCTTGTAGATACACATACCACATTCACTATTATGTAACAGGAAAGAAGCGTATATAGCAAAATCAATCGAAACTGTACCTTCAGTGTTCCCTTATAGAGTGTAATTTAGCGTTCGAAACTCAGTAATAAAATTTATATTCTTAAACCGCTGTCAAATGCTGTTGTATTTGTTTGTATCAAGATGGCGGACGCGTTATCTCCTAGTAAATATTAGCATACATAATTTATTTTATAAGCACGCGCCCGTTTGAACATCGTATATTTTTTGCTAATTACTTTTATCTCTATGACTTGAAACTCCCCAGTTATCTTGTAAATAAGCACCTATGGTGTATTGCCCTATTGATTGAATGGAAATAAATACGAATAGTTTGTTGCGATCAGCATCAATCATTTGTTTTATTGTGAAGACCTTCCTGACGCTTTTCTTGTTCCTCAAAAAATCCCATGTCCTTCCACGTCCGCCATGTTGTTGAGTATGTAATATGACACTGGATAGAAGTGCTATTTTAATTTGCTATGTTATATTTATACATTATATTTATTTTTGATTTCCCTAAGTTATTAAATATTTACAACTTACCGTCTGTTTTCTATATTTTAGAGTTACTTAGTTTAAATGTAGATGTTTTTTAATTATGCAATCTGGATAATCTTTTCTATCCTATATTTTATTTTCCTGATAGACTTTCATGTGTATGGTAAGCGAATCGTATATACCTTTGAATCGCAATAAAATTATCTGTGTCAGCATAACATAAAGTACTAAGCTTGACGGTCTCGGTGGTCTACCGGTTTACTTCCGATGGGTTGGATTCCTTGCAAAATACAAACATTTGTATTCATTAGTTTGTTTTGATTTTGGGGTGATTTCTATGTAAATATATTGTGCAATTATTTGTATCAGTAGTCCAGTATCCATAATATAAGTTCTGCTTACCTTGGGACTAGTTGACACAGTTCTGAGATATTATTATGGCTGTTGAAATCGCCTATTGCCAGTTTTATGGGCCTGCTGTGGTGGGATAATTGGAGTGGCTTTGAATAGAAAAGGAATATTGGTGATAGTAGTACATTGTGCAGTCGCCTGCGCTAATGGGTTACGCTGGCGGAGCGCCATTTAAGGATGATAACATGAGCATGAGGTCAGGTCAGTTAGCTCATTATGGTATATTCATCAGGAATTTATCACGATGGTTTCCAGGGAGAACCCGACAGTAGAACAGATGTAGACACGCGGTAGCGTGTCAAGCCGAGTTTCAAGTAACTGGCGAGCAGCACCGTGTGTATATTTACACGAACCATTTGGAGCCACTTTTGACCCCCTCATAACTCAAAAACTCTCACATAAACCTGTCAAATTTGGTTCATATATTGAGACTTGCGAGATAAATATGTGTTCCAAATTCATAAACATATCTCAAACGGTTATTTAGATATTAACGTCCAAATATCGTAACCCCTTCACATCAGTGCCGATACCTAGCAAACTTCAAATATTGCATTGAGCGGTAAACACAAGTTGCTATAATTTAGATTCTGTCTAAAATATACTCGTACTTATAACTGAGAGTATAGTCGAATATCATATACCCCGAAAACGTACGAAAATAAAGTAGTTTATCAAAAATAATTTGGTATTAATTTAGTTATAAATAAGTACCTCGTATAATTTATGTACAAAAAGTAATGATATCCCATCAAAAACATAAATGTGAAATGATAGCCGAGTTTAATATTATGATATATGCCTTGATTGTTGACTTCTACGATAAAAGAGGTGAGATTTAAATGGGTGCCAAGTTCAATGGTATGTCCTGAAATGTATTTATAACAATATATAATATAATTTCTTCTTCTAACTTAGGATAATATACTGTAGCCTAAGGTCTAACTTGGCTAGTTTAATTGAACTAATATAAAGTATATTAAACTAAAGAAATTATTATTATTACTTAGAAGAAATAAAATATGAAAGTAACTGTTTTAATTTATTAGGAAAAATCAAATCACATTTAGAAAAGAAGCTTATTACCATGGTTTAGTATATTGTATTTATATAATCTAATAATCATAAGAAAAGTGCTCGATTTTAACTACTGTATCATTTCTTCCTCCATGAGTTTAGCCATCCATTCTGGTTCGGCGGCGGCAATTTTTTCAATGAGGCTATTTACTTGATAGCACAGACTTTGTATCTGTTTGTCCCATTGTGGCAGAATCTCCCGGGCTACAAAATACAATAATCGTAAACTGTGCTTAAAAATACTGTTTTTCCTTACAGTAAAAGTATAGAATGGACATTTTCAAATCAAAAGCTTTTTATTAAATGCATATGAAATACAGTACTCTCATAAAAAAATATATTTAGAAAAAAAATTGTCTATCTGTTTGCTATTAATAATCTCTGAAACGGTTGTACCCATTTTGATAAACATTCACTTGCATATAGCTAATGCAAGGATTAACTTATTAGAGCAAGAGCCCACGACGGCCAGACATCGTTTTATTAGTAAACGTGAAAGTTCTTATATGTGTGTCCCCAACACGGGTAAGAACGATCCCCAAACATGAAACCTGAATCGTGGTTCCTTTGGCAGGTAACAGGTAACAAAGGTGTAAAAAATTTTATATCAAATTCGTTTTTTTTAAGAAACTCCATTTTTTCATATATTGTTCGTAGCATTATAATAACTTGCGCTGCTCATTGCCAGACACTTAGTGTGGTTCCAACCCCTCGCCGGACCCCCCTAAACTATACTATTTTACAAATAAACTTACGTCATTTTAATAGAGCTGAACTTTATATATATTATTGAGAGAACTATTAAACTGAGTTTCCTAAATTGCCAGACAGTTTTCTTGGTTCCTTATCCTACCAGACTCATTGAAACCGTATATTTAGAATTTCATATCAAATTCGTTATTTTAAGAAACTCCATATTTTCATATATTTTTCGTAGCATTATTACAACTTGCGCTGCTCATTGCCAGACGAGAATTTGATATGAAATTGTATACACCGTTGTTACCCAATATACGGTTTCAATGAGTCTGGTAGGATAAGGAACCAAGAAAACTGTCTGGCAATTTAGGAAATTCAGTTTAATAGTTCTCTCAATAATATACATATATAAAGTTCAGTTTTATTAAAATAACGTAAGTTTACTTATAAAATAGTATAGTTTAGGGGGTACCGGCGGGGGGTTGGAACCACACTAAGTGTCTGGCAATGAGCATAGCAAGTTATAATGCCGCTACGAACAATATATGCAAATATGGAGTTTCTTAAAATAACGAATTTGATATAAAAAAATTTACACTTTTGTTACCTGTTACCTGCCAAAGGAACCACAATCCAGGTTTCATGTTTGGGGATCGTTCTTACCTGTGTTGGGGACACACATACAAGAACTTTCACATTTACTAATAAGACGGAAATCTGGCCGTCGTGGGCTCTTGGGCTATATGCTTTACTTAATTTAATAAATTAACAAAATTCGCCAAAATTAAAATAGACTAATGTTTTTATATAAATAATATAAATTAAAACCAATAAAGTTAAAATTAAAAGTTAACGAGGTATTTATTGATATTTTTTGCAATTAATGATATTTTTTCCATATTCCATATTTTTTCCCCATCAATATTAATAGTTGGTAATTTTGTAAATAAAATATAGTTTCCAGTAAATAAGAAAAAAATAGTCTTACTTTCAAAATGTACAACAGAACTGATCTGGTCAATGTATCCATTCATTCGGCCCTCGCTGATCATATGGCTGGCGATTCTTTCTGCCTTGGCCGGTGGCGTCTCCAGTAGTGCTCCCAGCTCTTCGAACGTTATATTGTTGTATAGTTTACTGGCCGACAGTAGATTATGCTCGAATACTGCTCGGTCCAGAATCGTAGAACCATCGGCTGTAGTTGCCTGATATTAAGTATATATAGAAATCACGTTACAGCATACATCATAAAAGTCATATATAATCTACATGTATATAGTTTATGGATGATAATGGAATGGTGCACCTGCCTGCGCTACCGGTTTACGCTGGCGGTCACCATCATAATAAATTCCTGGTGAATTTGTCACGATGGACTAGCTGACCTCAGCGTGATGCTGAGGTCAGTTAGTCCATCGCTAAATCGTTAGCGCAGACGGATAACCTATTTCATTATCATCCATTAACAATATGGTTTCTTGGATTATATACGAAAATTGGTGATGTTTGCACTCCTTATTCATACGTCACTTATTAAACGAAAGGTTACCTTCTGATGTGTTTGCATAAGAGCTTCAAATTCATGCAATTCCGATCGGCGAATAATACGATCCAAGTACATTTTCTCTAGAATTGAGTATGCCGGTAGTTGTTGACATCTTTCATCTTTGAAGAGTGTTGCGAGCATTCTAGACCTTTGCTGCCCTAGAAAAGTGTGATACAATTACAAACACTAAAATAAATACACACCTCACAAATATAGGCGTAGCCAGCCATGGGCTAAGAGTGGGGCTGTAGTCTAAAATAATGGGACTAGCAAAGTATACCCGCAGTCCTACCCCAATTATTTTTGTCATACAAAATAATATTAAGTATCATATTTAGTACTCAGATAATTTATTTTTTTAGGTTTGGTTAGGTACTTTAAAGGTTATAACCACGGTTCGAACTACGCTTATTAAGTTACTCTATTATTTTATTTAAAAGAAAATAATTACCAGCTGACGCTAACACCGTGCAGATAAGTGCATTCCTGAGGCACGTCATTCTTTCATCTTCATGTATTATATTGCGGTATGATAGTTCATTATACCTTTGAGCAGCTTCGATGAATTTTCTAGAATATAAAAACAAATTATTCTTATCAGATAGCGCAAATGAAGTGAACGACAGTCCGACAATAATGGAATTTCACAAAGGTAGACGTTTTATAAAGTTGTTTGCGTCTCACCTATTTATGTCGCCATGTAAGATACATTGCGACATAAATAGGTGAGCTTTGCAATCTATGCTACAGTTTGAACCTTGATATATGTCAGTGAAATTATAAGTTACTGGAACATAATACCTTAATCCTGAGGAATGGCAACGTTTGAAGACTACCATGTACATATGTGTTGTTATTTTTAAAATTAAAAATAAAATCAAGTAAATATAAAATAAAAACTAAAAATATGACGGTCTTGGTGGACTAGCATATTAACATACCGCCTTAATTCCGATGACTACGGATTCGGGTGCGGCGGGTATAGGATGGGGCATGAGGGTTACAAATAGATCACATTGCATACCTTCTATAATCTAAAACTCTCGCGTAGCATACTTTGTAATAAATTTGCAACTGTTCGTTGGTAGTTTCGGCTTGTAGCAGCGACGCTCGGTTGACAAATGCCTCAGCTTGCACTGGGTCATCCACCTCTAGATATAAGCGGGCTATTTTCAAGTATGTCTCCAATTTATAATCGACGGAGTATTGTCTGAAAACATTATTATTATATTATCTTTACATACTGTAAAATAAAGTCGCTTCCGCTATCTATTCACTTAGATTTTTTAAATTAACAACGGATTTAATGCAATATTTAGCTTTGAAGTAGAATGTTTATATGAATAGTTCATGTTCATCCATGGAAAGGGGTGGGTAGCTAGTTTATTATAATAATATATTAATCTGAGAGATGACGTAGGCTCGCTTCTTCTATGGTAGATGCAAATAAAATTAGCGAAATGTGGGCATGTCTTGAGTTTGCTATGACGTCAACAATAGAGACTACTTTTCTAGCCCATCTGAGATAACAGTCGTGACGATATGTAATTACTATCTTAATATTGCAGTTTAGCGCTAGTTAAGATTATACTATATCAAGTCAGAGTACAGTTAAAATAAAACTTTGTTTAATTCAATTATGTTAGAGCTTGTTTGCTAAATGTATACATACTAACTAAAAAAGATTTACAGTACATAATAAAATTTATAATATCAATATTTACAATTATGATAATCATTATTAGATAAATATTATTAGAAAGTAGAGCTATATTTAAGACATCAAAATAACTTACTTCTGGCCAGTTTCCAAAGGTATGCCAACAAGAACATTGGCTGCTTCTTTCCAGTTTTGATTGTGCTCATATATGTCAGCCAAATGTTGTCTAATACTGGCAACCTGCAAGATTACATTAAATGTTGTAAATTTAATGCTATTTTGTTCTTTGGCTGTATCTTAAAAAAAAAACATTTCAATGTAATTTCAGCATATGGAACTCTTATGAATATATCCTAATCTAAGGTGCTGGATCCATAACAACCTGAAATTTGTTTGTTTCACTATAATGAGAGTATGAGATTTGTAAAATAATCATAGTAAAATGTACAATAGTTCAGATTTTATTGATGAAAACATGATAAGAGGCACTAGAGTATTGTAATAACTAGTAATAACATGTTTTATTAAAGAATCATTTCAATTTCAAGTTCATTTACATGGAATTTAATCGACTTTGACTACTGATAGTTAGAAATTAATCGATCTTTTGTACAAATATTTATGCCATATGAATTTTGGCACAATGGAAATAATTTTCTTCTTGTGAATTAATTCATGTATTTTATTATAGATAGAAATATTATTACCTGTTCTTCAAATGAAATGACTCGGGGCTGAATGACATCAAGAGCAAAATGTGATACTTCTTTTGAGACATTGTCTGGTAAACTGGCCAAGTGGACACTAACATCTGTGAGCAGCTGTCGGGATATCACTAAGCTAACATTTTCATTTACAACTGAAAAAGTAAAAGCAGTGTTCTTATTAACTATGAGAGATATTCTTACCTTTATACATTACAATTATATGTACATAATATGCTTCTTAAGTAATATTATTTTTGCAAATTATTTTAAATATTAGCACTGTAAGTTTTGCATCATTATTTGAGTTGACAACATGATATCATAATAATAAATGATGGAAGCTTATTAACATATATTTCTATATGTTTAACATTTGTTCTATACAAAAGTATTATATGTTTTTTAAGTTTCTACTAATAATAATAATATTCCTAATATCAAGTAAAGTCTATTATTATTATTATTATTTCATTTATTTCGGATATTTATCCATCCATATTATGTTAGTAAACAACTTATTAACTATGTTAGTAATTTACAATTTACAATTTTATACATTTAATTCATATATTTATGTCTTTATTATTGTAAACAAATTAACAGCATTACAACAACTACTACTATTATTAAATTGTAACATACTGTTCATTGTAAATAAGTTGCATTTATTTTATTACAAATATACATACTTGCTTCAACAAATGCCTTTAGGGACTCTGCTAATTCTCCATCTGTGGCCTTTAGTATCTCTGTAAGAACATTGCGATATCTAAAAAGCAAAATGTTAAGTTTAAGAACAATAATTAAACATATAACTAATTTTTTTATATTTTTTAATATAAAAAAGGAAAAGGGTGATCTGACAGACTGAAATAAATGGTAAGTGGCACCTATAGCTAAAAGAAATGTTTATAGCATTTAGATATTAAGATTATCATGTAGTGACAGTGATAGCACTCAGATATTGCCTATGTGTAAAAGGGTTATGCCTTCATAGCCTATAATTTTACTGGCATAACACACCCTTCAACTTTACCAATGACCAATGTCACTAAAAAAAAATATATTCTCATCAGTATGGGCAACAACAACTGAAACTATATAAATAGTTAATATACTAAGTGTTCAAAAGCAAAAAAAGATAAAAAAGCTATATAGCTTCAGTTATTTTTGTAAAATTATATATATTTTAATAAAATCAGTTCTTACTTTTCTGCTTGATCTCTGTGAAGTCCTCCAGAATTTCTCAGTTCATTAAGGTATTGTCTTACACCTTGCAAATTTAGAGGCATGTTGTTTTGTTATTGAATATTTCCCTGGTAAGCTTTAATACTAATTATAATTTTATTTAATTTATAAAATGAGAAATACTTAATATATTAATAGCTCCTTAAAAGTTGCTGGTTACAATATTTATAATTTTTAAAATAGAAACGTTTTATTTATAAATGTGTAATTTTAAGTAAAAATTGTTATTGGTGTTTTGTAGTATGTAAGTTATTTTATTTTGTGAATCTGTATTATTGACCAAATTAGCATTAGTATATATTTTAAAATTACTTATTTAAGTATCTTTAGTACTCAATGGGAAAAATAATACACTACAATATTGAGAAGGGAGAAAAATGACATATTCCTACTCACAATCTAAATATATGAATCCACAGATCAGAAAGACTTTTTTTTTATAAGCTAGGTACCACAGATAACGTAATATATAGTATGGTCTGCTTTTTACCGCTTTGAGTTTTTTTATCAATATGTTTTACGGCTCTGGATATAAGTCCTTTTTAAATATGAAATGTTACCAACTATGAGTGCTGTCAAATGGAAGTAGTTGGTATTGTGATGCTCCCGCCCAGAGATGAGAACAGTATTCCATGTGCGGCCGGATCTGCGCCTTGTATAATTGCAAGCGATGGGCTGCCGAATTTTTGTTTTTATTTTTTTATATATAACGTCTCACTCTACTGAAAATGCATGTAATAACAGCTTTTTTGAGGCTAACAAATGTATTTATATTTTAGCCTTGTCCTCCAAATGACCGCAAAACTGAACGTCACTGGATATATCAACGCCAAGAACTTCGAGATTTGGCTTTACTTCAAGGAGAGTGTCTTGAAACTGAGGAGATACGATAAATGGATTCTTTTTAGCGGTATTTTGCGACAGCTTATGTAATGTTTCCATTCATGGAAATTTTTATCGAAATAGGTATAAAAAATATAAATTATTTATTTATTTGAATGTATGTCATACATTGTTACTTAGAGTTTGATTAAAATGTTATACAATTTTAAGAAAATAATTGGACCAATTTAGCCTCTTTTTAGTACCTTATTTCATTTGGTTATACAGAAATGACGATGTTCATTGCATTTAAATTTCCATGTGTAAACATGGAAATTTAAATGTAATGATTCAATATTCAATAATAGTCTATTTCAGTTTGATTATACAGTATAGTGATTTCTTGCTCAATGTGTACAGCTATAAAAAAGTTTGTTTTATTATGTTGGCATTAATTTTATTTTCAATTTTGTTTGACAGCAAATTGAAAGAAGCGCCATTCTAGTTATTTCAATTTTATTAAATTCTTATAAAATATTTTACGATATTTTCAAGTAATTCGACTTCTGTACAGTAAAATTTGTTCATTATTCTTCATTTTTAGATAAACATTGTATTTTCTTGCTTCTTATTTCTTAACGAAATGACGTTATATTGTAGTGATATATTTGTTTTCAACCGTGGTGGAGACTCGTATAGATTTGAGTTGATTTGACAACGTAAAATGGCGGCCTCTTTTGAACTGCAGTTTGTTTTGCATTTCTTGTCCTATTAAAGAAATGGTGTAATCTAATACGTGTGGTAAATTAAATTGTATGTATTAAATTAACAAAATAACACAATGGATCATAATTTGGAAGATACTTTAAATTTGGAAAGTGCAATAAGTGAAGAAAAAAAAATGATAGAATATAAATAATAGATTACAAAATGTTAAGTTATCAAATTTACTATTTTTGGTAATAATTAATAAAATTTATTTATTATCTTAATGTCAGGTCTTCATTTTAACCATGTTGAGCTAACCAGTTGTGGTTACATTGAACACAATAATATTTTGTTTAACTTTTATCACATTATTCACTGTAACACATTAACTGAATTATTAATTTCTTTTTTATATATCTTATATACGTAAAATCCATATCTGTTAACTATTTAGGTTTGCATTAATAGTCTAAACAGAACTTCAGTCGATTTGGGACGATCGAAACGATATTCTCCGTTTTCGGGCACGATTTCGGAATGTTTTTCATTACGAATCACACGAAATATCGATCCGAAATTTCGGAAACAGACCTACAGTATTCCATGTGCGGCCGGATCTGCGCCTTGTATAATTGCAAGCGATGGGCTGCCGTGAAATAACGTCTCACTCTACTGAGCACAGCTTTTTTGAGGCTATTTTAGCCTTGTCCTCCAAATGACCGCAAAACTGAACGTCACTGGATATATATCTTTGGTTCTCAAAATTATGAGGAGAACGATAAATGGATTCTTTTTGCGGTATTTAATAAATGTGGAAATTTTTATCGAAATAGGTATAAAAAATATAAATTAATTTAAAAATATTGTTACTTATGATTAAAATGTTATACAATTTTAAGAAAATAATGGGCCTCTTTTTGACTTATTTCATTTGGTTATACAGAAATGACGATGTTCATTGCATTTAAATTTCCATGTGTAAACATGGAAATTTAAATGTAATGATTCAATATTCAATAATAGTCTATTTCAGTTTGATTATACAGTATAGTGATTTCTTGCTCAATGTGTACAGCTATAAAAAAGTTTGTTTTATTATGTTGGCATTAATTTTATTTTCAATTTTGTTTGACAGCAAATTGGATATTTTATTATTCTTATAAAATATTTTATGATATTTTCAATAATTGTACAGTAAAATTTGTTCATTATTCTTCATTTTTAGATAAACATTGTATTTTCTTGCTTCTTATTTCTTAACGAAATGACGTTATATTGTAGTGATATATTTGTTTTCAACCGTGGTGGAGACTCGTATAGATTTGAGTTGATTTGACAACGTAAAAGCCTCTTTTGAACTAGTTTGTTTTGCATTTCTTGTCCTATTAAAGAAATGGTGTAATCTAATACGTGTGGTAAATTAAATTGTATGTATTAAATTAACAAAATAACACAATGGATCATAATTTGGAAGATACTTTAAATTTGGAAAGTGCAATAAGTGAAGTGAGTAGATTATTAAGTTATCAAATTTACTTGGTTAATAAAATTTATTTATTATCTTAATGTCAGGTCTTCATTTTAACCATGTTTAACCAATTTTAGTTCAATATCTGACTGCATTAATATATATATCTGTTCTGATTTAGTAAATGCTAACAGAGTAGTATATTTACTTGCAAACTATCTCCATATCTTTGGTTCTAAAATTATAACATTGCATTTAATAAAGTAGGATTTCTTTAATAAAAATAGCTTATGATAACATGTACTAATGGGTGACTCACAATGCATAAGGACTTTTAAAGTTGCTCTTGAATATTGATGATGTTGCAACTGTTTTGGGACACTAGTTGGTGGTATATTTAGGTATAATAATTAACAAAATACTCTACTTTGTTTGGGACTGGATGGCATTTAATTGTCTTGGGTTATTATTGTTATATTTTTTGATGTTGTCTGACAAACTTGTACAGATGGATTTCACTCAATCGGAGGACACAGTTGATGGTCAGGCAGGTATCAGTCTTGATGCAAGTGGTCCTGAAGGTGATATTCCAATGGAATTTGAAAACATTGAACAGCAGCCTATCTTAATGGATACAGGAAGTGAAGAGATTATTGGTAACTTATATTGATTAATATGTAAATAGTATTTTACTTCTTCACAGTGATATTTCTGATGTTCAAATCATATTTTTAATTACTGCATAAATAAATTGATTTATGTGAGAGAGTTTAAATTCGTATGGTATATGATAGCAAAAAGGTAATGGTGTGCTTAAATAGTAAATTAAAAGTGATATATAAGTGTTTTGAATTAATTTTTTAAACACAATAAAATCAAGTCAAAGTAATTTTGTTTATATAGGTCTATTAGACAGACTTATCATATGTCAAATCTACTGTCAGTTTGGAATGTAGTTTGAGCTGAGAGGAACTGACAAAATTTCCTCATATTAATTTACATTGAGATTGTATACAATTATAATAACACACACTATAGATTAAGTTTAAACAAAACTATTTGTGTATTTTGATTTTAAGTATTATTATGAAAAAGTTTCAGATTTTATGGGGGAACAGTTTACACTACAGGAATATTCAATCGGAGATGATCAGACATCAGGTGCCACTACAACAGAAGAATCTAATGTATGTAGAAGTACACTTATTTTGTTACATTACATATACCATACCATAATGTTAAATTTGTTCTTTATTTCTTATAATGTATTTTAAATTGCAGATAAGAAATACATTGCAGGCTCAATCAGAGACCATGATAGACTTGCATTTTGAATCACCAGTAAATATTAAACAGGAGAATGTACCACAAGCAAAATATATTTCTGTGAAGGTAAAGATATTTATTTTTCTGTATTTTTTATTGTATATAAAAAACATGTTATATTATTTCTTATACATCCTTTTAATGTATTACATCCAAAGGCTGTTTATGTATAGTTTAAGGCAGTTTTATTCATAATAAATATACTTTTAACATAATCTGCTACCAAAATTTGTGGCAGTTATTTAATATAACAAAGAAGTTTCAATATTATTAAAAATACCAGGGTATCAGAAATTTGGTTTAAGTTTAAGAATATTTTTTTAAAGCCACTTCTTCAAAAGCGCCTTTTGTTAATTTTTTTTATTAGAGTAAGATCCCCTTAATGCATTTTCAGTTTAGCACTCCATTAGTTCAACCTGGGGGTTCCCCAAATTTGTGTTCATTAACACCTTAGGCACCATGTGTATCTTTTTGTCACACAGTGTCTGGAACACTATTCAAAAGTATACACATCTTTCTACTTAGTAAACTATGTATCCTTTTGGAACACGTTCTCTATACATCTATTACACAAATAAAAACACTGGCCTGTCACATTTTTCCGGTGTAAATGCTCTGGGAATTGGTGATTTTACAAAAATTTGTATTTTTTTTTAAACAGTCACTTAGGGTCTGGCGCTGAGGGTGTTAAATTTAATACTTAATGAAAACAATTTTCTACTCATCTTCTCCTAAACATCATTATTTACAGGTTAAGATAGCCTCCTTTAACACTGGAACTTATTAGGACCTATCCCCCTCTTTATGTGGGGTCTTACTATATTACGTACGTGATTTGGTATATCTGTATGTATAATATATAGTATGTGATGTTATGATTCATGAACTCAAAGAAGTAGTAACCATTTATAGTTTTGAGAGTCTTTCAATAGCTAACTAAGCTAAGCTAACAATAATAACTTTCAATATAATTTCATATTGAATCTTTACTAAAACATATTTCATGAAGGCGGCAGCACCACGACCTGTAGCACCACGTCCAGTTGCCATCGCACCAAAGCCATCAAAATTCAGCACAGCCATTCACAAGTCAGATTTGGTTCATGGAAAACAATTTGCTATAGCACCCAAACCAATTGCATTGGTGGCAAATAGGTCTGGCCTCCTACAGAATACATCAAAATCAAATACAGTTTTAGGTAAGAGTGTAATACTATTAATTAATAAATATTTATTAACTATATCTACAATTGTTATTAAATATAAGATAATGTCATTAATCATATATATAATGGAGTGGAGTCCAGTTAGTCTATTATGACTTTCTTTGTAGGAAAAGTGAACTTGTCCTACAGACATAATAGACTCATACATAAGAGTTATTATGACTTTCATAATAGACAAACTGATTGTCACCATTTTGGGTCACATTTGCCCCTTTTTTGCAAGATTTTTCATTGTAGCTCCTACTATTGATCCTTCCATGCTGTTATCTTTAGGCTATAGCATTCTTAAAGGGTTTTAAAAGATCAAAATCGAACACGTGGTGTTACCACTAAATTCTCAAAACCAGATGTGTATTACAGTAGGAGACTGAACATTAAAACTCAAAAAGTTTACCTCTTTATAATATTAGTATAGATGAGTTATATTTGTACATTTCAATCTGTTTATTAACTTAAGAATCTATTAAATAATGAATTTGTCTTCTTTACAGCACAAATAGGAAAGCAATTGGTTATGATGCCTGCTGGGGGCTCACAGAAGATAAAACTTGTGTCAGCTGCAAACTCTAGTGTATCTACCGTTCAGTATGTAAGTACTAGTCACACCACTAGTAAATATAGCTGCAATACTATAATAAAATAGGTTCTATTACACCTGGCTAAAGAGCGACTTTATAAAAAGTTATTTGCGTCCATATTTCTGTTCATTTATTATAACCGCCAATCAGCTTTCTAAGCTTTTTCAATTGAAGAGGAATAAATTACAGTATAAGAGATGTCACATCTCTTATACTGTAATTTTATTGCCCATAGTCCTAAATGGCAATGTAGGCATTATACTTACTGTTCATGTATATAGCTGCCGGTTACCACTTACTATCAGATTTTTTACTATTCCAATTACATTAACAAAAATTATAATACATAGTTAAATAAATGTTACTTTATTTTGATTAAAAGCAACATGAGATACTTTAACAAATATCAACAGAGTAGTATTTTGTCATTTCAGACCCAAATATTGTCGAAAGCTGTAACTACTACGCAATCTCCTAAACCTGTACTTGCAAAAGTAATAGGACAAGGTAACTTATATATAAAATATTAAATCGTTGGACCTTAGTTAAGGACATTTTATTATATGAATATTGAAAAAATCATGGTTTAAAATGAGAGGAGTAAGGTATTAGTTTGGGACAAATGAAACCAATTGGGCTAATTTCAGTTTATATATGGATATACTGTAACAAATTTTGATAAATACTTAGATGTATGTATTGTATGTCAGCAATAATAAGTACACCTTGTATTATTACATACAAGTTTCACAATGTACTGCTGCATTACAGGACAGAGTAACAATCCTCCTGCAGTGATCACAAAAGTATTGCCGGCTGCAGGTGCGGTGCCGCCGCATGCACGTTACGTAATGCAACAGAAAACTATACCAATATCTATCGGAGGCAATAAGGTATTATTACTTATAGTACTTTTTATTTTTTCATGTAACTAGTTTGTTTGTTTACAATAACGACTTGGCAAATCATACATCTAGTAGAATTCAAAAATAATTTATGTAGAATATTTTTGTCACATGCAAGTTGATTATTCATTTTTTTCCACTACCGATTTACTTATGTTACAACTGTCTTTAATGTACTATATAGCAAACAAATTATTACTTGATCTAAACCATATTCAGGTGTTGCTGACATCTCCAACCAAACAAGGGAAAAAGCAGCAAATTATAACTATAAAGTCATCTAATGCACCCGTGAAGCAGACTCAAGGTATTCATAAAAAAATATTTAATGATTAGATTAGTATAAATTGTTATGACATTGTAAAATACGTACTAATATGATTCGAGGAGCACAATAAAAGTACGTTCATTATTATAACATTATAATAAGCAAGAAAAAAACATACAACAAAAATTGCATTTGGTAATCAAGTAAACTACCTTCATATATTTCAGATATGGCGATTAATTATTTGTAGATACTATTGTTTCTTTGTTTATTAACAAATGCATCAGTAGTAATTATGTTTATAAAATAACAAAAGATTGTTTACAATAATAAATTATTTATTGTTGCGAGGGTGAGCCCCTCGGTGTGCATGCCCCACTCAAATCTATTAAAATACAAATAATTAAATTGCTTGTATATTGTCCTTAGCGCCGTCTACAAAAAAGATTGTCATCACAGCCAATTCATCCAAGAACGTTATATTGAAACCTACTGCCCCTAAAACTGCACAAGTAAGTGATTACTAAGGTCTGCTTATTCTTGTACTCGATATAAATTGTGGCCACTAAGTACTTATTCCTAGCTAATTATAGTGAATTATACCTCACCTGTGTTATAGTTACTAAATAACAGATAGTAATAATATACATAATATGTATAGAGAATACCCAGACCATCACATACAAACACACTGATCAATACAAATCGAACACGTGACCATCGATAGTATGCAAAGCGCGAAACCATAGAGGCCATATCTGATTAAAAGAAAAGTAATTCAATCATTTATTTAGTATTCTAATTAGTTTGGGATTAGATGCCACTGTGAGAACTGTCCTAGTTATTATTATTATATAAAACATGTGTCACTTAATCTTAAAATATTTTTCTTATTATAATAATTTAATTATAATTTATTAAAATAAAATTGTATTTTAATATTTAAAATGTAATCACGGCTTCAACTTTTTTAGATAAACAAAGAGGGAAAAGTTTTAATGCAAGGACAAAGATCGCAGCTTCATAAAATTGACGTTCCAGGCAAAGGCGTAAGTATTGAAGACACTAACATAATCTTGCTAATTTAATTCACTTTATCCACTGTTACTTTTTATACCACGGGAATGAAGCCGCTGGCTCAGCACTAGCTATTTACTAAAATAAAAAGATGAAATTGATAAACTATGCTTAGAACTAGGTTCGGTTATACATTTTTGTAGCTACTAAATCACAGACAATTTAGCAAATATAGAAAATTTAAACTTGTAAAAAGTGACCCGTATCGGCTTTGCACGGGTCGCATTACAAATCTTTGTGAATTTCTTGACCTTTTCTGTCTATAACACGCATGTTTTATACATATAAACTTTCCTTGAATCACTCTGTCTATTGCTGAAAATTTCATTAAAATCTGTTGCATAATTTGAGATATAAGCGAACAGACAGCGGCGGTTACTTTGTTTTATACTATGTAAATATTTATTTTATATCGAGGTTCAAAATATCACATGGGCATTTCTATTTTTTCTATCATTGTTGATTTTATTTATGTTTTAGATCCAATTAATACGGCTAATAACAAATCCGACGACATCTGCCAACAAACCTAACACAAAGCAGCCACCAGCTATAGCTGTGCCCGCTAAAACCTTTGTTTTACAGGATAGTAAAGGTTGGTACTGTTTTAGTTGATTTATTATAGTTGGAACAGATTTAAAATCTCTAATTTTGGGTTTTTATAGCAAATCTATCAATATAGCTCAAATAGTTACTATGAAATAAAATATATATTAGTAATAATTTTTATGTTACCGGTAATCTAAATACTGTACAAGATGTTAAAAGAAGAGAATTTAGTAGATTTAGTTTTGGTAAGGGATAACAATCTTTACCAAGTACTAATGGAAAGTAGAAATATTGCATAATACTTCCATATATATAAGAACTGGATTAGTTAGTAATAAAAAAAATTGTCATGCATATGTTGCAAAAATGATCTACATGAATAAATTATTTTGACCTCGGTCTTGTATTAGTGAAGTTTATCTAACAGAGTTCAATGCAATTTGATAAAAAATGGATTATAACAATGTACTTACTGTTACCACTTCCGGTTTTTCGAGAGTAGTGGCGGTAAGATGGCGGCTTATGAACAGTAACTGGTGTTATGTATGTTCGTATAAAGGAGACGTCAATCAAACAACTGTGCTGAGCTATGACTGCTTTATTTCTAATATCATTCTAATTAAGTACCTCCCATATTATAATAATCAAAGTACCCACAATCCCCTTATCAAAATTAAATTTTCGCAGTAAATTTTACAAATAATTTAAATTTTACAAGTAAATTTTATATCATATAAGAAAATGTTTATCATATAACAATAATTGGATCCATAAAAAAAAATAAGATACAACTTATTATTTCTAGAATCATCTATATCATATATCAATAATTTATCTATTCATGTTTTGAAATATAAATACATGCAAATAGATATTCAATTAATTATAAAAACTTAATATAAATTGATAAATTTAAATTAGAATAATAATACTATTGAATTGAATACAATAAAGAACATAAAAAAAATCTAAACAAATATTATTATTACAACGTAAGTAACTTGATTTAATACAATTCAATAGCATACATAGGTATTTATTATTTCATCATGCAGTTCATAATTAAGATTTTACATATTTATTTTCTATGAAAAATGAATTAAACAATATAAAATTTAGACTATTATTTAAATATCAATAAATTACATTTAACAGTAGGTAACAGGTGTACGTGTTACTCTTAATTGTTGTCATGTCCTATCAATATCATGACCTTGAAGCGTTTTCCGCGGAGAATCCCCACCGATCAGGAGGCCGAACTATCCTGCCGAAACGAGTACGATAACAATTATTATAATCTAATGGTGGATGGTCAGGTGACGGTACGTTGGAAGTGGCCGTAGGCATTATATCATCGTAAGAGGGATAACTTATGGTAACATCCCTACTATTCGAATCTATTATAATGTGTTTTCTATTGCGCCTAATTATACCCCCTGAAAGTAACGTTATGCAATAAGATCTTGGATCTACTATGCCTGAAATTGTACCTGGTATCCAGCAATTGTTCAGACGAATTTTCACTTTCTGTCCAATACAAAGTGGCTTTAATAATCTCGCAGTTCTGTCGTACACGAGTTTTTGCGCATTTTGCCGAGTTTTAAGTTTCTTAATGACATCGTGGTTTATCTTTGGCCTATACATATTTGGATTACAAGGAATAATACTGCGTAGCTTTCTATTATAAAATAACTCTGCGGGTGACGGTATATCCTTAGTAATCGGTGTATTTAGAAACTCTAGTACTGCCAAATTAAAGTCAGTACGATTATGCAACGTTTTTTTCATGATGTTTTTAACCGTTTGGATCGCGCGCTCGACTTGTCCGTTTGACTGTGCATACCTAGGCGAAGACGTCACGTGGTCAAAATTCCATTGACGAGCGAAATCTCTAAATGACATCGACGAGAACTCTGGTCCGTTATCAGACATTATGATCTCTGGAATACCAACCCTGCTAAAAATTAATTTTAATTTATTGATTACATGATTTGAAGTTTGATTTTGTAATTCAATTATTTCAAAATATTTGCTATAATAATCTATTATTATTAAAAATGTTTTATTACTAAAGTGAAATAAATCTACTCCAACTTTATACCAAGCTCTCTCAGGTATCTCATGAGGAATTAACGGCTCTTTAGTATTTTGATTTTTATATGTTAAACACGACTGACAATTTGATAAAAAATCTTGTAACTGTGATGTCATATTCGGCCAGTACATGGTTTCTCGTGCTCTAAGTTTACACTTCTCGATTCCTAAATGTCCTATGTGTATCTTTTCAAGCATCTCCCGGCGCATACAGTTAGGTATAACCACCCGAGATCCCTTCCAAATTATGCCAAAATTTACAGACAATTCATCCCTGCTATCCCAATAACATTTTAATCTGTCTTCTAGCTTACTTTTATCTGACGGCCATCCCTTTCGTATTATACTAATTAACGCCTGTGAGACATCGTCATTTTTAGTATATTTCTGAATTTTTAAAAAATGAGAGTCACACAACGGATTACTTGCAGTTACCATACACACTTGCGCTTGGGTTTCATAGTAATCGCGCGCGGGGGTGGGGGGGTCAGAGTTTGTAGCGACGGCACGGGACAGCGCATCTGCAATGTACAGGTACTTGCCTGGTTTGTACACGAGTGTAAACGAGTACGGTTGCAATCGTAATAACATTCGTTGCAGACGGGCGGGGGCATTTGCTAATGGTTTCTTTATAATGCTCACTAGTGGCTTGTGGTCGGTTTCAATCGTTATATCTGAGCGGCCGTATATATACGTATAGAACTTCTCACAAGCGAAAACACATGCATAAAGTTCTTTCTCGATTTGAGCGTACGATTGCTCGGTTTTCGTTAGGGATTTCGAGGCGTAACACACCGGGTTATTATTTTGCATTAAACAGGCACCTAAACCGTTTTTACTCGCGTCTACAGTTATCACTACTGGTATGTTTATGTCATAAAATTTTAAAACAGGTGGGTTAACTAAAAAATGCTTTAAGTTTTCATAACATTTTTGGTGACGATCGTCCCAATGCCACTCAATTTCTTTTTTTAATAGTTCACGTAAAATATAAGTTTTTTCAGACAAATTTGGAATAAAGGTACCAACGTAAGTAACTAAACCAAGAAATCGTTCAACATCTTTTACATTTGTAGGTGTAGGCATATTTTTTATTGCAGAAATTCGCGTGTCATCATGTTTTATTCCATTTTTACTTATTTTATGGCCAAGATACGTTATTTCCGACATCCCTATTTTGCATTTGTCTCTGTTGAGTTTTATATTTATTTCAGCACATCGTTTTAATACAGCTCGTAATCTTTTATCATGAATTTCTAAAGTGGGACCATGAACTAATAAATCATCAATGAATAATACAACCCCTTCCAAGTCATCAAAATGCTCATACAGTCGTTTATGAAATATTTCGGATGCTGATGAGATACCAAACGGCATTCTCAAAAACTTATAACGACCTAGCGCCGAATTAAAAGTGCACAAGTCCGAACTATCTTTTTGTAGCTTTAATTGCCAAAAACTATGTTTTGCATCAAGAGTACTAAAATAATTTGACCCTGAAAGGTTCGCAGTTACCTCTTCGAAAGTAGGGAGTTTAAAGTGTTCTCTTTTTATCGCTTTGTTTAGGTCCCGTGGGTCTAAACATATACGCAAATCACCATTTGTTTTTCTAACTACAGTCATACTATTTACCCAATCTGTGGGTCCCTCTACTTTGGCAATAATTCCATTTTTCTCCATATCTAAAAGTTTATTTTTTATTTTGTCCTTTAGCGCTAATGGCAACTTCCTAGGTGCATGAATGACTGGAGACACGTCGTCTCTTAATTTTATTTGATACTCGCCCGGTAGACACCCTATACCTTCAAATACGGCGGGAAACTCATTTAAAATATTTTGACTGCTGATGGACGGATGTTGATTAATTGACAATATTCGTTTTAATAAATAAAGCTCCTCACAAGATTTTCTACCTAACACAGGGGGCGACTCAACATCAACAATAATAAATTGTAAATAATAAAAAATATCTTTATGTAAAACCTTTAAAAAACATTTACCTAAAACTTTAATTTCATTTCCTGAATAGTCATGCAATTTCATTGATGTATTTGTTAATTGAATTTCGTATATTTTTAGCATATAAAGTAATTTTTTAGGTAATACATTTACGTCCGCGCCGGTATCCAGTTTAAAATTAATAATTTGGCCACTAATTTCTAAGTCTACCGACCAGACATCACTTTTATTATTTATAGAAAAAATTACCTGATCGGATGAGTCATCCCTCACGGCGTAAATATAATTTGTACACATTCTTGCATAGTGATGTAATTTTCCACATTTATTACAATATTTTCCATATGCAGAACACTCATTACGTCTGTGCATTAATCCACAACTTTTACACTTAATGAACTCAAGATGTGACCTTTGAACTGGCGACACTACTTTTGTAGGACGTGATCTGTTATTGTTTTGTGAGTTCACTGAAGTATTAGTACGATAACGTGTATTTGAAAACGCGACACCAGCAGCGTAACGCCGATCCAAGGCGGGAAGGGGGGTTGCTCGCTCGACGAACGCCAGCTTCCATCGCTGCTTCGAACCCGTTGTTTATTACTACGTTTCACCATGTCTGCCCTCACTGATTGATTATTCTCCATATTTTGTGCAATTGTATGTATCTGATGGCTGCTGCATTTATTTTGAATGTTCGCTGCTTGCATACGAGACATTTCAGCTAGTCTACAAATTTCCAATGCTTTCGATAGATTTATTTCCGGTTCCCTCAATAATCGTTCCGAAAGGGCCACGTCACTAAGCCCACATATCAATCTGCTGCATATTAAATCGTCCCTTAAATCTCTTAACTCACACGTAGATGCAATCTTGTTTAGCTCAAATACATACTGTTCGACGGACTCAAATTCTTTTTGATCCCGTTTGAAAAATTTTTGTCGTTCCACCGCCAAGTTCTTTTTCGGTATAAAAAATGTATCAAATAACCTTAATAATTCCGTTACATTCTTGTATTCTGTAGTAAATTGTTCACTAACTTCTCTGCATTTATCTCCAATGACATGCAATAGAATATTAATTTGTACTTTGTCACTCTTCTTTGATATTTCACACGCCTCATAGTAGATATTAAAAGATTTCTTCCAACGCTCCCATTCTCGACTCAAATTTCCGGAAGTGACATTAGTCAGACTATTTTCAAAATCAAATGGCTGTGGAGGTGTAAAGGCAAGCTCCATTTTAATTCACGAACACACGCACTAAGTCTGTTCACTATTCAAAGTTTAAGAGCTATATGTATAATATTTACTTTTTGACCGACTGCGCCATGTTATGTATGTTCGTATAAAGGAGACGTCAATCAAACAACTGTGCTGAGCTATGACTGCTTTATTTCTAATATCATTCTAATTAAGTACCTCCCATATTATAATAATCAAAGTACCCACAACTGGGACAAAAAAGCATTATAAGAGCAGCTCTCGAACGGTATGGGCGTGTCGTGAGCATGTGTCTAATATTACATTATTATATTACATGTTGATCTGTGAGGATAATTTTAACTCGTCTATATAGAATTATCATCTTGCTAATATTCTGTGTATTATATATGTATATACTAGTTGTCTAAACTTAGCTATTATAGTAAAAGTTTGTAATGATAACATTCCAGGTAACTTAATCCAGATGACTGCTGAGAAAATGCTCAGTGGTCAACCACCGCCCTTGGTCATTACTGGCAATAGTACTACAGCTAGTAAATGTATGTAATATATTCTGCTTATATAAACGAACAGTGTAAATATTCATGTACGAATCTTAAAAAGTAACTAACGACATCTCCCGGTAATGCATGAATGCAATTGATATATGTAATCTTTTAAATACATTTCATATAAAGAAAATTTAATTCTACCACTCATTCAAAATGAAGATTTATCCATTGTATAGATGTCTATTATTTTTAATAAGATATGGTCTGTTACTAGTAGAATAAATTATTTTTCTATAGATTAAGGGATTTATAATTTATTTTTCTACTGTCAATCAAAACAAAATCAATTTTTCTTTAGGTTTACCAATTAGTTCAAATATTTTTTTAAAACGAATGACTGTGAGATGCCGATATATTGTTTGTAATAGGAGGATTAGATAAAAATAAATTTCGTATGTGAATAAAAATGAAAGGTGCCTAATATCTTCCTCAACTTCAAAATTATTTTCTTATCTATTTGTTATGACATTTTACAGTGATAATGGCAATGTTGTGTACTTTACAGAAATGGATAGCATTTTCAAATTTTGAAATAATCAAGTGACATACAGATTTCTCAATTTAAAATTATTTCAGAACATGGTGATATTTGAATTTTAAAGTCATTTAGCTGTCAATAGTTATGTTATATGAATGATTTAAATATTGAAATAAATAAATACGTATTGTTGTAGTGGCGTCGAAACCTCAGCAAAAGTTGGTGCGAATAGCAGCAGCGCCGCCCGTCACCAAAATGTCGCACTCTCTGGTATGTTGCAACGACATGTAAATATTTTTTTTAGAATACAACTGCTCATTAGAAAATATACTACATTTCTTCGCTTTGATTGACACAGTCAAGACGAAAGCTAGGTAGAATACTTATTTAACTGAAGCACTCTCACTAAAAAACAAAGTGATAGCCTATACATAAATTCTGAACTCTTACTACTAAATTTATTAGATAACCGCTAAGTTTGCATAAAGTTTTAAAATAAAGATAAATCTGAACTGACTTTGATTCTGGTTTGTTTTTTGCTGTTGATAGTTATTACCCATAACTATTAACAGCAACGTGTTGGTGTCAAATTAATAATATAACCGTTAATAAGAAAGTTTTGTAGTACTAAAGTACTTATTAGTGGTTACTGATTATATACCTACACATGTATGTTCAGAAGATGTATTGATTTTTAAATAGGTTAAGTATTTTTTAAAGTCTGTTATTGCAAACAAATATATAAAAGTTAAATATTCTCCTACTTATATTATTAGTATAGATGTTACGTTATGATATTTTTGTAGCAACCGACCCGATCAGCCCAAAGCCTACTAGCCCCTCTGACAACTGTTGTCGAGACAACGTCATCGATGGATGAAATAAATGAAATTCAGCTATTGCCCCACTCGTCGCCCATAGTTGAAGAAGTAATTGAAGAGGCGGTAGCGGAAGAAGAAGAGGTAATACATATATTAAGTATAAGGTGCATGATATCTTAATCCTCTGGAAGGGGAACGCATGAGTGGTATCAAAAGTGTCACGTGTTAACGTGATGTCCGTAGTACAGCTCATTTTTATAAGCAATAAGAGATAAACGACTTCACATTAGGTGGAGTATTCGATGTATACATTTGAAGCTCTGTTAACACACCATAATTGTAAGGGACTGTTAATAAAGCAGATTTCTTTATTAAGAGGAATAATTTATTAAGTGGAAAAAATTGGATTAAAACCAGAATAATGTGGACACTGTAACTGTTTGTTCCAAAATTGAACGAAATTACTTGTAATGTTTAGAGTGCGTTCCTATATATATATACACGCTCCTGCGCGTGTCCCAAAATTGTCAGTAGCGCGTTAATGAAATCAATGCCGTGTAGTACTCCGCAGGGTAGATATGTTTAAAATTGGATAATTTTTTGAAGAGGTTTTGCTGAAAATGGTATAAGATATAAAAATTAACATATGGCATTTTTAGGCATGAGTAAAAACCCATGGCACTGAAACGGTTATTTTTTTATTGCGTACATTTATTCGTGTTCTTTTAGGTGCAAGAGGAAGTCGAGGAAGAAGTAGTTGAGTCGAAAGACGCACTACGAGCACTAATAGCAAATACAATCGGAGGTGTACCTGCCCTACAGTCCATGCAGGAAGTTGAAGTGGAGTATGATAGATCACAGGTTGGTTACTGGTTTAACTATCTTCTTAATATATTTTGCGGTACTTGATCTTACTATATGTATGTTTGAATTCTACAGTTTTTTTTATTATGTATCTTTAAATTATATTCAGTTTTCTAATCTTATACTATTATTTATTTGATTGAGCATGGTTATGTATGCGGTCAATGGTTTGATAATTATAATTAAAATATCAATATTATTATATAATAATATTGATTCAGAAATATATAAATTCTGTTAATAGTCAACAGTTTCAGGATATTTACCTTATAGGATATATATTATACGAAGTGATATTTTAATTACTCTAATATATATTGTTTTTATTTACTTGCCGACCAGCAATCCCTTATGTTTGCAATTTGTTGAATTACAAATTGTTGAGTTAATACTGGTTGTCACGCCATGCTTGCGTAAATGTTTACAGAAGATTTTTATTGGTATACATTTTAATTAATACTATATAACACAGCCACCCAAATTAATTAGCTAGGCATCATACAATACCCGAAAAAGTGTGTCGATATATTTGATCAAGATAGTCAGACCGGAGACTGACTTTGAAAGAACGAGGGCTGCTCTTTTGGGGGCGGCACTCTACCTGTTATATGCTGGACACTACATCTGCTCATAGTCCACGTGGCTCATTGCAAGATTTCTAATTGGAATAAAAAAGACCTTGCGTTTTCAGAGTCCAACACAGGAAGAGTCCGTAAACAGCATACATCGGCACAATTCGAGTACTGCCTCAGATGAACATCCACTCATTGTAATACCTTCCAACTATAGAAATTCAGATGAGTCACTTCTTGTTGAAGATATAGTTAAGACTGTAAGTTATTATTATTTAGTAAATTTTGCTGCAAAAATATGCATATCATTCTTTTTATTTTATTCACATTTATCAGCTGTTATCCAAAGGTTGACATAAAAGATTATTTTCACTAATAAGCGGGTCTTGTAAGAACAATCTGTGTTTTTGTTTTCAGGAAGAACATAGCAGAATAAATCACTTGCTAAATGTAGAAGAAGTTTTAAATCCATTCCAATCGCCTACAACGCCCCCACCTGTCTCGGATTCAGGTATTAATGAATTATTTGAATTAACTTATTCCAATAGTAAACATATATGATGATATAATTCATAGTACTTATTTATTTTAGAAATTAAGATTGTGCTCTGGTAAATTTGCGTGACTAGATTATAGTAGAATAGTAAAATAAGCAATAAGTGACACTTCCAAATATATATGATGATACATGCTGTTCATTTGCAGTATTTAAACGAAAATTGAATCGAACTTCCCAACACCTTATAAGAGAAGCAACATATCGTCCATTGTCTGTGATTTGTTTTCAACATACATGTAATTCGTAAAGGAGATCCATTCGACAATAAAAACCAAATGATTTGTGCACATTTAGAACATCATGTATATATTTATGTTCAAAATATATTTTCTATTTTATGAACAATATTTTATTTATGATTTTTTATAAAATACGTATAACCTATAACCCTAATTTTACATTCAACCATATTAATATTTTAATTTATATATCAAACGAAAGTTTTCTGTGTCAGCTAGTAATATGTAAAAAAGTGGATTGGTACAAATATTTTTGTATAAAATTCCCACCAAATCTGATTTCCGTAATTTTATTTTTTGTTATTTCCGAAGGATGCTGTTTTATATTGTGTTTGCAATAATTTCAGATGTCGTATCCACGGAGTTGGGCTTGCGGCCGAGGAAGGCGTGCAACTGTACGAAATCCCAATGTCTCAAATTATACTGCGACTGCTTCGCGAATGGCGAGTTCTGCAATCGTTGTAACTGTAATAATTGTCACAATAACCTAGAGAACGAAGAGCTGCGCCAGAAGGCCATCAGGGCATGCCTCGATAGGAATCCTAATGCATTCAGGTAAAATGTCAGCGATAAAATGGTCCAAATTATCATATAGGTTTCTATTTGTTTGATGGAATGTTGTAAAATCAAGATCGACCCGAACGGATTTTTTTTTTGTTTATTAATAATGGGATTGCGCTTGGTCTTACCTCATCTGATGGTAAATGATGGCAAGACCTAGGATGTAGCGCGCTTACCCAGAAGATATCTATTCACCATAGACTTGAAGAATCCGTGTGTTCCACTCTTTGGCAGTGCGTAGGCACTTGGTTTGGCACTCTTAGGAAGGACGATGCGAACCGCTCAGTGCAAATGTGCGGAATTTTCACGACGTAAAAAAGAGAAGGCAAGATCAAATTATGCAGGTCTTGTGCGCACTCGCCAAAGTGTATCCTATAAAACACCGACAGACTGGCCACTTTGCGTCGATGTTCTAGCGTCTGAGACCATCGGTGAGTGGTATGGACACACCCTGGAAAGTAGGAGAAATATCGAATTTACTCCGTTTGGCACTAAAAAGACACGCCTGCGTCTTGGAGGCATTGAACGCAACTTTGTTAGCTTCTCCCCATTGGGATACAGTACTCAGAGTCGAGTTCACCGTCTCTACCATCTCCTCTCTGAGAGATTGGATATCGACCTTACTTGCTCGTGCATCAGAGACATATCTCTCCGCAATTGTGCTGTCGTCCGCGTAACCAAACATGCCCGGTCCTAACAGATCGTTAATATGGAGCAAAAAGAGAGTTGCAGAGAGAACAGATCCCTGAGGCACTCCAGCATTGATGGCTATGAGGTCTGAAGTGTCACCATCAACGACAACCTAGATGGTCCTATCATTCAGGAAATCCTTAATCCAGGAGCACAGGTTATTGGCAATTCCATATGAAGGAAGCTTACTGAGAAGGCTAGCGTGCCAGACCCTAACGAAAGCCTTAGATATATCAAGTGAGACAACTAAAGCCTCTCCATACTTATCGACAGCTTCACCCCATAAATGTGTGACATGAATTAGAAGATCATTAGAAGAGATCAATTAGAAAAGTTTATTCTATAATAGGTTTATTTATGAACCCTTCTCTGGTATAATTTACCGAAATAAACACTATTTAATAACATCTACATGTGGACCTAACACCCTGGCCTATTATTACTTGATGTTATTAATATATCACGACACTTTTATTACAAATTTATAATTTAGAAGCATGTGTTATAGTTTATCATTAAATGTTTTTGTTTGTAGACCAAAAATTGGCAAGAGTAAAACAGCCGGTCCGGAAATAATACGCAGACATAATAAGGGCTGCAATTGTAAAAGAAGTGGATGCTTGAAGAATTACTGCGAATGTTATGAGGTATGTTACGGATCACAGTTGTTATAGGTTGCCTGTAGAGGAAGCCCTATTGTTCCGTTTGTATTAATCATTAAATAATCAGATGAAATAAAATTAACATAAGGGAACAATGTTCAAACATTCTCATTGTTTGGAGTCTATCCCTTGTTGCCATCTAAATGACGGAATGAACTAAATTTATCACACTGGAAGACAGTTTTGTGGGCGTTACCAACTTTGAAACGTGTCTAGTTCCTATAGATGCATTTGATTAAGAGGCAGTCTTTTTTTTACTTAGCATGTTACAATTTGATGGTGCAGCTGATCGTAATAAATTTATATATATGTATTCCGTGATTCTGGTGATGTTGTCGATGGTACCACTCTTGCGCTGCTACTTCAGAGGACTAAGATGTCGTGGTTCCATAAATTTAATTTTACTGCCATATTTCATTCTTCAACGGAAACAGCACAAGAAACGAGCTGCTGAGTAGCTGCATTTTGTACATCATCATCATAGGAATAAAATACAATAAATCTGTATTACATGTATATACCTCGGCGGCCGTCAATATTACATATATAATGAGGAGGTCGCGTGTAGCTGCAAGCGATGCGAGCCACGTTAAAGTCCCGGGTTGATGTCCGCAGGCCAAGATCGCGTGCACGTCGATGTGCAAGTGTGTGGGGTGTCGCAACGTGGAGGAGACGCTCTCACGAGCGAGACGACGTCCCGCGCCGCGAGACCCGCGCCGCCGCCCCGCCTCGCCCGCCGCGCTCTACCGCCCGCCGCCGCCCGCACACCACAAGTGAGTTACAATAGTAGTAGTAACATACGCGCCGCGAGACCCGCGCCGCCGCCCCGCCTCGCCCGCCGCGCTCTACCGCCCGCCGCCGCCCGCACACCACAAGTGAGTTACAATAGTAGTAGTAACATACGCGCCGCGAGACCCGCGCCGCCGCCCCGCCTCGCCCGCCGCGCTCTACCGCCCGCCGCCGCCCGCACACCACAAGTGAGTTACAATAGTAGTAGTAACATACGCGCCGCGAGACCCGCGCCGCCGCCCCGCCTCGCCCGCCGCGCTCTACCGCCCGCCGCCGCCCGCACACCACAAGTGAGTTACAATAGTAGTAGTAACATACGCGCCGCGAGACCCGCGCCGCCGCCCCGCCTCGCCCGCCGCGCTCTACCGCCCGCCGCCGCCCGCACACCACAAGTGAGTTACAATAGTAGTAGTAACATACGCGCCGCGAGACCCGCGCCGCCGCCCCGCCTCGCCCGCCGCGCTCTACCGCCCGCCGCCGCCCGCACACCACAAGTGAGTTACAATAGTAGTAGTAACATACGCGCCGCGAGACCCGCGCCGCCGCCCCGCCTCGCCCGCCGCGCTCTACCGCCCGCCGCCGCCCGCACACCACAAGTGAGTTACAATAGTAGTAGTAACATACGCGCCGCGAGACCCGCGCCGCCGCCCCGCCTCGCCCGCCGCGCTCTACCGCCCGCCGCCGCCCGCACACCACAAGTGAGTTACAATAGTAGTAGTAACATACGCGCCGCGAGACCCGCGCCGCCGCCCCGCCTCGCCCGCCGCGCTCTACCGCCCGCCGCCGCCCGCACACCACAAGTGAGTTACAATAGTAGTAGTAACATACGCGCCGCGAGACCCGCGCCGCCGCCCCGCCTCGCCCGCCGCGCTCTACCGCCCGCCGCCGCCCGCACACCACAAGTGAGTTACAATAGTAGTAGTAACATACGCGCCGCGAGACCCGCGCCGCCGCCCCGCCTCGCCCGCCGCGCTCTACCGCCCGCCGCCGCCCGCACACCACAAGTGAGTTACAATGGTAGTAATATATGCGCCGCAATACCCGCGCTGTCGCTCCGTCTCGAAGTTTTCAATAAAATTAGATTATACTTTATACCTGTATTGAAAACTGATGCAAACAACCAAACGGCTCATCTGATGTTAAATGGTTACAGTAGCGTATGGACGCTTGAGATATCAGAGGTGTTACGTGAGCGTGAGTTGCCGACCCTGAATTGCATGCAACATGCGATTCCATTATCATAGTAAATTAATAAAGGACTAATGATTGTTTTGTGGAGCAGGCAGCCGTGCAGCTTCATGACGTCTGAGGTGATCGAGGCGGTGTGCCAGTGCCTGGTGGCGGCGGCGGCCGACCCGGGCCGCGGGGACCCGCCCCCGGACGAGGAGCCCGACCCCATGCGTGACGTCATCGAGGAATTCGCGCGCTGCCTCCAGGACATCATCAGTGCCTCGCACCACACCGCACCGCTCGCCGTCGGCGACGATCTCTGATCTTCTGTGTCTTCACGCCAGCTTTTTTATCAGGTATGCTAGAACCAAGGACACGGTCGACCGCTAGGTGTCACCCTTTAATAACAAACGTATATACTTATACATTATTATGGATTAGTTGAATAGGTCATACTAAGCCGCAAAGGTATGTAAGTGACCACGGTGACGAACAATGTTTGATCTACAATTTTCCCTAAAACTAATAATAATATCAGCTGTCATTTTTTGACATTAAGGACGCGTCTTATTGATTGAATACTAAAGAATGGTGTTGCCGATTGTTTGTAATAAATAATGCATGTTTATTTTAGTATGAAAAAATTAATTGCTTTGAGAAATAATATCATGCGGGATCAATTAGTTACTGCTACACTAATATGTTACAGTGCTAGTTGCCTAATATACTACCTTGTATATAATATACATAAGTATATACATGTTTGTTTATACACTAAATGAATGTATGTGACATTGTATAAAGTCGATCACTTTTAGATTAAGATAATATTGACGACATAATGTAATAATTGTAATTAATTTATTATCAAATATTTTATAGTTCGATTTCGTTTCGTTCCTATTATTGTATGTTTTCTATGAATTTTTAGTTGACGGATATGAAATGGTTCAATTGACTCTGTCAGTGATATACGCTGGCGGTTAACCAGTAGAGAATGATAGGATGAATGAATAGGCAGTCATGTCAGTTAGTTCATTATGACGGATCCACCAGGATGGACCGCGTGAAGGCCGACCTGACAATGTACATTCCATAGTAGCTCCAATGCTAATGGAGCCACTCGTCCTTATCACAAGAATTAGATATCACCCCTCTCCATTTGTATGGATTATCTTGGTAAATTCTGAATCAATTCTGATGATTTTTTGTTAATCGAAAAAGATGCGAGTAAACTTTTTCGATTAACAAAAAATCATCAGATTGTTGGTTTAAAACTGATTTGGAACTGGTTGGAAAAAAATCTTAAACTGGTTGCAGATTGATCTAAAGTTTATGAATGAAATGACTTACATGCTTATAGTTATGAAATAATGCTATTTATTATGTACAGACAAGTAAAATTATATACGGGAGTATAAGGAAGCGCGGCGCTCAAATATTTTTAAAAGTTTACATTAAATAGTTTTATACAGTAGTAACTTTTATGATTTCAGGGCCGTGCGTGATATTGTATCGTGGATATTGCATCGTATATAGTCCGCCATTGCCAAGTGATAATAATTATTTTAATAATAAAAATTAATATAAATAGCTCAACCAATGTTATTGTAAGAAATAATTTATGATCAAAATATAAAAGTTTGTTAAGGACTATTGTTTATATAAATATTTGAGTTGAGTCTTGTACAGTAGTAGATAATGAAAACATTGTTTTTTAAATTAAATATGTGACAACAAGCAACTGTAAATAATGTTAAACAACCCGATCAGATTTTATAAAAAAATTATATTCTCGTAAATATATATGAAATTGTATATAAGATTTGTAAATTATTGTTTTACTAGTCTTAAGAGTACCTTTGAATCTAAGGTATTAAAATGTATATAGTACTAATAAATGCAATAATTATTTCTAGTATGTTATTTTATTTTTGAAGTATCCTAATATACGTTGTCGATACAAGACGTAAAATTTAAATAAGTAAACACTAAGCGTCCCTATAAAAGGCGGTAAAGCTGATTTGCCGACAATCCTGACAATTTAATAGTGCAACCACATTTACTTGTTTTTATTACAATTCGATTGTTATTAGCCAGTGTTTAGGTTTTTATACTCTAAGAGTTGCGCATAAGGATTAAGTTAAGGCTCCCCTACTAAAAATGGAGCGAAATGTATGTAATGGATAGGTATAGAATTATTTAAACTACTCAATGGATTTTAATGATTTTTTAGCAATAGAGTGATTCAATGGGACGGTTTTTATGTATACTAATACGTACAACCGTGCGAAGACGGAGCGGGTACATGGTGTAGTATAAAATGTTAAACAAAATCAACACGCCCCTGGGATTACTGTCGTGAACATATTTATTTTATTACTCAAGTCGTACACATAATGTCATTAAAATGTCAGATACACTTAACGGACATCGCGCAGTAAAATGTAACGTTATAAATAAATCACTGTACGCGTACGTACATCTATTAATACACAAACATTAGAGTCTCGAACGCGTGTTCACAGAAGCAGTTTGTTGTCTCCTAGTAATAGTTAAATTTATAATTTAACTAATTATATTTTAATTATTATAGTTAATCTTTTCCAAACATCATACAAGATGAACATACGTTATGAAGTGCTGAGATCGGATAAACTTGGGAGGTTTGTTTAGATTTGTGTAAAAAACGTCAATGTTTAATTTACACCTAATTAATTTCATCATAACAAATTAAGAATATAAATATTATTTTATCTAGACATGTTTTTATTGAAATTAAAGTATAATTCAATTATACGTATCTGTTGTTTTATAAATAAAGAAGAGATAGGTATATTATCAGCTTATGTTCCTGTTTAATTATTCCGACCAGTATTTTTTTTATTAATAGTTTTGTTATCCACAATTCGCTAATGTGATCTGATAACACAAAATGGCAAATGGTGAAGCCCTAAGTTTATTTCTTAATCTGTAATTTACACCCCGCGCCGGTTAGTTAACTAATTTCTCTTACGGGATACAGTCCATCTGTGTGAGTTAGGTCAGTCCTTATTGTACAATGCTGAAGTATATCTAAGGGCCAATCCCATAAATACAATAAAAAAGCGACTTAAATTATTTATTAAATAATTATATATTAGTTTTAAAAATGAAAAATTTCCTTAATTACAGTGTACTTCCAATTAGATCTAGAATCGGCACCAAAAGTTCTATCTAGAATTTAATAACTGAACTAGTGGACATTCGTCATTGTAGGTACTTAGTAGCCGCTAAAGACTTGAAGGCTGGCGAGAAAATCTTGTCAGACGAGCCCTTCGTTATCGGCCCCAGTAGCGACACATCGCTCGTTTGTCATAATTGCTACTTGCCTCTTATAAGCAAGTTTATTGTATGCAAGAGCTGTGCAGTAGCACCACTGTGCCCCGATGAAGGATGCCCTCAGCCACTGACTTATAGTTAGTATACATGACTTATTACGTTATGGATAAAAATATTTATTTATTTCCATATTTATAACTATCATTACATATTTTCTTCATTACATCTTTTAAAGATATTTTTATTTTGATTTTATTATAATGGGATAAAATATGGATAAGCTGAGATTTTCTTGTAATCTCTTTTGTATTCCATTTAACTATAAAAGAAATATTACCACACAATGATCCTCGAATCAATAAATTACCTACTTACGAATAATATTTTCTGAGACATGTTCGTAATATGGTGTTTGTTAAAATAAAATACAAGTTGTATTTTGTGTCAATGAGGTTTCTGTTTGGCAGACTGGCATTCTAAATCAGAATGTGAGATCTTTAAGACGCTGAAACTCACTAAGGGTCTGAATCCAATGGTTATGGTTCAGAATGTTGGATCGCTAATAATACTTCGCTCGATATTAAAGAAGAAAACAGAGCCAGAAGCATGGGAGGAGTTTATGCAACTAGAAACACATATTGAGAAGAGAAAAAATACAAGCGTCTGGCAATACTATCAAAATACTGTAAAGGTAAATTGTTCTCAGATGTGTTGTTTTGTATTTTTTCTCCTTTTGATTTCTTTTTATTCTCTTTGATTCCTTTTGGTTAGTTAATTGATAGAAAATATACTGGAGTGCACCTATATCTATTTGTGTGTATAAGTCTAAGTATTTTCAGCAATATATGAATCGTGTTATTATTATTTGTTTATCATGTACCGCATCTACTTAGTTCGAATTATGGTGTTTCATAGTATTTTTTCTCCTACCTTATTTCTTACCAAAAAATATGGAAGAAATATCAAACTGTAATTTCAATCAGTTTTATAAGCCTTATTTCTACTTAGTACTGTTATTTCTTCTTACTGTAATACTCTCTGTTTTATTTTCGTATGAGTTATGGCAGAGTTAGCTTATATGCTGTAAAGAATGTATAATATACATATTTCTTTTCGTAACATACTTCTACTATATACCTACTTTACATATTAAATAGGTCCTTCGCCAGGATTCAATACATCTTTACACTAGAATACTTCAAAAGTGGATCTACTTCCAAAATTATAAATTTAGTAACGATAGAGGACAATGAGGCAAAATAACAGGTAAAAAATACAGGTAACATTACAACTCTATACGTTATGTGGTTACAGTTTATTGAATCCTTGGATCTCGATGGTGTCGATACAAACTTGGTGCAAAAAGTATGCGCGGCGGTGGATGTGAACAGCTTTGATGTGAGAGGACCACGGATACCAGTTATCGGCTGTTCTGAGATACTGCGTGGGATTTATCTCAAAACATCACTGATGGCACATGACTGTGTCGGGAATACTCACCTCTCTATAAATGACAATAATTTACTTGTGTGTCATGCTCGTATAGATATCAAGAAAGGAGACATAATATATTTTAACTACACGGACCCCTTAAAGGTATGTTAAAACTATAAAAAATGTCTAAGTACTTTGTGAGAGAAAAATAACAAATTTAAACATGTCCAGATGGTCACATGTGTGGGGTATATACATCGATTGTCATAGTAGACTGGGCTTTTCAAAAATAAAGAGAATAAACAGTAGAAAATATGTCAAATAATATTTTCTAATTTTAAAAAGCCTCACGAACATATCATAAGATTGAGCTACACTAATTTGAGTGTTACTACTCCGATTGTTGAGTTGAACACATTGTAAAATATTCTGCATTGAGAAGTACTTATTGGCTATATTCAGCGATCTAGCAATTTATAGGTCTATTCCTAATTTTTCTTTTTTGCAATTACATAGCTGAGATGATGATAATAATAAATCTTCACCAGGGTACAAAATTACGACAACAGCATTTACTAGTCGGTAAATACTTCAAATGCACGTGTCATCGATGTTTGGACTCCACTGAGCTAGGAACCTACCTCAGTTCTGTGTTATGCTCTGAATGCAAGATTGGCCTCGTTTCGATGAATAAAAACGGTATTTGGGTGTGCAATAACTGTAAAAAAGATTATGCACAAACACATATTGACAAGAAGATTCAAGGTTGTTCTGATAAATTCGATGTAATTAGTAAGTACCGATCTTAAAGTCTATTCTATAATATATTTTGATTTTATGTAGGGAGTGTCGACGAGTCGGGCTTACTTACGAGCCCTAGTTTATATTAGTAAACACTACATTCAGTGTCCATGTATTAGAAGCTCAGAATCGGTTTTGCTACAATTTTGATTTTCCAGTTTTGTCCCATGAACCTAATTTAGACTATATTAGGTTCATAGAAGCACAATAGAAGTAGGTATATAAACATTTTATTATTGTACTCAATTTGTTTTACGATATCGAATAGTTAACTTGGGCGGGAAAAGGGGATAGTTAGTAATATCACAGATAACATAATATTACATAGTAATATAGACTAATAACCCAATTGTTAGTAATGTACCATATTAGGTTGACCTCCACGCGATTCCTCCTGGAAACTATCGTGATAAATTCTTGGAGAATTTGTCTAACTGACCTGTCTTTAAACCAATCTTATCATATTCCGCTGGTGCCCCGCTAGCGTAAATCGTTAGTGCAGTTTGCATGCAGTTGTTCTATTATCATCCATTAAAAAAAATGTTAACTTAAATTTGTTTTGTTATACTTTATGTATAGATAAGAAAGACGAAAAAGAACTCGAGGAGTACATTCGAAATGTGTCGTTACTGCTGGCTCCCAATCACTACCTTTTGTTGGAAGCTAAACAACGTCTGGCCGGTGTCCTCAGAGACCTAATTAGCAGAGAGACACGCCCTACCAAGAAAGTTATGCGCCGAAAATTACAATTATGTAATGAATTGCTTCCCGTCATTGAGAAACTTATCCCGGGCATATCCCGGACTAAAGGTCTGTAAAATAAAAAAATAAGCTTATTACAAATGTGTTACTGAGTTTACCCAGCAACACATTTCTGATAATACTCGGACGTTCTTGCCGACAACACCATTGAACTGCCTTGGTTGCTTCGTCCTCTCTGAAGTTGCACCAATCCAACGGCGTTATCGGCACGATTCGACTTACTAGGAACGTGTGCCCAGGTAACTAAATTATTTCTTTATCTTGTCATTATTGTATTTTCAGCAATCACTATGTACGAACTACACGCAGCCATGGTGCAATTGGCGAGAAAAATGTTTGATGGACGTGAAATAACGGGTCTTGCGTACATGGATGAATTGCTACATGCAGAGACATACCTTAAACGGGCCCTAGAAATGTTGTTCATTGAACCAGGTAATTCTCCTGAGGGAGAATTATGTGCTAAGGCACTAGAAGAGTACAGAGCGTTAAAAGCAACAATGAACAGCGTGTTGGATGGTATACACGCTGAAGGTAAAACATACGTTAATGCTGCTGATAGAGAGACACCTTCACAAGGTCATATATGAAGATAATCCACAAACGAAGATATTACTGCTATGTAGAATATTGGAAAACATATCTGGACTGTTGTTTTGTTTAATTTTATTTAGTGCGTAAGATCGTATGATTTATATCCCGTATGTCAGTTCCATAGGTTAGTTTTAGCTGCTACAAAATTGTTTCACAAGATGCCTACAGTTATTACTACTAGTACAGTTCGGCAATACATGCAATTCATCATCACATCCTGTGAAACCTAAAGGATGGGTATAACGTACAGTGCGATTTCAGAAGAATTTCCCACCGCGTAAACTGAGATTGTTGAATGAACTACGTAGGTATTTTTTTCCAAAATCTGAATATGTTAGCTTTTTTCAATAGACAAAAAAGACCAGATAGGCCGAATGCCTATTTGTTTGTTTGAATGTCTATTTTGTTTAAAAAAAAATACATAAATGCAATGCATTTGAACTTTCAGGGGTTATTACATTATTAACACTACGACCCAAGTTAATTAATTTACCAACGTATGAATTTGTTCACAGTTTTAATAAATAATTAATAATTGTTAAATTTTGTTTTTGTCTTATGTCCAAATATTTAACATCTAAGCTTTAAAATATATTAATGTATATACCTATTATTCCTAAATATTTCTAATAATGTAGAATCTCAGAAAATCATATCATCCAATCCACAGAAGTCAATGTCATTGTCAAATGTCAAATAAATGTCCCAAAAAGAAATGCTATTCAAACGAAACTTTTGCGGAATTTAATTGTTTAAATAAAATTAGTGTTGATTAGAGTTAAAAATTGAAATATTTTATTTCAAATAATTAAACTACAAGCACAGCATTCGATCAGTGGTTGGCCGTCTATTGAGTATCACTGGTATCTATTATTATATTGGCTATTTCTTCATCTTTCATCATACCGCTATTATTGAGTGTACACTTGGATTTGTGGAGGTAATATTATTTACATGTATTGATATAATATTGTTATTATTTACTGTGTGTTAAGTACAGATTTATATTTTTTCAGTCCGGCTATGGCGGATCAGTCGTCAGTACTAGCGTTGGTAATTTTAGCGGTAGGAGTTACTGTCCACTTTTCGTTGCATAAAGTAGAGGAGGGCCATGTAGGAGTTTATTATCGGGTATGCTTTCTATATTGTTGTCATTTGTAATTAATAATATAATATCTTAGAACAAATCACACAACATCATCTAGTCCCAAGCAAGAGCAGAGCAGGCAAAGCAGATTGTGTTATGGGTAGACAACTGATATAAATACATACATAATACATAGCAAACAACCAGACCGAAGCAAAGAAACATACTAGTTCATACAAAAGTTCGTACCATGCAAGGAATAATGTGACGATTGGAAGTAAGGTAGTGTGCTAAACTGCTTGACCACTGAGTCATCAATTGAACATTCACTATACATATAAATGCAAAATCCCATTAACATCCCATAATAATTTTTTTACATTATTATTAGGTATTCCTTTTTTTTAATATATACAATTATATCTTTTTCAGGGAGGGGCACTTCTTCCAGTAACAAGCCAACCTGGTTTTCACATGATGATACCTCTTTTAACATCTTATAAAGCTATACAGGTAAATACAATTTTGAGTGAAAGTTTCAATTTATATTTGTGAGTGCCTGTTCTGGTAAGGTAAAGGCTAATATTAAACCAAAACTATTCAGGATTCAAATATACCTAGTTAAATACATGTGAACATTAATCTTGACAGCTGACAATATTTCTGTCAACCCCATCTGGGATAATGATTGTAATGTTGTTATTTTTTTTTTTTAATAATAATTTCTATAATTATTACATTTTCAGACAACTCTACAGACTGATGAAGTTAAAAATGTGCCTTGTGGTACCAGTGGTGGAGTGATGATATATTTTGAGAGAATTGAAGTTGTTAATAAGTTGGAACCAAGCAGTGGTAAGTCAAAGTGTCACAATGTTAGTTGCCATACTACACCGAAATGGCTTGACCGATTTTTATGAAATTTTACATGCATATTCAGCAGGTATGAGAATCAGCTATTATCTATTTTTCATACTCCTAAGTGATAAGGGTTGTCCACTACTAACTTTTTTTTACTTTATGGACAATTTCTTTTTTTTATAATGTGGCTTTAAAAATACCTATAACCCTAAATTTTCACCTTCTGCCATCAACCTTATTTTCTAAATTTATATAACAAAACAGTGTAGTAATTATAGCTAGTCAGCTAGTAATTATATGAAATAAACAATTGCATAATTAAATATTTATTTTAGTTCTAGATATGGTGCGTAATTTTACAGCAGAGTATGATAAAACATTAATATTCAACAAAGTGCATCATGAGCTGAATCAATTCTGCAGTGCACACTCTTTACATGAAGTTTATATTGACCTGTTTGATCAGATTGATGAGAACTTAAGGACTGTAAGTATACAAACTAAACATTATCTTGCAGTTTAAGAATTTAAATATAAAAAATAAAGTCTATTTCATTTTCCTATTGTTTGGTTAGTATTAAAACATATTGGCAGCATGAGAAAGAAATTTTGAATTTGTAGTATTTTACTAATTAAAATTCTGTAATGTCACATAAATTAACTATCACATATTTACAAAAGTAAGTAATAAATTAAATGTCATTTACATGTTCATGTATTTTTTATTAAAATAACATTTTTATTTTTAAGGCTTTACAAAAAGATTTGAATGAAATGGCACCTGGGTTAAGAGTGCAGGCAGTTAGAGTAACCAAACCAAAGATTCCAGAAGCAATCAGGAAAAATTATGAACTTATGGAGGCTGAGAAATCTAAACTGCTTATTGCAGCACAACACCAAAAAGTAAGTTTCACTAAAATTAGATATATAATGTTAGATTTTAAACAAATAGGCTAATGGAAATATTACAGTAGTCTGTTGATAAGAAATCATCAACTTCAACTTATATAGATATATTTCTCATACAGTATAAATAAACTAGTAACACTTATCTATGTAAATAAAAATCAATATTTATGTCTGGAACCGTTTCAAATGGTTGTACCTATTTGACTATCTGTTTGTATTGTATTTGTTTTTGTCAGAAAATTCTGGATAAAAAATGTACAGAATTGAAATACTGACTTACTGTTTATCTAGTAACTATCAATCTATATACACATAATAGAAAATAATAACTATATTTATTTACAGGTTGTAGAGAAAGAAGCCGAAACAGCTCGTCGCAAGGCAGTCATTGAAGCAGAGAAAGAAGCCCAAGTAGCTAAAATTCAGTATGAACAAAAAATTATGGAGAAAGAATCATTGCAAAAAATTGAGCTGATTGAGGATAGTATTCATAAAGCTAAACAACAAACTAAAGCAGAGGCAGACTACTATCACTTGAAGAAGCAGGCTGAAGCTAACAAACAGCTTTTGACTAAAGAATATTTAGAGCTAAAAAAGTATGAGGCACTTAGTTTAAATAATAAAGTCTATTTTGGAAGTGATATACCAAATATGTTTTTACAGGCCAATGTTGGAGAAAGTACTCAAAAAAATGTCCTTGTTGAATGAGTTTCACTTTTCTATATGAAGCTAGTCATTGAATAATTTATCTCATTTGAGTTTATGGAACAATTTTTTTTGTAAATAAAATATCAGTAGTATGATTGTGATATATTTTTAAGGGAATTGATTTATAACAATTATTTCATGACTGAGATTTTGAATAAATATGTGGCAAAAATTGACTTAAGTTTTTTAGCTGGTGTGTTGCAATACTGGTGTATATTTATAGCTTTTCTATGTGTAATAAAACAACAGGAGAATAATAAAGTGATTTTATTGAAAATTAAACTTATTAAATTATGGCTTCATTTAGATTTTGTTGAATGCGGCAATATCTACAGACTGTACAAAGTCCTCAAATTCTTGGATTTGTTCTGTTAGAAGATCCACTGAAACCTTATCATCCTCAATGACACACATGATTTGTAGTTTGTTAATACCATAACCAACAGGCACAAGTTTAGATGCACCCCATAACAGACCTTCCATTTCAATAGTACGAACTTGCTTTTCCATTTCTTTCATGTCTGTCTCATCATCCCAAGGTTTAACATCAAGGATAATAGAGGACTTTGCAATGAGAGCAGGCTTCTTAGACTTTTTATCAGCATAAGCTTTGAGACGCTGCTCTCTGATCTTTGCAGCTTCAGCATCCTGCAGATAATAGAAATATCATTATTATTGTTTCAGAATATGTAAATTTCTTATAAGTACATTTTGAAAGAAGGAAATCAAATTGCAATAATATGCAACTTATAACGGAAATCAAGCATAAGCTATGGATATTTGAGAAAACAGTATATTATCTCCTTGGCTTAGTAAATGGAACTACAAAAAATATACTCACTTCTTCCTCGTCGGAACCAAACAAGTCGACGTCGTCATCGTCGTCATCCTTAGCTGGAGGTGCTGCAGTGGTAGGTTTGCCGCCTGCTGTCAATGGGCTCTGACCAGCGGGCCAAGCTTTACGCTCTGCGGGTGTGTATGATGAAATCTGTCTGTACCAGCGAAGGGCATGTGGCAAGCTGGCTGCCGGCGCTTTGCCGACTTGTTCGAATACCTGAACATCGGCTTGAGAGGGAGTGTATCTGGAATAATACACAAATTATTCAGTAATTTGGTAGCCATAAAGACGTTTATAAAAGGGACATTGCCGTTTTATTTTGTGGATTTTAAAATTAAAATATATTAAAAATGTAGGTTATGGAAAGAAGTTAAGCATCTGGGAGTCTGACGTGGTTATGATATTAACCTATTAACAGATTTATACACACCCTGAAAGATAACTTCTCTCGACCAAATATTTGTTCAGGTCATTCAGACCTTGAGCAGTTTTAACGTCTCCAACTGCCATTATATGTATTAAAAATTTAATAAGTTGCCCAAGTAGCACGCAGGCTCAGCACGAAAAGAAAAAGAGATTAACAAGAATGAACGAATTGTATGAATTTAACAGAGATTAAAAATGTATCGTCGACAGATAATAAAGTGCCGTACAACTGCCGACCTCGATTTTACATTTCAATAAATAGCTAAAGTATTTTAACAGTTTTAATAAATAAAATAACATTTACATTCCATAAATACAATCAGATTTTATATATAGGTAGTTTTAATTTAATAAAATAAAAACTACCTATAATAATAACACATTTGTACCAAGAACGATTTTTTTATGTGCTCTGTGTCATTGATGGCCATAACTGTTGTGTCTCCTGCGTGTTGTCATTTTTTGACTGTCAGCAATCATCTGTGTCAACTGTCATGTATGTATGTAGACAGCAAAAATTCCCGATATTTTGTTTGATACGTTTTACATAAAATTAAAGGATTACATTGCAATAAGTAATATTATTTAATTTTATATGTATGTAAGATATTTATTAAGTTGTGAGTTTTTCACTAAATGTTTATTGTATCTTACAAATAGGTTATAAAAGTCTTGTACTTATGTAACAATAACAGGATTTTCTATTAAGTTCCTACCCCTAATCGATTGTAGTTTAAATATGTCAAATAATGTGTATTAAGTGATTTATGAGACGACTACTAGGGATACAAAGTAGGATATAAATTGATTTCTGTTATGTGCGTCGTTGTGATTTATTCGTGTTTGACTGCAGAAAATGTTGCGGCAGCCGTTGACTCGGGCGCTAGTGCTAAGTTCGCCGAGCCGCGTAGCACCTTTGGGGGCTCGCAGGTACGCTGACGCTGTACCAGCTCAACCTGATAAGGTGGAGGTGTTTATTAATGATCAACCTGTTTATGTTCCTCCGGGCACCACCGTTCTACAGGTAAACACTTATAAGTTTTAGGTCTGTGTGGGATTAACTTTAGAGTATTTTACAATATATGTATATAGACACCTATTTGTATAAAAATAACAAATAAAAAGAAATAGTTTTATAGAATTCCACAATAGCATGTATATGATGATGATGATGTAGGTTTGTTTATTTAATATGGAATTAGATGTTATTGTTATTTAAATTAAACCTACATCAATTAAACAACAAATAAATACTTTAAACAATCACCACAGCACATTATGGATAGTATATAATTATGTACTATACCTATGAGCTGGTTATTTATGATTATTGTTATTTAATCAAGTGTTAAAGGTTGTATCACTCATACATTGTCATTTCTGAGAACTAAAGTTTTATTTGCTGATAGCATGTAATTTGACATTCCCATTTAATTTTTCAAAATGGTACCTAATTTATAAAGACACAGTTGCTAGCAGACTTTAGTGAAATGTATGCATTTAGTTTTATCAATGTTACTCTTTACTCTATATAGTGATATAACTGAAAAAATTGTAGTCTTTGCCCTGTATTAGTAAATTAGGAAATTTTCAAGCTTTAATATTTAGTTTTATTAAAATATATACTGTATTATTTTAATGAGAAATCATTAAATAGGTTAAGGCCTTAAGTTATTACTAGGTATAAGTCTGCCATATGTACTTATTACTTATGTGTAACATGCATTAAAGTTATTTAAAATAAATACACACATATACAGTAGGTTATTGAATATAATATAATTGAGTCATTTAACTATTATTTTTACAAGAGATTTTTTTCATTACAGTAGCAATTTTTATTTATTATATTTTCACCAGGCTGCAGCTCAAGTTGGTGTTGAGATTCCTCGTTTTTGTTACCATGAACGCTTGGCAGTTGCTGGTAACTGCAGAATGTGTCTCGTCGAAGTGGAAAAGTCACCAAAGCCTGTAGCGGCTTGTGCCATGCCTGTCATGAAGGGTATGAGGGTCAAAACTGATTCTGACCTCACCAAGAAAGCCCGTGAAGGTGTTATGGAGTTTCTGCTTGTAAATCATCCTTTGGATTGTCCTATTTGCGACCAAGGTGGCGAGTGTGATCTCCAAGATCAATCAATGGCTTTTGGATCTGATAAAAGTAGATTCACTGACATTCATTTCTCTGGAAAAAGGTGGAGATTTAATTTTATCTATTATATTGTAATTAAATTTATTCTTACTGACTTCTGAACTGAGTACATTCTCATCATGTGTTTTTAATGTTTTATATGATATTAGTGATATTGATGAAATAAAAGTTTTATAGCAAGATATAGATGGAATGTATATGGATTGGCAAACAAGTTAAAAGTGAATATTTTTTGTAGGTAACCATAGTATCATTATTGAACCACAAATATACATATTATGTGCAACTGCAAACTGTATGTCAGCACCAACATAAAACAGACAGATTAAAAAAAAGGGTTATTTCTTAGTTTATCTTAACTTTATTATGATTCCTTATATATAGAGGAAAAAAATTACCACCATGACTGTTATCACAGATGGGGTAGTCAGAGGCATTATCAACTGTCCATGTTGTGGTGAATGCAATACATGACATGCCTACTTTTTTCTTAGTATATTTGAATCCAATATGACAGGGGGCAATCCTATCGCTGTCTTTCGTTTTCTTTTTATCACCTGAGAGTCGGTTGGAAATATAGTTTGATAAGAACCTTTTTTTTTATATCAACCAGAATTATACTATGGTACCCTGTCCCGCGAAATTTAATTATAAAAATTAAAGTTAAGACGAATTGAATACATCATAGATAACAATGACATTAATGATGTATTGGCGTAATTAAAATTATATTGATGGCCTTTTTACACAAATAAATAATTTTCATAGGGCTGTGGAGGACAAAGACGTAGGGCCTTTGATCAAGACAATCATGACACGTTGCATCCACTGCACCCGTTGTATACGATTTGCATCCGAGGTAGCTGGCATTGATGATTTCGGTACAACTGGCCGAGGTACTGATATGCAGGTAAATATCATTATTATAAAAAAAAAATAACTAGTTGCCGTTATTTTAACCACTAGTAGTATATTTAGTATCATATTTTATTCCAAAATGATTTAAAAAATTAAAAAGCCTTAAATTACCTTAAATTAAATCTGGCCCGTCTAAATTACATATACTTTTATATAACTTTATTGCTAAAAAGTCTGAAATTCTGTGCTTTTGGTCTTAACATTCATTCCATTTTAGTTAATTTTAAATGTTTGCTTATTCTTTAAAAAATATTTTGCACAACCATTCTAATGTTTTTTAATAACTATTTTAATTATTTATATTTAGGTTGGAACATACGTTGAGAAGATGTTCCTATCTGAGTTATCAGGCAACATCATAGACTTGTGTCCAGTTGGAGCACTCACATCCAAACCGTACAGTTTCGCAGCACGACCCTGGGAAACTAGGAGGGTAAGTGATAACATGATAATTAATTACATGATACAACAATGGGAATATAAATAATGTTTATATAAATAAACTTTTTTAATAGTAAATTTTCTTGTAGTTGTTATACAATATACAACTAATTCCTAGTGTAGAATTAGCGTAAGAAGATTGAGCAAGAAAGTAGCCTCTTGCTGTTTACGTTTTTAAGATTTTGTGTGAATGCAGAGTTATAATGTTTGAGAGCATCGAGGATTTAACCCAGATTGTGAGTTCAATTCTGGTTGACAAAACAAAAAAAACTGGTTAAAGTTATGTTAATAATTGATTCTCTGGTGAAATATATCAAACTATAAATTAATCCGAGAGATGATCGTACATCCGACCAGTACCACTTTGGATTCAAATGTACTGTATCAAAACATGGTAGCTAGGTCAAGTGTGTGTTGACCACTACTGTTGACAGTGCTTGTTTTTGTGTATGCAGCGTTTGTTTGTATTACAAATTACCAAATTACATAAATTCATAAGAATAAAAGAATTAAATAAGTAATTAAGTGATTAACAAAAGAATTCAGTCATAACAATCGGAGAAGACTAAATATAACGGTAAATTCAGTGTAATAACTTTACAATTATTTTCCAGATTGACTCTGTTGATGTGTTGGATCCTCTTGGTAGCAATATAGTAGTCGCCACTCGTACTAATGAAGTATTGCGCATCCTACCCAGGACGAACGAGGTAAACAGTACAAATATAAGGTATAGTATAGACTCTAAACGTGAATTAGAACCAAAATACCAAAAGAAATTTGTGTCTTAATATCTAATAAAAATCTTAATATATGTCTGACTCTCCGGTAGTTAAAAATCTGATAAGAATAAGTCACTTGGCCCATCCTATCAAACTCGCAAGGAATTGAGCATGATGGTTTCTTGAACCACCACACACAACACAGCCACATGGAGGTCAACTTGACATATTATATCTGTAGTAATAGAAAGTTTATTAAAATAAATTTAATATAAGAACCTTTCAATAGTCATATTTTTGTAAATCTACCGCTCATTCAGAACGCAGACTCATTGCAAGAAGAATGATTGAGCAATGGGATCATCAGTCCACATTACTAACAATCCCTTTCCTCCTAATAACGTAGGTTGTATTCCAGGCGGCAAACTCTGCGGAATATATTTAGTTAAATATAATGTTACTAAATTTGGTTATACAGGAAATTAATGAGGAATGGCTGTCTGATAAGTCTCGTTTCGCCTGTGATGGTCTCAAACGACAACGACTAGTGACACCCATGTTGGCCGACAGTCGCGGTAACCTCACGCCTGTGGAGTGGGAGGATGCCATTGTTGCTGCCGCTCGTGCTATTCGCGATTGTCCACCTGATAAGGTAACCTGAATATATCAATTGTATTTTATCATTTATTGCTTATTACTGCTTTGAATAGCCTTTATTGATTTTAGGAATAAATACATAGTTCCACATTAAGCTGCTGCATGCAAATATATATCAATATTAATTTCAACAATTATTAATAATTAATATTATACATACTGAAACGAATTCCTTACAATAAAATATCTGAAAAAAAAATAGTAGCAATAAATTTTACTATTATATTGTTTTGATTATGGGACCAGATTAGGCAGGGAAGTTACAAGATTAGAGCCATAATATCTTGTCCTCTGTAATGACAATACATGAATGGTAATCATGGGTGTCACTTGATAACGTGATGTCCCTAGTGCTGTTCATGTATATTGCGACGAAAATATAATATATATAATTATACCGAAAATACCCAGACCTATATACTATAGCTAACTCGGAACTAAATCAACGAGGCCGCCAATAATATAAGACTAATCTTAAATTACAGTTGTTAGCGGTAGCTGGCGATTTAGCGGACGCAGAGTCCCTTGTGGTTCTTAAGGATTTGTTCAACAGACTTGGCTCTGAGAATGTCTATACCGAAAATGATTTCCCCTTGGAAGGTTCCGGCACTGACCTACGATCATCGTATCTCCTCAATACTAAGATTGCAAGTACGTTCTTTACTTTTTAATGTTAATAAAAGATTATAAATGAAAATCTACTATATCTACTCTCTGTTTTGAACTAATATGACTTTCTAAAGGTCCAGTCATTTGCTAAACATTTTAGGGATTTAGAAATTCATACAAACAGATAATAATAAAGTACATAGAGTATTTAACCAACATTCCCGAGGCGGGTTTACGTCAGGCATGTTACGTGAGTCGGTCATACTTCCATAAGCAGAAACACTATGTTTGTAAGAAAACCCCAAATAAATATGGGATAAGGGCTGCCAAAAGGTGATTAGTATTTATTTAAACTGTATACTATATGTTATATTTTAGGGGCATGTGTTTCATCAATAATTATAATCTTTTAGAACACATATAAATAATGAAATAACCTAGTTTTTAATTTGATTTTTTTTATCGCAAAGACGTGGAGGATGCAGATTTCGTGTTGTTGATCGGCACCAACGTTCGTTTCGAGGCTCCGCTTCTGAACGCGCGTATCAGAAAGGCTTTCATACACAAGGAGACTGACGTCGCTGTCGTCGGACCTAAAATAGACCTTACGTACGACTATTTGGTAAGTATACAGCAAAAGTCATAAGTATACAGCAAAAATCATAAGTATACAGCAAAAATCATAAGTATACAGCAAAAGTCATATGTATATAGCAAAAGTCCTAAGTATACAGCAAAAGTAATAAAATTTTCCAATTGTACCGTGAACGATTGTGACGATTTCATTCACACGACAAATTTTAACATTTGATTTCACTGTCTGTTAGTATTTTCAACATTTTAGTCAGTAATGATTAATGAACAGTCGAAAAGAACTGAACACATTATATACAACAACTTTACTACTTAAAAGTACAAAGAACACAACAAATCGAACGCTAGACAAATGTCAAAGTTACTAATTTTCTTTTAATACATTATACAAATTGCTTTTCTTTTGGTTTTTATATAGCACGTTGGTGATTCAGCAAACATAGTGAAGGATTTGGCTACCGGTTCCTCTTCTCATGAGGTGCTGAAGAGATTGGATTCTGCCAAGCGACCCATAGTCATCCTCGGGGCTGACCAGTTGAAGACACAGGAAGGTTCTGCTCTGCTCGCTTATACTCAGGAGCTCGCTCTAAGGCTCCAAAGCAAACTTCAAGATAAGAATTGGAAGGTAAACTGGATAGATTGATTATGATTGTTTTCTAAAACAAAATTCAATTCTGAATTTACAAAATTAGCATGGAACTGAAATTAACTTTATTCTTTCTTTTAAAATTCTGTATATTGTCAATGAAACTAAAGCGCAAACAAAATCGTATCTTTATTTTTGTGTTCACTTTTTCGCGTGTGATGTGTAAATGAATGAATATTTTATTTCATAGCTTTTATTTTACAACGACGTTTAAGATTTATAAATTATCAATTACTCTGTTATTCTGTCTTTGTTCCATAGAATATGTCCATTTGCAATATTAATTCATTATTATAGAAAGGCGCTAAAGTATGGACGCGGGAATGCGAGACCTTGCAGTGTGTGCGGGCTTTCGAACTCTTGGAAAGCCAATTCGCACGTAAAAGAGCGTACGTTTAAAGGCAGTAATTAGTATAGATGCTACGTTATGATATTTTTGAAGCAACCGACTAGATCAGCACAAAGTCTAGCAACTGTCGTCGAGACAACGCTGAAATAAATGAAATTCAGTTATCGCCTCGCTCGTCCTCCATAGTTGAAGAAGTATTCGAATAGGCGTTATCGGAGAAAGAAGAGGATTAGTAGATTCTTCTATTCTAGAAAGAGAAGATGTAAGCCGCCTTACGTGTAAAGGCAGTTAATCTCATGATTGCGGGTGCTGGCATTCCCGGGGTGAATCGCTCGCGGTACTGATCGCGCGTTAAAGAGCTCGTGGTGTAAAGGCAGTTGATAACAGCGAGGTCCGTGTGCAGGTCCTCAACGTGCTGCAGCGTAGCGCCGGCGCGGTGGCGGCGCTGGACCTGGGGTACCGCGCGGGCGCCGCCGCCGCGCTGCAGGCCGCGCCGCGCGTGGTGTTCCTCCTCGGCGCCGACAGCGGCGTCGTGCGCCGGGACCGGCTGCCCAAGGACGCCTTCGTCATCTACCAAGGTACCGGCTCAACCGGTAGCTCGCATCCACCGAGGCCTACTTACGCTTATATATGAGTGTAAGGTCGAGAACTAGTTCAATTTGGCAAGTACAAAATAGCAAGAAAATAAAAGGATTCAACAAAAAATATTCTAAAGAATTAAATGGATCTGTTTACAGTATGCTATGTGGTTCATACCAGCGGAATATACCGACGGTTTCATTTCTCGCATGTTCGAGAGTATCGAAATTTATTGTAAACGTGCACGTGATAATCTTTTCTTAGAACTATTACGTTTCAACACACAAATATGTATATAGTTTATTTATTCTATAACTTTTCAAGGTAATTCAAGAATTAATATCTAAGGTATTTTTAATTCGATGCCTGACCGGCTGTATTTACTTCTTGCTGCATGCTTTTTTTATTTATTTATTCTTATCATAATAATTATAAGCCTGTATAATTCAGACAGCATTATCTAGTCTCAAGCTAAGCACAGCTTGTGTTTATTTTTTTGTGTTATATCATTTGTTTAGACAAATGGTATAAATAGTTAGAAACATTTTTTGTAAATATACACGTAACATATGGAGAAATTAATGATCATTTTCACATACTCCACTGGTACCCTCATTGGTCAGCGTAAACCATTAGTGCGGCCGGGTGCAGGATTCCATTAATATCCATAAAATAAATATATGAAGAAAATACCCAGAGCATCACTGAACAATCATAAATACAAGTATTTTGCGAGGAATCGCATTCGCGAGCATCGGGAGTAAGGCGGTGTGCTAGACTATACACCATCTAGGCCGTCATTCTCGTTACTAAATACTTGAGACGCACAGGTTACGAACATCACTAAATACGAACCTGCGCGTCTAAGGTTTAAACATCTAATCTCGTAACTAAGGTCACCACGGCGATGCGGGCGCGAGTTGTGCGGACGTGGTGTTCGCGGGCGCCGCGTACACTGAGAAGCGCGCAACCTACGTCAACGCGGAGGGACGCGCGCAGCAGACGCTGCCAGCAGTCGCGCCGCCGGGCCGCGCACGTGATGACTGGAAAATCATACGGTACGCCGCCAGCATTCGCATACGTTAGCACGCGTTCGTACGCGTCCGTGTGCGTTCGCAATTGACAGCTTCATTTAGTCATTACATTTGGACTATATTGTCTATTGCCTTATTTTTTTATAATATATGCTAGAATGTGTCGTTTAGCACGATACTCAAACTGGATTATGATAGTTTCAGTTTCAGTTTTTTTTTGTATGAAGAGTGACAATTCTATATTTTGACTATATCAATATATACAAATGATAAGCATATCAATTTGTGAATGTATCAATAATTATATAAAATGTTATTGGGGTTCTATATATTAGCTTTGTTTGTAATATGTTTACAGAGCTCTGTCTGAGGTGGTGGGCGAACGTCTACCTTACAATAACTTAGATGAAGTCCGCGACAGACTTGGCGAGATCAGTCCGGCTCTAGTTTCCTATGGGGAGGTTCAGGAGAATAATTACTTCGCGCAGGCGAGGGCTTTATCACAGGTAAATATATTTTGTATCATTTAGAACTGTAATTAAGCTGAAGGGCTACCTAATGGTAAGATGCGGCAATTCCTTGAAGACATGAAAAGTTTTGGAGAAGACTTCATACGCACGTTAATCGGGACCAATTTTATGTTACAGTCCTATATGCTCTTGTAATAGGTTCTTGTGATATATTATTATATATTCGAGTCTCTGAAATTGTAGCTCACAAACGAATAGACCAAGGTGGTGTAGTTTCTTGCTTGAAAGCTGACGTCATCGTATTAGTCCCTAGCAGTAAATGTCCTTATAACATACAAGATACCCGTCCCGGGTTGGCACGGATGCATTACAAGTCATTGATTTTCTCAGCTTGTTCTATACCATAAAATGCATGCATGAATCATATAAACCTTCCTCTTGAATCACAATATCTATTGCTGAAAATCTCATTAAAATCCGTTGCGTAATTTAAAAGATATAAGCGAACAGACAGCGGCGGCGTCTTTGATTTATACTATGTAAAGACGAAGGTTTTTTTTAGGTGTTTGAAGGCTCAAGTCATTTTCTATTTGTCGCATGGATTTAACCAATTTACCAATTTGTTGAGGGTTTTATAATATTTTTAATTTTTGTACTTGTAACAGAGCCTCCAGAAGCCTGTGTCTGGGACCCTAGACGTTCAACTGAAGGATCTGGCAGATTTCTTCATGACTGACCCAATCAGCCGTGCATCGCCTACTATGGCCAAGTGCGTGCAAGCCGTTATCAAGCAGAAACAGTCGGTGTACTAAACAGCCATCGTATCAGGTCACCTGTACTTGTAATGAAACACTTTTCTATCTTGTCATAATAAATTTCCTAAGATGATATTTTGAAATATTTAATATTGTCACTGTGACAAAATACTAAAGTGTTTATTTATCAGTATACTTGACTACAAGATTTCAGGACACGAAGTTTCATAAAAATATTCAAGAGTTATCTTCAAAACAAGGTAGATTTATATGTAAGCATTACAAACACAAGAAACGAGAAGGTATAGGAGTGACTGGCAGTTGGTAAGTTTATTTTCAAACTATTGTTGATAAGGCATGAAAAGATGAAGGAATTCAAAACAGAGTCAACACCAAGATGTTATTGTCAGTGATAGGTTGTTACAGCTAAATGACCTGGTAAGCAACACTACAATATGTAAGTAATACGGAATGGAACATTTTCGGTGATAATTCGTGTGCTGAGTCTTGTTTTTGTAACTTCTGTCGTTTTTGTGGTTTCTTAAATTACATTTATCTTTGAATATTACAAAAATTAATTATTATAAAGTTATATAACGATAACACACATCACAAAAACGACGGTTGTTATAAACTAGGATAATTATTAAATACAATTTCGCTTTTCTGCAATCATTTTTACGAAGGAAATACTACAGAAATGCACCTAGTGCAGTTGAATGTACTCATGTTCATTGAATAATTCGTCAACTGTACGTGTATAATGTGATTTGAAGCTATTTATTATGTTATTTAATAGTTAAGCGTAAAAATGTTTCCAATTTTCTGGCATTCTACCCAGTTATTATAATCAAGTAAATAGATGTTAGAAGTCAAACAGGAAGCAAAGGTTTTGTATTAAAATGGTATTGGAATGTAAGGACAGATTTTGTACATAGTAAATGTTTGTAGTATAAAATAAAATGTAGCATAATGATTGTCGAACTTGGAATTTTATTGCTCATCCCAGTTAATATAAGTTTATGGTAAGTAAATAGTTTAGATTTTTCTGAATAAATAGCGGATAGAAAAATATTATTAGGAGTATAACTTTTCTACGGCGGCTAATAGTTTGATACTGGTAGTTTAGAAGGATAAAAGCATTTTATCTGGAACCAAAAGTAATACTATGTGATGTCTAAGGTATGTCTATAATATAATTATGAAGAATATGATTACCATATACGAGAACTAAGCAAATAAGCGAGCATTTTACATTCTAGCAACACTAACATTACTTATAATATTAACTATTCGAAAAATCCAAATTGCGTGTAATTATTTAACATCAGCTGCCAAGCACTTTGCTTGTAATATGTTTCATTGATGAAGATGAGGCAGTGAAATTACAGGATAAGTGACATGACATCTTAGTCCTAGTCCTAGGAATAGTAATGTATGAACGGTAACACGGGCGTCACATGATAACGTGATGTTTATGTATTATATAATAATAATCATCATCTTTATTTGTCTCAAACAAACACTAATATAATTGTTGCCCATACAATAATAAAATTTTAAAGTAATGAAGGAGACAAATCGGTCTATAACGTAGTGGGGGCAGTGAGTCCACCCTCTCTGCTATTCTGTTATACATAGCTCTTACCAGTAAATTAATATAGAGATCGACGATGATTGTGGTGACGGTTAACAGGACAGTCAATTTGTTTGGTATTCCATTAAAAAATCAATCAGCAATCATCGGGTATGATTCATAGGCCCAGGGGTTTTGATCAAATGTAATAACAATATCTCAGGACAATTCACACAGAGTCATCTAGTCCCAAGGTAAGCATAGCTTGTGTTATGGGTAGTCATCAGTTGTCTTCGTATGTATGTACCCATACACAACACAAGACAACTGATGTTAATACATAGATACTGTTTTTTATGTAATTATAGAAAACACTCAGACAATCATACTCGCAAATACAAATGTTGGTACCGTGCGTGGAATCGAACCCACGAGCACCGGTAGTAGTACTCGTAAGGCGATATGCTAAACTGTTAGACTACCGAGAGCAATAAATAAATAAAATAAGTTTAAATAGATTTTTATTTTCTTTATAATGTTTATAAGTAGAATTTATACAACGTTTTCTGTCGTTTGCTTTACTTTACCGTAACGCTTTTTTATTTTTATAAATTAAATTCTCACACTAAATATTTTGTGGATAGTATCCATAGTATCCACAAATTTAGACATAGATTTTTTATATGATTTTTTTTGTAAAACAGGAAATTGTGCGTGCGATACTATGTATTGCCTCATTTGAGTTGGTCGAGTGGGCTATCCGTCAATGTCGCCCGGCATGTGGTTCGCTGTATATTTTTGCATAAAAATAACTTATAGTAGCAGGACAGCCGGTAAACGATATTGAAAAAGATTAATTGTTTTAAGTATAAACCTTGCACTTAATGAAAATTAATCGGAGATAAGTGTATAGTTGTAATTGGATATGAAATTGAATTATATTTATGAACTAACAGTCTCATTGTCTCATTTTGTAATAACAATATTTATAAGGTAAACGTTGTTTTGCCTTATAAATATTGCTGTTAAAAACTAGCGGTTGATGGTAGAAAGGTTAAAATATGTCAAATGTTGTATGTATTTTTAAAAGCCAAAACACAGGGGTATGAAATGGATAATATAATGAACTTGAAAATTTCATCAAAATCGGTTAAACCGTTTCGTAGAAGTATGGTAACTAACACTGACACGAGAATTTTATACTCGTATAGATTCACAAAAAAATCATAAGGTACCTACTGTCGGCACTAATTGGACAAAAAGAATAATATCTGTTGAAATAGGCCAAACAGGACACCTATTTGAGTATTAAATTTCATTCGAGTACTAATACTTTTTGGCTAAAAGAATAAGAAAAATTTCTCCATCTTTCCTCATTATAAGGTTCAGACCAAACGGCCTGTGTCGGCGACGCCGCTTTATTCGCGTATTGGTTGCTACCTCCCACCCTCTTTGGAAATCCGCCAATCGAACCAATGGCTCCATTGCTAGCAACGTACCATGGCGGATTCACACGCGGTCCTTTGGAAACCAGAGTGGTTAACTTGACTTCATCTCGCATTCTGTCGTCTTCCACTACCGACGCCAAGTACTGTTAGTGGAGGAGAGGAGGAACACCACTTTTTTGATAGAATAAAAAAAATTGAGAGGTACATTATCTATTCCGTTTTCTCGATACTATCTGAAAATAACAATGGACGAAAGGCTGGATAATTATTGACCAACAGAGACCAATAAAATATGGCTACACACTCTTAGTTCGAGAATAAGGGAAAATGGTAATGTGGACTAATATCTAACCCTAATGCTAGCAATGTACTATATCAGGTTACCACTCTAATATGGTGATGTACCATCAGTTTACCACCCTAATTTCCATATCTTCCTGATAAATATCATATATAATTCCTGATAAGATACCATCGTGTTAATTTGCCACGACGGGTTACCTGACCTGACCTCGTGTTTATTTTATCTACCTCTACTGGGTTCCACTAAAATCCATTAAAAAAATCTTGGATTAAAATCTTGGATTCTGAACCGATGTTCTACAATTGCTCGTGGACTTCGCATGGCTACTTAACTTATTACTTAACTTCGTGCTTTCGAGTGAAAGGATCTTATTCATAGTCAGCTTCAGGCCAATATATTGAAAGCCTGTATCCATTTCTATTCGTACGCCCCTTGTGAATTTATTCGTGGAACTAGGGTAGGTTCAATAGATTTTAACAAGGAGGTTCTCATTTCTTTGACTGTATTTTATGTTTTCAGAAATTTTTCAACATCACGAGAAAATGGTATTCAATTTCGCGTGATGTTGAAAAATTCCTGAAGTATTATATCGTCGGTTAAATAGTTAAAAGGGCACTATTATAAATGAAATTTTTTACAAGACAAGCATTTAAAGTTTTTAAATTATAATTTTCTTCTTTAAAAATTTAACAAAAATTTACACAGAAGTTTTAAAAGTATTTAGATAATGATTAAGACGGCGTGGTTAGTTTAATTGACTTATATAAAAGGAGGCAACTCTAGCTTCTAATTTAGAAAAATGACATTTTTCTATTTAATCGACGATATGAATTCATGAAATATTATAGTACTACGTTAGTCCTAGCATTACAGTTTTAGTCAAGTTAGCAGGTATGAAAAAAAGAAAAATAAATGAAATTACTACCTGACTAGAATTATGTATCTATGTTGATATTTTATCGTGTACTAATTTCTTCAGTTAAAAGTGTTTCTTCCGACCCTTTCGGCCGGACATATGTAATAATAATATAATATATTTAGGTCTTAAAAACGCTAAGTTTGTGCTATGGGTACTAGACAACTGATAGAAATATTTAGATACATTTTTTGTAAATATACATAGAAAACACCCAAACCAATAATACAAACAATCTTGCTCATGAATACAATTGTTTGCACCGTGCGAGGAATCAAACCCGCGACCATCGGGTGTGGTGTGCTAAATCTCTAGACCACTGAGGCCATCAAGTACATTCAGACTTTCTAGATTCAGTTTTTTATTTTTATGTAACCTCAATATCGATGATCATTATACTCTTTTATTACGATTATTATCTATACAGTGGCTATGATGATACACATATTTCGTATTGTTCGTTCTTCAGTACCTAGGTAGTAGAAGAGTCATGAATCGGGAGTTGAAATGTTCAGTCTAGTCGCATCTATTTACGAGTATATATGTTTATTTTTAGAAGTATTTACAAAGGATAAATATAGTATCTATATGTACATAAGAGGCAGGTAGTAGGGAAAGGGATTTGGTCTTGGTGAACTTCTCGTAATTAGACAATGCTGTTGCAGCGCGGTGTAAGTAAAATCTTCACATTGTCAACGCATAGCAAAAGCAGTTATAGGTACCTTGGCGGCCCTGTTTCAGCTTTGTAACTACTATGCTGTAATACAGGCGTAGGTATTCGCATCTGTATCGGTCCCTTGATAATTATAAATAATTATGCATAATCTGTTTTACAATTGTTAATAATTTTTATTTTAGTTATATTTACACATCATATGTACTTCGGTTAAATATCTTCTTCCATTATTAATAAATATTAACAGTAACACATTACTGGCTGTCTACATCATACTACCTATATCAACAGAATACCTAAGTACATAAAGTCTAATTTATACACCACAACCACAATTTATTTATATTATTATGAATAATTAAGTATGACCTATAAACTATATAAACTATATGCTTCTGTTGAGGAGTAAGTACTTTTGTTACAATTATATTAAATAAAGTTACCTTATCATCTAGTCCACTTAGATAAAAACATGTAGGTAAGTAGTAGAATCCGCGACTTCGTATCCATATATCTTTATTTTATGTAATCTGATTACAATATAACAAGCACAATATTACCTAAGTGAAAATTAAAACATATTAGTGAAAAAGTATCCGATAGCGTTTACAAACTGACAGGCAATCAAACATAAATTCTAACAATCAATGTTTTGGTCTTTACGTATATATTTTCTACAACGTTAAACATTGTTAAATAGATGTAATATTCTGTTATCTGTGGTATAGTTGGGCGTGTCAGTTTTTTTTAATATGGGCGCCATTATAATGAGTTTCAAGTGTATCTTCTGTCCATTTGTCTCGAGCACTTGACTCAGGCAGGTAGCTGATCGTCGTTAACAAGCATTTAGTTCCTTTTAACTGAACGAGTAACGTTCTGGTTTTACGTACTGTTAAGAAATGTCTATTACATGACTCTTAATCTTATCACTATATATATTATTTTGTTGTTCTTTCACGCAAAAACTACTGAACCGATTTTGACACGAACTTTATAGAAATATAGCTTATACATCAAAATAACATATAGGCTATAAATTTCAAGTGGGTGAAACCACGGGAATAGCTAGTACTCAATAAATAAAAGAAGAAGAGGGTTGTTTCTGTAAATTTAAAGCGTTTGTAAGAATTGGTAATTAAATTCTTAGTAATATTGTAAATAGTAAAGTGTCTGCCTGTTAGTTACATTTTCAAAATGAGATGTATCTATACATTAAAATAATAGCATTCAACTTTAACTTTTCTTTGTCTTGTTAATAATCACCCAGGACAATTTAGTATTTGTTAGCAGTGGCATTTAACTCCAAGTTAAGCAAAGCTTATACTGTAAGTAGTTACTAAACAAGTAATAGAATTAGAAATACTTAAATAGGTACATACATAATATACGCCTAAATAAATACAAATAATCGTACCTACTCATCAAAACAAATGTTTATCGTGCAAGGAATTGAACCTGTGAACGTCGGAAGAAAGGCATGCGTCTATAAAAAAATTATCGTAATATTGTTAGCAGATAAATTATTACTTAAACGATTTGCCTGGGGAACTATATTTCGTTTATAAACTTTCCTATACCTATTCTATAAGACGTAAATATTGGGTAGCTTTTATGTAATCCAATAGTTTACGGCCCTAGTGTTCCTGATATGACGCTTAGAATCTGTCCCATCTGTGTACAGTTTAAATTAAAAGTAATTTTCTTATGCAGAATTAATTAATGACTAACGAGCTCAATGGGGTTCATCATCAGGCGGAAGCGAGTAAACGAGAAAACACTATACTATTATGCATAGAAAAGAAAAGGACAGTAGGGGTAGAGGCTGGAGTTGAATGAATTTATGCCGGTCTATTTAGTAACGCGTCAATTTGGCGCGAGAGAGGTCGTTGATGTGGTTATTTCTAATGTTCTTAATTCAAAAACCGCGAACTCGTGTTACGCAAAAATAATTTTTTACATTAATTATATTCTATAAACATATATTTTGAATATTTATTATAAGTAAGATTTCGTATTGTTTTAGTGCTGTGTTTTAATAAAAGTGTGTTGTGGAAAATATAGAGTGCAGTTAGGTTATCATCTACATTAGGTCTATACCTACAAAGAAGATGACAAGGTACGATTGAAGTGATTACTCATTGTAACTGGTACACAGCGTATAAGATAACACTTTTAGTATTCATTTTTAATTTATTGGTCAATTATTGGTAATCCCAAGAGATACCCAAGAACGCATGAGTTGAGAATTGATATTTGATAATATTTTTTTATGTATATAGTTTAGGTATAACAAGTAAAAGAAGGTACAATAAATAACAAATACAAAAAGCGTACATTTACGAAAAAGTATATAACTAGATAAAGTATCTAAATAAAATATTAATTTAAGAATATATTAATTTAATATATATATGTAAACCAATATATCATCATCTGCTTCATCCTTATCCCATTTATTTGGGGTCGGCGTAATATGTTTTTCGCTTCCATTCATCCCTGTTCGCAGTCATCGCGTTATTTACTTCCTTTCTTACCATATCATCTTTCACACAGTCCATCCATCTCTTTTTTGGCCTTCCTCTGCCCTTATAACCATCCACATTCATTTGTAACATCTTTCTTAAAATATTATCCTCGTTCCTACGCATTACGTGTCCATACCATGATAGACGATTACTCTTCAACCTCTCTGACACCGGTGCCACTTTCATACTTCCTCTAATGTATTCATTCTTTAACTTATCCATTCTTGTCACACCACACATCCACCTCAACATTCTCATTTCAGTTGCATGCAGTCGTCTTTCATCCGTCGCCTTTACGGGCCAGCACTCTGATCCATACAAGACAGCAGGCCGGATCATGGTCTTGTAAATTTTCCCCTTAAGCTTAAGAGGAACACGCGAGTCACACGTCGTTGCCGTAACCTGCCGCCACTTCATCCATCCTGCGTTAATTCTATGCTTTATAGCCCTGTCCATTGCTTTGGAGGAGAGAACCTAGATACCGGAAATCGGAGCAAATCGGTAATGGAGCACCATTTAGTGATATGGCTGCAGAGCCGGAAAGACCGCCAAAATCACAGAATATATGTACCTATATCATCATCATCATCATCGCAGCCCGGAAGACGTCCACTGCTGGACATAGGCCTCCCCCAAAGATCTCCACGACGATCGGTCCTGCGCTGCTCGCATCCAATGTCTTCCAGCGATCTTGACCAGATCGTCGGTCCACCTTGCTGGAGGCCTTCCCACGCATGTACCTATATAATATTGTTCAAATTAAGAAAAATATGAATGTTGTTAGTAATTCACTTTAAAAGTACATAATGATACCGCATATAGAATAGAATAGTCATAAAATATCATTAGAATTCTAGACTTGGCTCTGCATGACACTTTGTTGCAAGAGTGGTGTGAAATAGCTTAATTTTTTAATAATGATATTTTATATTATATTATATATAATTATGGGGGAATTTCAACTAATTAAATATATTAAGTGATTAGGCTTAAAGAAGAACATTACTACATATGCTACGAAATCTAAAAATCTACGAAAACACAAACAAAGAAAGGAGTAAATATTCATATACTTAAACTGCCTGTATTAAGAGTGGTTACAAAATAGTTTTATGAGAGAGTTCATATTTCAAAACATTTTTTATTTACTTGAGTAATAAATGAATAGTAAAATACTGAAAAAAAAAAAAATATTAAGAAAATACTTTGTACATGGCGATTAAAAAATCTATTCTCAATATTGAGTATAAAAAATGAGAGACTAAGTACCTTGATTGACGAAAAATGTTGTTGATGCTAAAGATTTTTTTAAATTTATAACGGCTAATTGTCCAACATTTATGTTTTAAAACTATGAACTAACTATACACATTATTTATTATTTGATTATTTCTAATTATGTAATATTATCTTATAAGTGCGTCTAATAATGTGAGAAAACGTAGAAAATACATAAGTCAGTTAAAAGATATATTCAACAAAAGTTCAGAAGTTGGCACTACGGTTCTACCAAGGCGGCAATAAAGCATTTTTATTTCAGTTTGGCTGATTTAAATGGCAGGCTCTCTTGTGATTCTGCACAAACTTCGGACGCCGAGTGCGAACAAGTGTTTACGGATAATAAAGCTGCGCCACTGTAGATCTATCGTGCCGGCTTTTAAAAATATAGCTAGTTGATTGTCATAGCATTTGTTATGGTTTAATTATTTTTATTAAGTAATAATGGTATATATACTACAACATATATATATTTAAACACAGTCAACATAAAAACATTCATGCATATAATGTCATATCATACATATAACAAAAATATCTCAGGACAATTCACACAGCTCCATTTAATCCCAAACTAAGCAAAACTTGTGTTGTGGGTATTAGATAACAGATAAAAATACAGGTACAAATATATAGTTTTTTGAAAATACATACATATTGTACATAGAAAACACCCAGATTGATACAAACTATCTTAGTCATAAAAACAAATGTCTGTACTCTGTACCATGCGAGGAATCGGCCTCGATGGTCTAGCGGTTAAGTGAGGTGGAGTGCTAACAGTACCTTACTTCCGATGGTCGCGGATTCGATTCCTCGCACTGTATAATTCTTTTGTATTCATGAATGTGATTGTATGAATTGCGCTGGGTTTTTCTTTGAATATTACATATGTGTTTATAAAAAATGTATTCCAATATTTGGTATGGGTACTATACAACTGATAGTTGTATAGTACCCATAAAACAGGTTCTGCTTGTTTGGGACTAATGACGCTGTGTTAATTGTCCTAGGGTTACTATTATTATTATCACAGGGAAATTGATTGTTCCTAATCTTTAATGTGCTTATAGACATTATATTATTATTTCAGTGTATTAGAAGAACAATGCGTGAAGAGTTATTAATATGGCACATAATAAATATTGCGGTGGAGTCAGACTGCGGAAGGAAGGCGGATGGAGATGGCAGGCCAGGCTAATAGTCGCTGCAATTACATTTGCGTTTGCAAACTCACAAGGTACTTATTTTGAATACGCTTATCCATACATACATATATATATCATTTTGCTTATTACGTTTTTTTTATTGCATGGTTATTACGTTATAAAAACAAAGATAATACTTTTATGTACATTTCCTTATAAAAAGTTTATTTGATTGTGATATATTTTATAGTATATTAAGCAAATATGAGTCATCAGTGTCACATAAGTTACATAAAGATAAAAAACTTGGCGTAGTTTGTGTAACTACTTAATTACTTAATTTACATTTGTAGCTATTATTATTAAAAACTTAACCTGTATTAGTAAAAACTTTTCTTATTTTTTTTTTAATATTGCATAAAAAACTAAATTACTGAACATTATTTTATTACAAATTTAATTATTAATTTTTTATTCTAAACTGTTTTATAATGTATAATATATATTCTATTATCTATTATACGTATTATGTTTATTATTAAAGAATTATTATTTTATACATATATGTACTATTTAGAAATTAATTAGATATTGTGCTCTGGTAGACAGCTCAATTAATTGAAAAAGAGAGAGAGAGAAATTCAGCTAAATATAGGTAGGCGGTATATCTCTACATTTGTCAATTCCAAAACACATAATTAAGAAATTTATTTATTCATTTTAATTATTCATCATTTTTATCATTCTATTCCTTGATTTTCTTGTACATTAAATTTTATAAACATTACTATTAATTGGCTACGGTTCGGTATATCTACTACGCCTAATACTGTATAATTAGTTATTAAATTAGACTTTCTATCTCATAAAGTTCTGAGAAAATTAATTACTACCTGTACTTTGTTGCTACATATTTTGCATAACTCGATTTATGCGCAAGAGAGCTGCCATTAGCGAAATGGGTTATATTTTATAGTAAAAGCTCTCTTAAAATAGTGCTGTAATAGTAACGACAAATTGAGTACCCGTATGTACTAGTTACTATAACGTGTAGTACTCGGTACTACAGTATAATTACATTAAATACTGTTGATTACCATTTAAATTTTATTATCAACCCCTGATGTTATTTTTTAGGTTCTAAATACTTGTTCTCTTTTTTAAACCATAAATAGTAGTTTGATTTTATAGTATTATAATATTTTGTTACCTGCAGTAACTAGATAATTCAATCAGTCTGAAATAACGACAAGGTACTTCGTTACTTGCAGCTAGTACTAGTAGCTAATACTAGTCACTCTAGCCTCTGTATACCTAGGTACCTTATTAGTACCTTTTGCAACAGCTCTACTCTTATAGTATATTACCACAGATACAAACCTGTAATTATTGTTACACTGTCCCCTATCGCTCTATGTACTTCTTATAATTTATATTCAACGAAATCTCCTATGGCTAAACTGGTTCGTAAAAATTTATTTGACAATTAACTATTTTATTATAATCTCCTTCGTGTATGGGTAGAATTAGGTGTCGGATTAAATGTTTATCTGACAATCAAAAATTAACTTTATAATACAATAATAATTGTATATAAACAGCACAGTAGGTACGAAGTAATAATAATATTAGAATTGCAATTTTTAACGTATAGTTTCTCTATTCTGTGGTCACATCCCAATTTTTTTAAATATATTAAATTGATATGATAAATTTGATAGCAAGGGGTAACCTATATATAAAGAAATAACACTACGGATATGACGTTTCCTTGTTTTTTTTTCTGTTTGAAAGCTGACATGATGTATTTAGGTACAATTACTTAGAATTTCTTTTAGTTCAGGGGTTACTTAAAATTCTTAACTCTATAACTTTAAATTATATAGAATATTGCACCTATGCGAAGCCGGGGCGACTCGCTAGTATCCAGTAAATTGACACGTAGCACGGTGCACGAAATAGATCAAAAAGTTTCGTACAGTCATCTGTAAGTGTCATATCCAGTTTATAGTGGCCCGGACCCAGCTGTTGTCTCCCGTTCCGTCCGGCCGATCTACGTTGACGCTTTCATATACAAATATTTTCGTGATGCTTTATTACCCTATTTTTCATTTCAGATATATCGGCGTGCTGCAGCAAGGCGGAGGGGACATGTCGCAGTGTGTGTGAAAAGGTAGGCTACGTATTATTATGGCATACAATTTGTTAGGATCAAATTATCATAATAATAATAATATCTCAGGACAATTCACACAGCGCCATCTAGTCCCAAGCTCAGTAGAGCTTGTGTTGTGGGTACTGGACAAGTAATATAAATACATAGATTTTTTTGTGAATACATACGTAATATACAGGGAAAACACCCAGACCAAAACAAACAATCATATTCATGAACCAAATATTCGTACCACGCGAGGAATAGACCTTGCGACCATCGGAAGTAAGCCTCTGTGCTAAACCGTAAGCCACTAAAACCACCGAGACCGTCAAACAGAAATAAAAAGTCTAAGATCCGAGCAATGAAAAATCATTCTAAAACGTGTGTAGTAAGAAAATGATTTCATTTGAAATTATTAACCGTAGTCGTAAGCCATCTTCTAATATAATACACATATTGATCATATGACGCCCAATAGTTGCATAGTTATCATGAACTCTGTCTAAAGGTTATCGGTTTCTACTGTTAGAATTCATTGTTTTGTTACTATAGACGCCATACGGTCACAGCTACTTTAGATAAGAATATTTTCTTATTTCATAAATTTTAGAGTGTGATTTAGCGGGAGTCGAGATTTTAAACTTCTAGTGCCTGTCATAGTGTTAAACACAATTAGAAACTCGTCAAGTGTACATAACAAAATTTAATTATACCATATGAATCATAACATATAATATCAATAATGTTATTGAATGATTTATCTTGCACTCATGCGCCGTCAGCATTAATTTAATAACGTATTAATTATTCATTATCAAAAACAATTCACTTTCGGTCACCAAACTCGGCACGTGTACTAATGAACTGCATTTTAGTAATAAATTTTATATTTTTCTCATTAATTTTTCTTTGACTTTTCATTCATTATTTAACAATTAAATGTGTAGTGTAACAAAACCGCACAATAATAATAAGTTAGCACTGTAGGTAAATTCAATAAATTTTCACACAGCTCAACCTATCATATCGGACACGTACGATTTACGTATTCCCAGATGAGCTGTGTTGGACATTCCTTGAGTCTCTCGGCACCGCCAGTGGAATCTTAATCACACCTACAAGGATTTCCAATCAAAGTTTTCAGTAGAAAGCTAAAATTGACTAATTAAGCGGATTTATTGCTTCCCCCAAAACTTCTCAGTTCTTTGATATTTTTATCGCGTCTCTCATATTGTGGTCATTCAGTATTTATTCGAATTACATAAAAAAGGACGGTATCTGATTTCCTTTTAATAGAATTATAATAGTTAACGCGACTATAAATTTTTTTGTTTTATATATTTTTGTGGGACGTTGATGGAAGTATAGGGAAATTGAATGGTACGTGACGAATGTATCTTCCAGAACTATTGAAATAGTATACTAAGGAAACCATGAAAGCAAAGCGGTCCAAGTCGATTCTAATCAACAACCGTGTCGCAACTCGCAATGGCCCGTTCTGAGAAAGCGTGCACGATGAATAAAGGAAAATTATTAAAACGTGTAAGGAGAGACACCGGGGACTAATACATTCGTATTTAATTCCGTCTCGTTAGGGACCGTCGCGCCGTGATGGCTGTTTCCTCCCCCGCGACACCGTTTGAATACTTTACAAGTTCATATCGATATTTTTATTCATCATACGTGGCTTTCCTAGTATCGACATTTATTAAAACGTATACGTATGCTTTTATAAAATTCATTAGATTTTTATAAACATTATTTCAAGTACATGTCGATTTGTGAATGAAACTGGGATTTATCAGTAAAAAGGTAATACTTTTTTTTAGAATGCTATTAAGTATTAGGTGTTACTCGCGATTTCATCTTCTTTATTTTAGATAAAGGATAGCCGATGTCCATTTTCGTTATGCAAGCTATTCTTACATTACAAAATTCATTGTCATCGTTTAGTCGTAAGAAGGTAACAGACAGATAGATAAACTTTCATATTTCATATAAAATTAAGTATGAATAGACAACTAAAATAATGTTATAGAACAACTGATATATATATATATATATATTTTGTAAATACATATATTATATGCACAGAAAATACCCAGATCAATACAAATAACCATACTTTTCAATACAAAGAAAAATATACAATAGAATCGAACCCGTACCATCGGATGTAGAGCGGTTTGCTAAAACAATAAACCACTGAGGAGGACAACTGAAAGAATGTTTTAATTATAAATTACATTTACATGACTACTATTATGTATGTATTCGTATTTAGTATAAGAAGTAAAGCACTCAATTTACAACTAGCCCGCATGATTTTTTCGAAGTTATTTTATTCAATGATTTTTAAATTGTAACAATTGTTTTATGTACTCTATTTTTAAAGGCGTATGACATATTTTTAATTAGCAAGATGTTCTCGGTGTTTTTCTACCCTAGAGGACAATATATATAATGAGGCAGCCTGTTAAAGCAATTATTAAATGTATTTAACCCCAATAGTGTCTCTTTATTTATTAATTGAACTAACGTCTAAAATACGCTTCAATTTCATATGAATAGTTAAAAGATTAATAGACAGAGATAGGAATTACAGGGTGGTTCAAATAATACCTATCTATGTAGTAGGGTTATTGATAATGGTGAAAGGGGTTGAAGGGAGGGGGTAATTGACAATGTTAAACCCAGCATGTCCTAGATGACAGGGCAGTAAGGATAATAACATAATAGCAGCGTATGTCGTAGACTGCCGTCATTTTGTCGTGACTAGGTATAGCTTATCAATATGACTAACTGAAACAATGGTTCAATGAATTGTAGTTGAAGTATAATAATGATATCTCTGAATCCGCACAGCGCCATCTAGTCCTAAGATAAACAGAGCTTATGTTATAGTTACTAGATAACTGATATAGATGAGAACATAGAAATATATTTTGTAAATACATACATGATTGGTATCACGATTATCACTTTATAACGTGATCTCCGTATTGCTCTCTTAAAGTAGACAGTTTTTTTTATGTAAATAACAAACAAGCTGACAGCCTCATGGTAAGTGGTAACCGTTGCCTATATCATGTATCTACTTTAATTTTAGTACATAGTTCATCACACGTCAGCATAGTTCAATATCGTTTACTTTTATTAGAACAGCAGCGTTGTTTATAATATCTATAAATCATATGTATAATAATCCATATTTTATACTAAAAATGTAAACACATGTTACAGACTTACCTGAAATATATTCTAATACACTATTACGCAACAGTAAGTAAATATTTATGTGATTACATTGACATAGGGTTACCAAGACTATAAAATTATAAATTATGTATAAAATAACTCTGAATCATTATACCTTTTTACATTACATATTCTGGTGTGGGTGTTATTTATTTACAAGAAAACTGTATTTAAGTATTGAAATACTTGAATCAGTTATTTAGTACCCATAACACAAGACTAGATTGTGCTGTATAGCTTGCCTAGGTTAATTATTACTATTCATAATATGCATTTATTTATTAGGCATATATAAATTAGGTGATTATTTATTATATATGATAACAATAATGTAATAAATAGTGGCAGTGATTTGGCGTACAATCATCCGACATACGAAAAATTATGATTAGTGTAAGGATTATACATGTATGTACTAGCTGTGTCCGCGGTTTCACCCGTGTTAAATTTCAATAAAATATATGCCTATGTGTTATTCTGATGCATAAACTATATTACTGTAATGATTTATCAAAATCCGTTCAGTAGTTTTTGCGTGAAAGAGTAACAAACATTCATACTTAGAAATTTTCGCATTTATAATATTAATAATAATAAGAATTACGATATTTGTTATTATGTTTTGTATATATTTTTTAAAAACAAAATGTGAAATAGATAAATGTGATTGCCAACCCTACTTCGACTACTTGTACAAAGAACATCGGCCTATTGAGTGCGATCGGGATCATAAATTGTAGAGGAATTTATGAAGTGGCAGTGATGGGCATAGTGGACTTGTTATACGACAGCCTATGGGCTGCAAAAAATATACTACTATTAGGAAATTGCGGCACGTGTGAACAGTTGTCGGCCATACTGCGAAAGTTATCTGTTACATTTTCGCGCCTAAAACACTGAAGGAATTTTAATCTATAAATGTATATCTAGATAGGAATTTAGCAAAGCAAAGTTGATAATTGGAATGCGGTGAAACAGGAATATAATTGGAAGGAAATAGGGGGATTCAATAATTTCTCAAGTAATAGATATAATTCTATTTAAACGCAGTCGTGAGCATCATCTAGTACTCTATAGAAACGGTTATTAATTGGCAACATGAGTATATTCGTGTACAATTAGTTGCTACATTTTGTATCTCAACCGCGGTAAATGGAATCACATGTCATTTAGTTTTGTAGATGTTAATGTTACAGAATCTTGTTTTATAAACATTGTACATAGTTACTTAGCGTCATGTACGTGCCAAACAAATATTCCCATATGGGTGTAATTAATTCAGTAACCTTTAGTATAAAGGATTATTTCTATTTCTATTCGTAGTGTAGTATACTCGTACATATATAGGTTTCTTTATCCCTGCTCGTTGTACATCAATCTTGATGATGATATAGAATTAGGTTAACGCGATCTTTGCGGGCATATACAGAGGATATTTTGTAATATTTATGAATATGTAAGTGCATCGCCAGAAATAAACGCAATTCTGAACTATTCGTTATTCAAGATATTACCATATGAAAACATTGTACAAAGTCATCTGCGTGTGTACCGCTGTCTCTTAATTCTGCTGTGTATTTGTTTGCCACCCTTGTAGTATAAAAAAATGATGCTCTTTAAGTATAAAGCTAAGGCTAGTATGCAATTAAGGATCTGTAGTAGACAAATAACAAAAATAATTTTATCCAATACGTATAAATCGAAGACTAAGAATACAAAATAAATTGCTAATATCGACACAGAGACTAAACATGTTT